CACCGAGAATCTATTCAATGAATAATCTAAATAAGGCGATAGCTTAATGCATTCGCACAATTTAATTATGTGATATATCGTTCATGCTTAATACTCGCGACTTAAAATGTCAGATGACGATGCGCTGTACAAATGAAAAATAAAGTCTATAGAGCATAAAGAAGCGTGTGTATTAAATATCGACAGTCACTGTTTGACAACATTTACACTGTATTAGATTTTAATGTCATAGAGTGCTTCGGCTGAAGAAGTTTCAGTCATTTAACACTATTAAAAAGTTTTTTTTTGAGGAGTAAGTGAGTGAAGGAATTTCGCAAGGTCGAATGGTTAAATGACGAGGACGCACTTTTAGGAATTAGCAAAGGTTTGACAAATTATTTTAAGTCATTTGAGAAATTGGAAATTCAATTATTTTTTAACGATCAAAATATTTTTGAATTTTGTTTTTGGTAGTACTGGGGGTCTTTGATTTGAGTAGATTCGATTTGAACAGAAAATTTTTTACCCACCAAAATATTCGATTTGAGTAGATTTATTCCTGTTTTCTTTGATTTGAATTATTTACAAAACAAATATTTTTGATAAAAACATTTCAGCAAATATTTTCAAAACATAAATATTATTGCAATAAGCGTGATATTATCATATTTATAGAAAAATCAATACTAGAGTTACAAAATTTAAGTAAAAACTTACAAAATCGATATAAAATTAACGGTTTTAAAAAGTTCAAATTCAAAAACCTTACAAAAGGTTTTGTTTAAAAATAAATTAAGTTATCTAAAACACATAAGAAAAGTAAAGCAACAAGGGAAAATTTGCAAAATAATTATCAAAATTTTCATTGATTTGATACTTTTCTTCTCGATTCTCTGCCTCGATTTGAGTAGAAATTTTTTGGAACAAAACAACTACGCAAATCGAGGACCCCCAGTATTTTAATCGGTTTTTTGATCAACTGACAAAATTAAATTCGAATTTTTAAAATTTCAACGACTTTTTGACTCAATTTGAATATTTTTTAAAAGCATGACAAGCTTCTAAGCTTCTATAAATAAGCAAAACACCCCAAAATTTCCATAAAATAGCTACAGCATTAGAAACTTCTACAAAACATTCCAAAAATGTCATATTCACCGCAAAAATCTTCCACTCATCCTTGCCATTTTGTCAACAATCAGACATAAAAAAATTCAGCCATAAAAAATGTATCTAATAGCAGAATATTCATTGGTAAAAAACAAGTCAAAAACCTGAATTTAAAGTCTCGATTTTATATTATTTTGTGATCTTCAATGATGAAATCCGCAAAATATTCGAACGTGACGACGATGCTTTACCAAAGAAATTATTTAATTTTCATCTCATTTATCGTCTTTTACAAAGAACGTGATCAAATATTCGAACATATAGCTACCATTAAACCATATTCAATTTCATCACCCCCAGCCCCCTTTTGTGTACCCAAAAACCATGCTTACGATGAGATGCTAATTTTCCCAATAATTAATCGAAATAAGTTGGAGAAATAGAAAATCATTGTATGCAGTGCATCCATACACATATAAAATTTCAATCACAGACATTCAATCGCTATGAATTTGCAATTTAAGATGGTAGAAATTAGAAAGCACAACGCATTGTTGTGAATATTTATTTTATTTTATTTTTGCAGACCAATTCATCATTTCTTCTTTTATTTGTTTTACTGTACTTAATATTTCAATAATTAGCCATACGAATTTGTAATATGCTGTTATAATAATGTACTCCATATAAATGATTATTAATTAATTAATATGCCATCGAAATTGAGTGTCGTTCAATGAGCAACATGTGGAATTGTTTAAGAAATTTTAAGAAATTTCAGTGATATTTCTTAAACAATTCCACATGTTGCTCATTGAACGACACTTAATTTCGATGACAGGGAAATCCAGTAAAGTGACTAAAATAAGTATTAACATGACTGCAAAAAGGGAATAACCGAAAGAATCAAAAATATTAGCTGAAGAATGTAAGTCATTTCCTGAAATTTGTTGGTGATGATCACGTTTGGTTTATTTTTTATGTGTTAACGTTCTTAACATTCTATTTGCTTTAAATGCTATTTTTTAAGAAAATTCTATTGAAAATTGTAAGAAATGACTTTTGAAAATTTAACGCTGTGAAAGAATTTGAATTTAAACAGTCACAAAAAATTTGAATTTTATGCAATTTTGGAGAATTTTTTTTATAAACTGCACTAAACGAACCAAAAACTTTTAATTCTTTATTTTTTCAAAAATGGCTTTAATTTGATCTTTAAGCTTTGTTGGATCCGTTTTAATAGACAGTATAAAGCTTGAACTATGCACCAAACAACTTAGAACCTCAAAATTATTTGCAAACTAAAGCGATATTTATGAAATTTCAATTTCATGATTTTTTCTTGTTTTCAAAAATACAAATTTTTTAAAGCCGCTAAAATTTAAAAACCTTACAAAACCACAATTGACACGTCAAAAATCAAGGAATAATCTCCAACTTGAAAGTGAATGTACTTGATATAAAAAGACAAAACTCATTACAACCTGATTTACAATCTACACATACATGAACTAAATCCATACATCAATAAAACGTCAAAGAAAAGAAGAAAATTTGATTTTATAATCAAGACCCTTCCATAGCTTGATTAAACACTACCCAAATCGTTTGATTTAAAAGTTCAATGCTTCATATCTTAGATATTGCATAAATGGAATGAAAAATTGAATCATAATTCAAAGATTCAGCACCAAACAAAAAATTGACACATTCAATTCGCAAAATAATCGTGGTATTCAGCTACAGTTCCACAAAAGTGCATTAGCTATTTTTATCAGACCAAACAGAGAAAAATTGCATTTTTAAATGACGAAAAGCAATAAATAAGAGCTTTAATATGTGTGGGCTAAGCTAGCTAACCAGAATTATTTATAGACTCGAAATTCCAACCAGCTGTTAGATACAGCACTAAGAAATAGAAAAAAAATCGTAACAGCATAGCATTTCCAAGACAACAACAACAATGAATATAATATCGACTTGGAATTGGTGACTGGAAAGCCTTGAAAAAAAATAAAACAATTTTTTGAATTGAAAATGTAAAATAAAAATTGAAAGTGTTTCAATAGACTATAAATATTGGAATGTGATGTAAAATTGCTATCCATGCACACACATATGCAGGAGCAGAGATAGATGGACATATGAATCATATAGCACATATTGAAGGTGTCATAGTTGCAAGTTTTATTGCATTCAGATCACGCACTTCTTACGTTCATTGATTTCTCATAATTCGACAATTTCATAAATTTTCTTTTCTTTTTTTTTGTGTTATTAGAAGTTGGGAAATTGACTCTTTTTTCGTGAAGGTCTGCTGTGTATAATACCTTGGATTTATTAGTTCATATCCCGAGCGGCACAAAGGCTCCATTTGCCTTCCATATGGAAGCTATACGGAGCCTCCATGTTCCACCCTCCATTTGAAAATCTTCCGAAAACCTTACTATCTTGGAACCTTGACGGAGCCAAAGCTCCGAAAATCTTCCGTGGGACGTGCATTTATTAACACCAAATGGAAGTCATTTGAGAGGTTTTGATGGAGGATGGAGGATCCATTTGTGGTAGTCAAACGGAGGTTTAATGGAAGTATTTTTCAAAGGATTTTTGGTACGATTTTCCACGTGTTTTTCTATGTTTCGCAATTTTTATATCAAGATTTGTAGCTGTATTAGTGGACTTAATTAAAGTACACTAACACTATTGAAAAATTTACAACTTAATTTAATTAAGTCGCAACCACAGCAATTTCTAAGTCTCGATCACACGCGTGAGAAACATAAGAAATTATTAAAAATTTTCATACAAATTAAACGACCCCATATAATAGTGATTTCTGCATGCGCTTGTGAAGTATGTAATTTCATACAAAATCACAAAAAATTATCCTTTTTTGCTTTTTTAAAGCTTGAAATGAAGCAATATGATTCAGTAAAGCTTTTCGACAATATTTCAATCCATTACAGTAAGATCTGACCTCTGTCTTTTAAAAATTCAAAAGCACGAGTTTTTCGGTATTTGATTTAAGAAAAAGCGGAGTTCATATGGAATCCAAATGGAATCAATAAGAAGGATGAAAAAATAACCCTCCATTTACTTTCCACATAGTAGAGGTGGCTTTCATATGGATTCCATATGGAGACCACCCTCCACCTTGTGCCGCTCGGGTATTTATGTGTTAAATGACTTGCTATTAGGTTATTAATTTACGTCAGAAAAAAGTTCAATTAAAATTTATTTTTGCATCCTGAATGTGTGACTGACTGGATTTAATTTATTTGGAATTTGAATTTTAATGGCTCAACTGATTTTTGAAAATTTGAATTGAGTAGGAGAAAATTCGTTATAAATATATTTAAATTTTTTGAAGAGATTTACGGACTTTTTGTGAATCCTGAATCGAAATTTTTACCGAACTTTTTGAATTTTTGACGAAGCTTTGTCAAAATTTAACGGATTTTTCAAATTTTAAGATCTAATGAACTTTTTGAATTTTTGACGAAACTCTTTCAAAATTTAACAGTTTTTTGAATTTTTCACGATGCATTATAGAAAATTTGACTAGTTTTTTTGTGTATTTTTAAATTTTCTTCAATATATTATTATTATTATTATTTTATTAGTATTATTGCTTTCACTCTTTACATATCACTTGGCACATCCAATAATCATCTTTCATCAACTTGACAATGAACCAAATCCCTGTAATTAAAGCTCTCTTTGTCAAATTAAAGATCACACTATAAATGACCTGTTCATACCAAAAAATAAAGCACAAAAGGTGGTTTATGCAATTGAAGATCAGTAAGAAAGAAAAATGTTGATCCATTAAAATTAATATCACTTGCCATACTCGACAAAATATCTGACTAAAGTCGGTTGAAGTTAATTAATTAAATTCACATATTTACCTTGCTGTAGTGTTAATCCTAAATTTAATAATATGATTAATATGAAATGCATTGACGATGCCATTTTTGAATAATGCATGTAAATTGAGAAATAAGCTTTAATTTTTTTTATGTGTGAAAGATTTTTCCTGCTTTTCTTGATTTATTTTTTTTTTTTTTGATGATTTTATGTTGTTGGAATTAACAATTTTTCCTTCTTGACGTTATGTTTGATTTTCTCTCATTTCGAATTCGATTTATTTATAACACATGTATTTATAAAATTGTGTTTTTCCTCTTATATGTGCATATATAAATTTTATTATATTTATTTGTATGTTTTTTTTATGCAATCACGATTTCTTAAGGTGCACAAAACAAGTAAAAGAAATTGCAAGCTCTCCCACTTTTCGATATTTTTCCTGCTTCAAACCAGAGACAGAACCTGTCAAAGCTAGCTTTTAAAGGATTTTTTTAAATTAAATCAGCGCTCGTTTTTCGGTAGTTTCAAATCAAATATTATGAACAGTAAATATCACTTATCAATTGCACAATATTGACTTTTTTCTTTCATATTTTGCTTTATGCTTTCGTTTTCGAAGAGAAATTTTTTATTTTATTTTTTTTTCTTATATTTCTTGTTGTAGCTACACAAACACTAGTAAATTAATTTTAAAAAAATTATTCGCGGAGCAATATTTGTCTTGCTTCTTCTGTGGACTCGAGTTGAACGTAAACTGAAACTGAAAGACTCACTTTGCTCAAGAAAATGTTGTGTGTTATTTCCACTTATTTAACACTCTTACAATAATACATGACGATTGTCGAAATTGGTGTTAGATTGTGGAATATGGAATGGCTTATTTGAAATTCGTGAAAAATGGAATGACTTGCTGGATCACTTTTTGAGCATTTTCTTAAAAAGTTTTGCGACATTTTTATTTTTTAACGAATTTTTTGATTTTGAATTTTGACTGACTTGTTTACAAAATTTTGAATTTTCGAAGCTTTGCCATTAGACTGATGGCTCTTAAACGGTCGTCAACCTGTAAAATATCAACTCATTAACTTAGATCCTTTTGACATGTTTCTTTTGATTTCCTCGCAAACTAAATTTATTTTTGATTTCAATCAGAACGGACGATTAAAATTAGAGTAATGATTCATATCCTTGGTAATACGAAAATATGAGCCTTCCTTGTACAGTTTATGAGCTAGGTATGCTGTCATGCGTGCATCATCAATTCCAGAATGTGGACGGCCTACAAATTCCATTCCTTGATTAATCAGTGCTTCACCGAAACTGAAAGAATCCTTGTACAGTGTCTTTTCCAAGAATATTTCCTTTAAATCCATCCACTGGTTGAATATTGATGGTTTTTTGATCTGCTTTCTATTGCACTCGTTTCTCAACTGGAAATTAAAATTTTAACTTGCTGGATGTACTGTTATGCATAAAAATGACATACCTGAATCAAAAAATCCCAGTTTGTCCATGTCATGAGGCAGCAATTGCCGTCTAAGTTTGATTTTTTTGTTTTAGGCATTATGAGATCTTTATCCTTAATAGTTTGCTTTACCCACACTCGAAACTCTTCCATAACTTCCTGTAAAATAGTAGCACCGTCGACTGTTTCTTGGCTTATGCCTGTTAAGTTTTTACAGTAATCTGATAGGATAGGAGATTCCACAGGACGCACATATCTGTGAAATTCACTCTCTATCTCTCCCGTCTCCAAATTAAGTAAAACAGCTGGAAACTCGATGATTTCTTGAATCTTTCTCTTTTTGTGTGACGGGATGTCGAAACATGTAGCTTCAAAATCTATACACAGTATATACTTATATTGTTCCTTAAATTTCTTCTTTTTCAATCTCTTTCGCATACTTTTTTCTCTTTGCTCGTTGATCATTTTTTCAACAGCTTCAATTTCACTAAAAAGATCAGTAAAAGTGTACTTTAGGGGGCATATATATGAAAAAATTTTATTATTTTTTTAAGTTTGGAATGCTGTAAATGTGTATAAAAAAGTACATTATAGTAAAAATAGTTAATTTGAGTGATTTGAGTAAAATTTGAAGAAAAAAAAATTGAAATTTTTGCAAATTTTTCAATTTATTAAGTTTTGGTAAGATTTTTTTAAATTTTTTTGTTTTGAATGCAGAAATACTTTCAGTATTTTCGGAACTTTTGACTAAGGGATCATTATAGTCTTACGTTAGATCAGTTTTTTCGGACCTTTTGTCTAAGGGATCATTATAGTCTTACGTTAGATCAGTATTTTTTGTTTTTAATAATTAAAAATTATATTTCAAGTTTATCAATTACTTTCGGATTCTTCACTATTTGATTCAACTTCCGGTTCTTCCGGTTCCCAAATCTTAAAAAGGTGAAAAATTTAAAATAAATTCTTCTGTCAAATTTCACTCAAAATCACTTAATTTTAATATTTTAAAGTAATAAAGTACACTTCAGCCAAAAAATCATATAAATCGACATTATTCTAGAGATTTAAATAGTCTATCCAATACTCACTCTGTTAGTTCCTTTAAATCTGCCATTTTTATCTTAAATAACAACTAGAATCACAATAAAAAACGCAAATTAATAAAATTTTACACAGATTTTATTAAATTCAATATTTCCAAAACAAACGATTTTTGAATTTTTTTCGAACGTTATTTTACATTGACAATAACAACACGAATCGGGTGTGAAACAGGACGCTATAAAGTGAAACTGTATAATACATACGTTCTAAAAATTTAACTTAAATTAATTAAGTAATGAACGAGAAAAAAGAACATGAATTCAAAACTTAACGAGCATTATTTTTTTTAAATCTTTTCTTACCTGAAGTTAGCTGCATGCATTTAAATTCTTGAGAACAAAAACCGTTAAAATGATTTCAAAACGCACTCAAAACAGAGAAAAAATCACGCGCGCGTCAGTATTTTGAAAAGTTAATTTATTTAAATGAATTAGACAGTTCTGGTGGGCTAAAGTGATAAGAAGGAAGAGTCACAGATAAGACATAAAGTGAAAAATTAAAGAGAGCTGATAAGACTTGATTAAAAGTGAAAAAATTCAATTTTAATAAATTTACGCGCAAAATCTTTTTGAAAAATCGTTAAAGTTTGACAACAAACAATAATTAAGTATGGAAAAGCGAGTAAGCAGAACAAGAGCTGCACGTGAAAAGAGCCCACCAAGTAGTAGGACGCGTAGTAAGTCTCCAGCACGAGTTGAAGTCTCTGGACGAGATTCAGCACCAATTAAAAAGACCCGAATAACAAGAAAGACTGAAAGAGATTCTGAGGAATCATCAAGCCAATCCAGCACTCCAAAGAAATTAAAAGTTGGTAAAAAAGAAAAACAAGTGAATATTCAAGATGATTCAGCTGAAAATGAAGAAGTTGCTGATATTAATGCACGAAGTACACGACTTTCGACACTCCGTAAAAGAACCAGTCCTGTTACTTACAAAACAACTCCAACACCATCAACTACCGATGAAATTAGGAGATCTGTAAGTAGAACAGCAAGTTCATTGACAAAAGAAGATACTGACGATGATGAATTGGAAGTAAATCAAGTTCCAACTCAGCAAACAGACTTTCAAAGTTTGGGAATCTACACGAAACCATTCGCAAACTTTTTATTGTTGATTGTACTGGCAGTTTTCCCTATAATTATTGCGACAGCATCAAGAGTTGGATGGAAGTGCTCTTTAATCATCCCTGAGCTTAAAAACATTGAAAACTTTGTCACACTTCAGGCATTTTCATTTAGCGTTGCGATTCACTCACTGTCAGTTTTGGTATCATTATTACCTGTTGGACGATTCGTAAAGCTACCTGATTCAGAAAAGGAATATCAATTTAATGGTACATTAGCGGCATTTCTATTGTCAGGCATTTTATTTGCTCTGGAATTAAAGAATTTGGATTCATTGACTGCTCTCTATAATAATGTCGATCGTCTCTTGTTCCTTAGTATTGTTAAGTGCTTAATAATAGCAATTTTCTTCTTAATCATGCCAAAATACAACACAAGAATTTTGCCAAATACTGAAGTAAATGTTTATGGTAAAAGTGGTAAAATCTTGAATGACTTGGTTGCTGGACGTGAATTGAATGCTAGACCATTTGGATTTGTGGATTTCAAGAGAATTGTCTATGTCCAATCGATCATCTACATTCTCGTCATTAACATCGCATATCTATACAAAAATGTGACAATCCCAATTGTTCAAACTGCCACAGAAGCAAGTCCAGTTGATGAACTTGTCAAGCAGACTTACAGCAATGTCGTTTTTATCGTTCAAAACTCGGAATATAATCTAGCTGGATTTGTTGCATCATCATTGTTGATTTTGTATGCACTTGATTTATTGATTTTCGAGCATCACCTAGCAACATCATTCCAAGTGAACGATGAAGGTACTGGCGCAGAAGTTTTGTTACGTTTTGCCACCTTCCCATTCTTGATTTCATTCCTTCCACGTTATTTATTCACGAATAATGTTTCTGTCAACTGCTATGTCCTTATGTTTGCTGCGACTGTATTCATCATTGGATTGGTCATTAAACGATGCAGTAACTGTCTTAAATATGAATATCGATTACATCCGAATGACGCTAAGTTTAAAGGTGAGCAAATGATATTTTAAGAACCTTGTAGCATTTTACTGACATTTTATTTTCTTGTAGATCTCGCAACATTGCCAACTTTCCAAAATCATCGTCTCATCATCGGAAAATGGTGGTCTAGAATCCGTCAACCGAATCTTTTTGGGGAAATTCTCCTACATCTTGCTTTATTGAACTTGTTAGCACCAAGTTTTGACTGCTCAAGCTTCTTTGGGATCTTCATAATCATTGTATATCTCATTTATCGATCGATTGCAATTAACCGAAAGAATGCTATCAAATATGAATCTTCATGGCAGCGCTATACGTCTGCTGTCAAGTACAACTTAGTGCCAAGAGTCTATTAACTATTGTAAACTATAAATTCATGTGTGGATGCGTGTGTTAACTTTAATAACTAATCCAGGATTGCATCTAGTAATTTAGATATATCCTTAGCAATTTATCAATGTATTGATAATAACTTAAAACTCCTGCATGTACTGCACAAATCTGATTTTAATTGCCATATTTTAAGCTGCGTGAAATTTTTAACTATTTTATTATCTTTTTAACGGATAAAGGCTGATTTTTTTGTATATACTTAAACTACACAACACTGCTCAATTTGGCCATTTTTAACACAAAACTTTTTAAGTACAAACAAATCATCCCCAATTTTTAATTCTTAACAATAAGTAATCATATTAAAATATTTTAGACGAATTCGTTTAGATGTTAAGGACATAAGAAATATCAATTTTTTGATATTTTAGGGTATAATGATAATTTCAAATATTTTATCTATTAAGTAAATTGATTCACGAATTGTTTGGTGATAGACATAGTAAAATACAAATAAAGACAAGAAAATTGTAAATAAAATAATGCAAGGTTTTATTTTAAGTCTACATAAAATATACAGGGATTGAAGGTTGTTGACATTTGAAGGAAGAAAATTGTAAAATTTTAGCAGATTTTGAGTTTTAAATTTCAAACGGTTTTGTTGAATTTAAATTTCAGCACATTTTTAATACTTATTCAAAATTTTGAAATTTGTAAGGTTCTCGAAGAAAACTGTTGTATAGATTTGAGAAACATTTGCAATCTTTTTTTTGTTGGTTTGCTGTTGTATGGTTTTGTTTTATACTTTATTGCTGTTGTAAGGTTTTACAAAACATTTACAGTGTTTTCAAACATCTTTCGGTTTTTCAGCATCAAAATTCCAAATTAAGAAAAATTCCCATCCGACAAATGCCAGCAGTCTTCAATTCTTGTAAAATATCAATCTTTATTCTTCATTTTATCAAGAAAAATGAATATGAACTAAAAATTTTGTAACAGATCAATTTATAAATTAATAATCTTCTACCTCTCACTTTTTCATACCTCAAATATATTAATAATAGTACGAATTTCTATTAAATTGCAGTCAAAATATTTTTTGAATCTTGCATACAACCAAATAATTCATTATAAAATCACATCTTAAAACCAATTTTTGAATTTTGTGTATAAAGTACGCTACAAAGACACTAGTTAGGGAATAAAGGTAGGTAATTAATTGGAAATAAGTGGGTTCTTATCCATAATACGAAGTAACACTATCATAATGTTATGCATATGATGTAAGATGAAGGAATGGACGTTTATTTTCTTTCGTTTAAGGACGACAATTTGAACATGCTGGTGCACTAGCTTTCTGTCGATTCTGGATGTTATTACGGATGGCTTGATCACTGAATTGAATGCCTGACGATGCACTTTCAATATCAATCTCGCCAGTTTCAATTTTAGCCAATATAGTCTTTGCACATTTTAAGAATGATTCCTCAACATTCTCGCCCGTCTTTGCACTCGTTTCCAAAAAGATCAAATCATTTTCTTGAGCAAAATTGCTGGCTTCAAGGAAAGTCACTTCTCGTTGTTCTTCAAGATCTTTTTTGTTGCCGACTAAGATAATTATAATGTTTGGACTTGCAAGATTTCTTGTATCTGTCAGCCAATTTGATAATGTGTTGAAGGAGTCTCGCGACGTGACATCATAAACCTAGTATAATAGAATATATCATGTTACTTTCATAGCTTTAAAGCTTAAATTTCACCATATTTATTACCAATAATGCTCCAGCAGCACCACGATAATAACTTCTTGTGACGGATCTGAATCTTTCTTGGCCAGCTGCAATACGCAATAAATTATGAGCTGCATTTGCTGTCTAGAATGTTAAATACACTTACCTGTGTCCCAAATCTGTAGTTTTATAGTCTTTCCACCCACATTGACAACTCGTGATCCAAACTCAACACCGATTGTGTGACTTGAGTCTTCTTTGACTGAAAAAACAACGAAAATGTATAATTATAGCTTAATAAGATTATCGAAAACTTATGTATTGTGGAATGACGTCATTTATCGATAAAAAACGACATAAAAACACCATTTATCAGTCTTTACTCACATTTATTCTCAATAAAGTTATGTAATATACAGGATTTGCCACTTCCAGCACTTCCTATTATGAGAAATTTGAAGAGATAATCTGCAAAAAAAAGTGAAATTTTGTGTTAAAAACAAAGAAATTTTTATTGGCTTCATTTGCATAAGCTCACCATATGATTCTGACATGTTAATTGATGTCTAATAGTCCCGAAAGTATAATTAACTCTATTTTTAATGTTAAAACAATAATTTAATTAAATTAACACGACTTTTTTTGACTTTTAAAATTTATGATGTTTTTTTCGTGTGTTTTGTTTATAAACGTCGAAATACTAAGTAGCTGAATTGTGCATTTATGTGTGGCTTATGCGCACTTGTATCTCACATTGAAATATATTATTTTCTGTCCTTATTTAAAGCATAATCGATGTTATAAATTTTTTTGAATCTTACGAGCTTTTCTGTGATTAGAAAAGTTGATTTTCAATAGAAATTTAAAGCACGATTAAAGCAGCAACAGCATACTTATCGATTAGCTCAGCTAGACATAAGAAAGTCACAATTACATTGTTCCTGAAAAAGCAGTTTAAAACTCTTCGAAAGTCGAAATATTGTGAAAAAATAGCAAAAAACGCCGCTTAAATAAAACTTTACCAAATAATAAGTTAATTGAAGCATTTATCCTTAATTAAATCAGTTAAAAACAATCATAAACTTCAGACATGTCTAAGGCACATCCACCAGAGTTGAAAAAGTAAGTAAATTACCAACGCATTGAAAACGTTTTAATAACAAAATGTATCATTAAGGTATATGGACAAAAAGTTATCATTAAAATTAAATGGAGGTCGTTGTGTTCAAGGAATTCTCAGAGGTTTTGATCCATTCATGAATGTTGTGATGGACGAGGGACAAGAAGTCACAAAGGATGGCAAGAAAAGTGATATCGGAATGGTTGTAAGTAAAAAATCTCTATTCTGGATCTTCTGGATCTCATTAGCTCTAATATTTGTGCATTTTCAGGTCATCAGAGGAAACAGTATAATTATGGTCGAGGCACTGGAGCGGATTTAAGATTTAATTTCAAGCTGTATCTTAAGAATCACAAAATTAAATAATTAAAGATCAACAAATTCTTTTTTTTTGTAAAATCTTGAGTAGTTTTTATTTATTTGTTACATTTGACTAAAATCTTTAGGTATAATGAGCTTGTTTGTCTAACTAGGTTTTGCAGCAATCTTTAGGAAACTTAATTAAATTACTTTTGTTCGTCAATTCTGGTTAATTGTTTTATATTCAGCTTCTATCTTAACTTCTTGTTCGATAATTGGCATCTCTATCATCTCTTGTTCGTTCTCATGCTCAAGTTCTTTAATTGTCGTGTTTGCTGGACCAACAAACTTTTCAACTCTTCTAATGTGTGACTTTATGTCTATTCCATGCACTGTCTTCTTGTGATTTCTTAAGTGATATCCTTGAATAAATCCTTCAGAGCACAAATCACACTTGAATCTCTCACCAGTATGTCTGCAGTGGAGTAAGGTATTAAATTTAACTATTGATTTATTTGATAATTTTGCTTACCTTCTTATGTGTGCTTTGAGATCGTTGCCTTGAGAAAAGGACTTTGAGCAGTAGCTGCATGAGTAAGGCTTCTCTCCTATTAATTAATATGACGGACAAAATTCAAAAATTTATTCAAAACCATACAACAGTAAAATTACGATTTGTATGGTTTTCGTAGCATTTTAGAGAAACCATACAAAATCAAAAATATTTGCATTTGTATTGTTTTGAATTATTTGATATTTAAAGAACTTACGAATGTTTTCAAAACTCAATGAATTTGTATTGCTTTCAAACACAAAAATTTATATAGTTCCAAAAATATGATAGCTTTACCTGTATGAACGCGCATATGAACTAGCAAATTATAAGCTCTCTGAAATCCCTTTCCACATAAATTGCACAAATGTGTCTTTTCATTGGTATGATATCTTTCATGGACCGTCAAATCTGTAGCTCTTGGAAATCCTTTGTCACAGAATCGACATTTGTAAGGTTTCAACCCTAAATGACGTCGCATGTGGATAACTAGATAATCATTTCTAACGAATCTTAAGCCACATTCTGAACAGAGGAAAGGCTTTTCATTTTGTGGATCTTTCTTTGCATTACTTTTGTCTATGTTATGAACTTTCATGTGAGTTTTAAGGTACTTTTTGGACGAAAATGTTTTGTGACAAAATGAGCAGATTTCCTTCTCTCGAATGCCTTCACTATGTTTAGATTCTATGTGCTTCTTCAAATGTTCTAAAAGTTTACAATAAAAAAAAATTATTAGGCATTAAGCAACAAGAAGCGATGAGTTTACCTTCTTTAAGAAATCCCTTTTTACAGTCAGGTACTTCGCAATGAAATGGTTTGGATTCTGAGTGATTACTGAGCATATGATGATTTAAACGATCAAGTCTGGTAAATCCTTTGCTACATACTGTACATTGTAGCGATCTACTTTCATTATGTGACAATTGATGCCGCTTTAGATGAGTTAATCTAGTAAATGTTTTATTACATTTGTCACATTGGTAATTTTGCTTCAATTTATTCTCATCCTCGTCCGTGTCATGCTCATTAAATGGATTTTCAAACTCAAATTCTTTTGGATCTAAAGATCTATTTTGTATGTCTTCGTCAACTATACAGCTTTCATTATTATCCTTTTCTACCTTAAATTGAAGAATTGATTCTTGTGACACTACTGGATGTAATACAGTTAATGGATTTGTCTGAGAATTCACAAACATTCCTTCATCCTGTATGTTAATTGTGTCAAAATTTTCATTATCAAAGTGCATCTGGATGTTCTGTTGATCTGTTTGTGTACATTTATCTTCTACCCCAGAGATATTGATGTCACTTTCAAGCGCTTCTGTTAATATCTGTGTCGAGTTCATGCATTGCTTCTTAAAGTCAAAGGATCTTTTAATCATCGCTTGACATTCACTACATAAACGATTTGGTAAATTTTGTGTAAAAGGCATCTAAAAGGAGATCAATTCCTTATACAAATTCATGTGAGCTTAATTAAGTTTTCCTTACAATCTTTCCAAAAGTTTCATTAATTAATTCGAAAAAATTTAATTTATTTGCTAATTCCTCGCTGCAGATGTCATATAGAGATATCATTGTGTCATCGCCTGCTGTATTTAGACATGTCCTGCACACCTTCTCTATTGATACTTCCTCTAACTGAACAGTTAACTTGGTTTCCATCATTAATTATATTTTTAAAAAGTTTGTTTATAAATATTACAAGGTGTGGATACTCTGGAATTTTTTGGGTATGCAACTCGATAATATCAATTTATTATAGTTTTTAAGGAAAGATTTGTATTGGAATCAGTTCATTTTGGATGATTAATTAAGAGATATTGATATTAAACTCCAGAATTACTCGAAAATTTTCAAAGTTTCCATCCCTTGCATCAATTGCTCTGTTTTGCTCAATTTCAAAGTCAAATGGAATTTTGAAGAAACTGGATCTTTAAAATTTTAATTAACTTAACAGTATAGTGATATTACTATTGACACCTTCAATTGCTGTCAGAATCCACAAAAATACAACTTTTGCTCAGTTTCTTTGCAGCGCATTTTCAAAATTCAAATTGTTGACATAAACAAAAGGATTCAAATTTTAAGATTCCGTTATTTTTTTAAGCATTCAAAAATTTATTAATTATGAATTGTAACATAAATTTTGATAACGAGTAGTACATGGAAATATGATTAGACGAGTTTCTGAATTACTTTTTGCCTAAAAGTTTGAACATTTGTTGGTTCTGCTTGCCAATTTTAATATCAACATCTTCCGTTTTATCTGTAATTTGGTCGATTAGATCATTTTGAGAATCGATTTCTCCGTTTAGATCAATAGCTAAGCCTTTTAAGCGTGACAAACTATCACACATTTCGTCCAAATTTCGATCGAGTTGTTGATTAAAATTTACATTCCCAGCCATTTGCTGTTGCTGCATTTGTGGATCATTACGAAGTCGAGTTGTTGGATGTTGATTATATCTTTCGTCAGAAGTTGGGGAAGCAATAGATGAGCTGTTTGATGATGATGGTGACATTTTGGATGGCTCAAATTCAGACTTTCCAGAGAGATAATTTTTAAGTCCACCAAACATTGACTTGATGCCTGTCAAGTGTCTCTGACTGAACTTTAAACTTGTATTAATCGTGTCTAATTGATCTCTTGTCTTTTCAAGTTGTTCTCGCTGTTTAGACAATTCTTGTGCTGTTGCAATTCCAACTTGTTCTGTTTCTCTTAACAATCCAATGCTTCTTTGTGAGGAATCAATCGTACGATTCTCAATTTCCTTTCTTTTCTGCTCGTACAACTGTCTTTGTTCTAAATAATCATCTTTTGGTTTTACACGAGAATTTTTAAGGAATGTTTCATCATCAACATCATCACTGAACAAGCTATTGCCATTCGAGAAATACTGGTGGCCTGACATGATTTAATCTGTGACAAAATGGCATTATACGCAATTAGCTTTGATAATGAATGAGTCATATAATTGATAACTTACCTTATACGCCTTTAATTACTAAATTTGTGACTAATATTGAGTTTCCAGTGATGTTTTCAGATCTTTTGTTTTATTCTTCTGGATGTCGAGCCTTTGTTTGTTGATTGAATTCTAGGATTTATGGTGTAACTTTTGATAAGAAATACTTTCTCGAATTTTCTACTATTTCCGGTCTTACTCTAATGAATCTTAATATCACTTCTGTTGTAATGATGATATCGAATGTGATAGTGCTGTTTATATGTCTATTAATCTGCTCTAAATAAGAGAAATTCACTTTTAATTTTAATTCAGGATTTTCAAAGATTTTTTATGTTTCAATGTATTGGTAAGTCGCAAGTTTAAGATTCAAACTTTTAATGACTGTTGGGACTTTTGAATTTTTTGAACAAAATCCGTTAAAACATAATTTAACTCCACATAAATTAAGCTTTAATCATGCTCTGAAAGTCACTGGATCTAGTTTAAACGCATAGAATCGTACCAACACATAACTTGATTCGAATTTTCGGACTTGACAAAGACGTAAACAAAAATTCATGCAGTCAAGTTCTTGCTGTTGAGTAGAAAAGACCTTTGCAGCTTATTCAGTCAGTTTCTAATAAGATTTTGTAACTTAAACATGTCAAGAAAGATCATTGTATACGGTGGCAAGGGAGCTTTAGGCTCGATCTGTGTTAATTACTTCAAGTCAAAGAATTTCGTAAGTTAATTTAAAAATTTGAACAAAACTCGCATATAATTATGTCACGAAATTGAGAACAGAATAATGCAAGAACTAAGAAAAATTCCAAGGCTAAACATGTTTCTCAATAAATTCCGTGACTGTTTAAAAACCAGTTCGTAGCTAATTTGAAAATCAAGTCATTAAGTTATTCTCACATTCCGGTTTCTCTTATTGCGTTCTAGTGGGTCGGTTCCATAGATTTAACTGAGAATCCTGAAGCCGATGCAAATATTCTTGTTAACCGAGATGCTGACTTTGTGCAACAGGAAACTCAAGTTATTGACGAGATTCGAGGACTCTTGAATAATGAGAAAATTGAAGCTGTTGTGTGTGTGGCTGTAAGTATTTATCTATGTCCCTCATACCTTTTTTACGTTCTATTTATCATGTGTAGGGTGGCTGGGCAGGCGGAAATGCTAGCAAAGATTTGGCAAAAAATACTGACATGATGATTAAGCAGTCTGTATGGAGTTCAGTCATTTCTGCGTCAGTAGCTTCACAATTCCTTAAAGAGGGTGGGATTTTGACATTGACAGGTGCCAAACCTGCATTAACTGGCACACCAGGAATGATTGGATATGGAATGGCTAAAGCAGCTGTTCATCAACTTACAAAATCACTCGCAACAAGTGGATCTGGATTGCCTGATAATTCATTCGTAGCTTCAATCTTGCCAATCACTTTAGACACTCCAATGAACCGCAAATGGATGCCAAAAGCAGATCATACAACGTGGACACCACTCGAATTTGTTGCTGATTTATTCCACAAGTGGATTATTGCACCAGAAAATCGACCAGCAAACGGCTCATTACTTCAACTTGTTACAAAAGACTCGAAAACTGAACTAGTTGCTGCTGAATAAACTTTTTGTTGTTAAGAATTTTACTGAATTTCTCTCTCAGTATGCATGCATGGACCATTAATCATGAACAATAATCATTCCTTAATTAATTGTTGTTTATAATTGTGCTTGATATACTCGAAAAATATATATTATGATAATTAAAGACATCATTTTTATGGGTTTTTTGCTGTTATTAATCTCAATTCAAGCGAATTAAATGAATGGACAATTTGTTGAAAGTTCTTTTTTTTGTAAAACGTGGCAGATGAATTTGACTAAAAGCATGGTGGGAATCCATTGAAATTTTGAAAAACGTTAAAGTTTAAAATTTGAAATGGTTGAATGTCAAAATTCAAATTTTTGAAAAGCGTTAAAGCCTAATTTGAATTTTTGAACTAGATTCGAGCATAATTTTCAAATTCCAGAAATCCGTTAATCTTCAAAATTCAAACACAATTTTCTACTTTCAGCAACGCGTCAATGCACCAACATGCAAGCAAATCCTGATAACAATTTCTCATTTTGATTTTTTATATTCGTCACAATTGTCGTTTCGAATAATAATTCACTTTTTATTTATGTTTAATTTCTTTTTTTTTCTTTAAAATGTATTTATTTACATCCTACTAATAATTTATTATGTGGTGCAAAGTAAATAAAATGGTATTGTAATGATTTTCTCAGTGCAAACAGCCATAACATTAACATTCAATGAGATTTTATCATGTCTCTAGTAGGTTTTACTAATGCTGCAATAGTCTAGTTTAAGTGAAAGTTTAGTTCGGTTAGCAATTGTCTAAAATAAATCGAACGGAAGGTTTTTCTTTTGCTTATTGGCAGTAATTATTATTTTGTTATGTAGCTTTGAAGAACAAAGTAAAAAAGAAATCTCGAGGTCATTATTTATGTATGAGCACTGATTTTTATAATAATTCGCTTTTTCTTATTTCACATGCCTAGTACAATCTTTCATCCTCATAAGACACACACATAATGATGAAAACTTATAAGAATTTTGAGAAAAGAAAAAAACATAAATTTATCGACTAAAATTCAAGAAAATTTCGTTTTTTACTAAATAATTAAGCATTTATACCATAAAAATGTCTTGTCTATTTGTTCCAAAAATTATTTAATTCATAATGTGGCAATTCTTCTCATTTTTCAGGAACTTTACAAATAATTTTGACGAACAAAATTTTTTTTAAATAAGTTAAGCGAAAAGAATTTTAAAGTTGTATAAAGTTTCAATTCTAGAATAGAAATAGAAATAGAACGATGAGATGTATGTAAGGATATAAGTTTGTTTAAACCTGTTTAAACGAGTTCAAGGCGTTTCATTTCCTTGTATAATTCACGGCCCATTTGTGCAGGACTTCTAGTAACAATGACTCCAGCTCTTTCGAGTGCATTAATCTTATCTTGAGCTCCTCCTTTTCCACCGCTAATAATTGCACCAGCATGTCCCATACGTCGTCCTGGTGGTGCTGAAAGTCCAGCAATGAATGAAACTACTGGCTTTGCCTTAATACCCTGCAAATACACAACAAAATTCATTATATTAACATCAAATAGACAAACATCTCGCACAAGTTAATTTCAAAATTTACCGATCAAAAATCATTTGAATTTTAACGGTAGGAAAAAATTTAAAAAATAACAGTCAGTATAAATTTAAAAATCGAAATTCAGAAATAATAGCGGTTAAATTACATTACAGCACTAAGACACAAAATTGCTTACCGAGTTGAATTCTGTCAAGTAATCAGCAGCCTTTTCCTCAGCAACACCACCAATTTCACCAATCAAGATGATTCCCTTAGTTTCTGGATCTCTAAGGAAGATCTCCAAGCAATCAATAAAGTCAGTTCCATTGAATGGATCACCACCAATTCCGACGCACAATGTCTGTCCCAATCCAACTTCTGTGGTTTGATGTACAGCCTCATAAGTCAATGTACCGGAACGTGAGACGACTCCAATAACACCCTTCTTATGAATATGACCAGGCATGATGCCAATTTTGCACTAAAAATAAGTACGCATGAAGAAACATTTAATGACGCGCTTCAAGTATGTACGTCAATTGAGTATAGACACTTACAGCTTCTGGTGCAATTATTCCTGGACAATTTGGACCGACTAATCGTGATTTGTCTTGACTAAGGAGACGATTCTTAACTTTAACCATGTCATGTTGTGGAACACCTTCCGTGATAGCAACAATTAATGGCATTTCAGCATCAATGGCTTCAATAATGGCTTTTGCAGCACCGGGTGGAGGTACATAAATGACTGTTGCATCAGCACCGGTTGCTTGTTTTGCTTCTGCGACCTGTAATTATTAAGCACATGAAATTGATTCTATTTTACAGTTATTCGGCTTTTTGCGAATTTTCTCATTACACCATATTTCTTTCGAGTACGAGATTCACGTACGCATGAATAAATTGATACTTACACTATTGAAAACTGGCAAGTCTAAATGAGTACGACCTCCTTTTCCAGGACTAACGCCACCGACTATTTTTGTACCATATTCAAGGGCTTGTTGTGAATGGAAAGTTCCTTGTTTGCCGGTAAATCCTTGACAGATAACCTTAGTGTCTTTCGTTAATTTCAGATTCTTTCGGGTTGCTTCATAACTTGCATATCTAACGCCAAATTTTCCGAGATGGAGACCATCTGTGTGAGAAAAGAATGGAAAAAGAAGAAAATGAGTCAGACGTATCACGTGTAATTTATTTTTGGACGTAACGAAAAGAAAATTCCACTGAAGAAGAATAAACGTCACTAAACAAAAACCTGTGTGTGACCTTAAAGATTACACAAACAGTGCTAATAAATATGTTGCTAGCTTCTCGACTTATCTCACATGATGCACAACTATAGTAAGTCAATATAGTTTGTAAACAAAGCTATAACTCAATTGATTAATTAAAGTCTACACTTTGGACTTCCAGTGCTTACTATCAGCTGGAATTTCGAACTTTGTCATTGACTTCCTTTAAAATGAATATTGAATTAAGTCACAGGGATTCTCAAGTGACCTCGATGTGATCTTCAAATACAAATTAATAGAATGGTATGCGAGAAAGTAGAGTAGTTCATTTTGAGTGCCGTATCCCTGACAGCTATTATTCAATCACAATTTTCTTTTCTTTTCTTTCGACCACTTTTTATTTTACAAATATCACAAGAAATACGTAACAATCCACAAACCTTTGACTTTTAATAACATTCTTGATGATGCCATTTTTACTAGTGCACTACTAATCGTTCGAGTTCCTGTTTGATTAGCGAGAATTTAATCACGATTTAAATTTTGCAACCTTGCTATGAAAATTTGCCGTCAAATATAATCTGTCAATTTTCTGTCAAATGCTACTATGATATTTTCTAAACTTACTGTTCCTTAAACGCACTCTTATGGGATGAAACTGTATAAAATGCCGTGTATTATTATTATGCCTTAAATCACAGGTAATATTCAATTTAATCTACTGGATGAAACTGCTGTATACTTTTAAAAATCTAGAACCTCACAAATGTTATGAAATCAGTATAAATGTTGTTAAAATTTTTGGAATTGTAGGGTTTTGAGATTTAAATTGAAAAACCCGTTGATGAATTTAAAGTTAAAATTACCGTTACAAGAAGATTTTCGAACATGTGTCACGTGTGTCACAAATCAGCACGTTTTGCATTGAATATACGATGTTGGATCCAGACAAATATCATAACGGATAATCTGATATTGATTAGCATTATAATTAAGTTTCTAATGTTTTCCATCGACATAAAACAGAATAATTTAAGAAACTTTCAGTCAATCTGTAAAAATTAATAGCAGACACAACAAATCATAAAAACCGACAGTTTAGAAAAATCGCCCGATATATACAGTTTCGTCCCATAGTACACACAAGAAAATATATATTAAAAAGAGTTTCATTTAAAGTAAAAAAAATTTTTCCACTTAACAAGTTAAGATGGAGAAAAAGATAAAATTAAAGACTCTAAATCCATTTATAAGCTGCAAAATATGTCGAGGATACCTAATCGATGCAACAACCATCGTAGAATGCTTGCATACGTGTAAGTACTAATTTAAAGTCATTTCTCTCACATTTAGAGATACTTTTTTGTTTATTATGGTGCTCTACTTTTGTCCTCGCATCAAGAATTATCGCCGACAACACAAACTGAGCCTTAATTAATGCTTTCATTTCCTTTCAGTCTGCAAGAGCTGTCTAGTTAAACATTTAGAAGAATCGCCTAATAATGCATGTCCCGACTGTAACTTGATAATTCATCAATCACATCCATTACAATACATAAGTCATGACCGAACAATGCAGGATATTGTTTATAAGCTGGTGCCCAATTTACAGGATAGTAAGTGTCCTCATTACCTTTGCTGTCTTTATTATGATATTAATAAGATCCAATTTCAACTTCCAGATGAGATGAACAGAGAAAGAGCCTTTTACAAGGCCCGAAACCTTCCATGTCCGAAAGATATACCTCAAGACAATAAAGAAAGTGACGAGATGGAATCAAAACTTAACGAAGCACATCAAGAATCTGATTATCATAGAATGGATGAGCAAGTTAATTTATGTCTGGAGTGCAGTTCAAATAGTAATCTAAAGAATTTAAAGAGACGATTTATTCGATGTAGCTCTCAAGCAACAATAACTCAATTGAAGAAATTTGTCGCCAAGAAAGTATTAAATGGAATAGAGAAATATAGAGAGGTGAGTTGTGTTTACAAGTGCAATTATGGCTTATAAGCGAAGGTCCAAGACAGTCTGGATCTGCGTTAAGATTAAAAATGGTCTCTGGATGCGCTCTTGTGGCTTTAAACTGATCCCTTACAATTTAGATTAATTAAATCCATGAATTAAACTTGAGATTAAATAAATCCATAGATTTAAACACTAATCCTGAAGATATAATGAATCAGCCTTAACTGAATTTCACAACTCTTTCGAACACTGACTAATTCAATGACATTCAAATTCTACCCCACAGATTGATATTCTCTGCAATGACGAGCTATTGGGAAAGGACCACACATTAAAGTTTGTTTATGTTACTCGATGGAGATTTAAAGGTACGAAAACATGAAAAGCAGCCTCACGAAAAAAATATCTGACCTAAATTCTATTTCCAGATCCACCACTCAGACTGCAATATAGAACAACCATATTTGATTAAGAAGAAGTCAACAAACACACACATTTTATATGCAATCTTTTGATTTCAAGAAAACAAAAAAAAAAAGAGAAGTTATTGGCACTGAATTATGATGCCGGAGTTACACACTTATATTAATTAAATTATATTTTAAACTAGGAATTCTTTAAATTAACGTTTTTAATTCGTTTCATACAAAATTATTAATTTTTTTTTTCATGATTAAGGATGAATAAAGAAGGGATAAATGTTCATATAGTGACTGGTTTTTCTCTTACTTACAAAACATATAAATGAATTCAAAATAATATACTATTCTTCAGCCTTAATAATCTTCAATTCATGATCAACTCGTACTTTCTTATGCTCATGTCCTGCATTTTCATTTAGCTCGTTTTCACTGTGTTCAGGTGTTGTGGATGAATTATTTGTCTCAAAGTCACAATCGTTTGAATAAAATCCGGAATCTCCATAGTCATAGCTGTCTTCTGATGTGCTGCTTTCTTGGTCCATTGTACTTAGTTTTTCAATGAATAAATTCACAATTGGCTGAAGATCCATAAATGAAGCATGTGTAAGGAACTCAAGTTGTAGATTCCAAACTGTCTTAATGTTTAATAACTTTCGTGTCGTAGCAATTACAGCAGCAGCAACTCTTGACGGTAGAAATTGATGAAACACAATGTCATGCAATATTATGTCTGTTAGTGACTTGATATATTCTGAGGCATAGAACTTTAAGTCTCCGAATGAACCAATACTCAAATCACCAGCATACATGTCTTGAACATCATTTTCAACTACAGCGATCTTTTGAAAAATTAATAAAAAGCTTACAGCCGTTGGACATATTGTGTTAAACTTGAGCGTTTGAAAAATCATGAATTCGAGTGTACAGTAAAGCTTTAAATAAGCCTTGTAAGCTGTTGATAATTCTTCCCTTGTATAATTTTGTTTTACTTTGAAATCAACGCCAAGTTCCTCAGTCAAATCAACAATGTGTAATAGATCCTTTATGGACGGGACATTATCGTCATTCTCTTCAGTCTTTGCAGCCAGTAAAAGTGCGACTAAAGCAACAAACTTTTGATGCTCAGCAACCGTACTTAAAATATACGAATCCATGTATATATCCAAATATAAAACAGCTAAGTGTATCGTGCTGATTGCATACTTCTTTCGCTTTCCATAGCATTTGATCACATCAATTAAATAGTTCCGGATATTTTGATGATTTTGTCCCGTAACGACAATTCTGCGTTGTTCATTATCAAAATATGTTTTAATTATATCATAAACATAGACTGTATATAGAGATTTGTCATTAAGGAATTCTGACTCTGACTCTTCATTAATTGGCATTATAATTAAGTTTTCTTCACACTCATCATGCTTAATAATAACCTAGTTTGAAGGAAAATTCATCAATACACAATTGAAATGCTTAATTAGTAATCTCTTACCCTTATATTCTCAATGATATGTATCTTTTTCAATTCGTTTATAGCTGCCATTATCCATTTACTCACCATTAGCCTGAAAATGCCTCAACTTTTTAAGAAATTCAGTGCATTAAAATCATCGAAACAAGCTGGAACTTTTTAACTTGTGCTTTTTTCAACGATTTTTTAAAATTTGAATTTTTTGTAAACATTGAATTGAGACAAAAATTAAGAGAGTTATTCAGAAAAATCAAAATTAATTAATTAACACACAATTAGGAAGTTTATAATAGTGAAAATGAGTTCTAGCTACTATTTTGCAATCGTTGGACATAATGACAATCCAATATTCGAGCAGGAATTCATCAATTCAAAGGAAGTTAAGGTAATTCATTTTGATGATTTAAAAAATGCCCGAAATTGATTAATTAAATCAATTAGAAAGAGGATCACCGGCATTTGAATCAATTTATAGCACATGCAGCACTAGATCTAATCGACGAGCATAAATGGAAAAATAATACAACATATCTAAAGTGTTTGGACAAATTTAATCAATTCTTCGTTAGTGCTTTTGTGACAGCAAGTCAAATCAGGTTTGTCATGGTAAGTACAGTAGAAGTGACTTAATTAGTGCATTATTCACAATTATTAAATTATCCCCAAAAGGTTCATGATACTCAAAATGATACTGGAATTAAGAACTTCTTTAATGAGATCTATGAGACATACATAAAACTAGCTTTAAATCCCTTTTACAACATCAACTCTCCAATCAAATCAGTGCAGTTCGAAAAGAAGGCACAAATAGCTGGTAAAAAGTACTTAAGTAATTAATATGTAATAATCAATTCCACTTATATTTAACTATAATAAATTTAAATCAGTTAAGCATGATTATTTAACCAGATATATAATTAATTGATTTAAAAAGTTATTCCACGCAATTACCTTTCAGTAATCATCTTAATTGAAGCGTATCTTGCGAATAACTTTTTGCGATTAAAAGAAAAGTTATTGGCAAACATTGATTTCTGTTGGCTGTCATAGTTTGATTAATGAATGCTGGAAATAATTGATTCTGTTTGCTGGATGTTCAGTTGATGTTCGTGTAAATGAAGCCTTCTTCTTACAGCCAAGATACAGATAAATATATTAAAAAGTCTAAACATCTTATAAGCTGATCTAGGCTACATATCCTGAAATGCAACGAGTATAAGCCGTGCCAAAATAGAAAAACATGTTAATCAGATCAGCGATTCCCACAATTAAAATAGAAAACATTCATAACACATTCCAGTCACACTTCCTCAACAAAACAGCAATTAATTATGTTTAAAAATTCAATTTGAATTTATTTCCATTTTCTCTTTACACAAGATATAAAAATGTCATTAATTAAAACATCTAATAACAAAAGGTAACAGAAACGTTGTCTCTATGCAGTAAAATAAGTCATAATTGACGAAATGTATCACATTTTGGCTCAGTAGTTCATCACTCATTTAATGATGTGCAGCTTCGTAGGCAGAGAAGTCATATTCAGGAGATTCGTGGATTTCATGACTCTCAGTTCCAGCTGAACCTGAATCATGATGATGTGGGTGATATTCAATCTTATGATTTTTATATTCACTATGATTTTCAAGTGTCAGTCCATAACCCTTGGCATGTTCAGTCTCGGGATGAACAAGCTTCAATTTATGGTTATTGGAACCGATTTCAACTGGGTGATGAATGTACTTTTGATCTTCTTTCTTAACATAAACAGGTACGGCATGATAATGGATGAATTTGACTGACTGATGTGATTGAGCATGTTTATGTTCTACATGTGAATGATGTTCAGTCTCAGATGTTTCTCCTTCACCGCCATGTTTATAGTCATGGACGACTCCGGCAATAGTGACGGTGATAAATGCAGCAAAAATCTAGAAAAATAATTAATTGTGTTAATTTAAAGGAACCAGAAAGTGTTTGATCCTTAAAGACTTACGAGAAACTTGAACATTTTTAATAAATGGAAAACTTCTCCTATTAGACCTTGATATGAAAACTCACAAAACTTGAATGTTGAAAAGTAGAGTCATTTGCTTAGTTTTATACGAATGTCCCCTCTATATTTACTTAGTATAGGCACAAAAGTGCACTCATTCTCTCTACTCACTTCACCCCCCATTCATATTTAAATTTCTTTCTTTCTCTCATTGTTCCTATAGCCATGAAAGTCATTAATATTAGTTTTTGGCACAAATGAGCATTAATAAACGATTTTGCGGCTCATTTCATTCCTAACAACATTATTTAGCATTATGTATCTCTTGTAAGCTTTACAGCAACAACAAGAACATGTGGGAATGAAAACATACCAAAAGTTCATACAACCGGCGCAAACTATGTAAGTTTATGGTGTTAATTTTGCATTATTTTATTTATTGTGTATCAAATGCAGTCATAATTTAAGGAAATTACATGCGCACTAAGCTATACTAAGTTTATGTCATAATTCATAACGCAACATATAAATTACCCAAAAAATTTACAATGACTTAATTAGGTGATCAATTATAGAAAATTGTCCACAATTTATTAATCTATGAGCTTTGAAACTAATGAAAAATCAATCATGTCCATACTTTAAGTAAATAAACATTGCACAATCTTTTCTTTTTTACATCATAATACTTTGTTTTGAAGAAATCGAAAGTGACAAACTGGATTATGCCGATAAAACTGGAAATAATATTTTTTTAATGTTTTTTCATAGCGTCGTCTTTCTTCCGAGTGCATTTTGCATAAATAATAAACTCTGTGTATGGTGTAACCATCTATTGTAATTTCTAATGATTGAAATCTTTTTTTTTTATTGAAAATTGTGATCTGAAGTACTGAGAAAAATGGTTGAAGATTGTCGACTAGATTGGTTGATGTATGATTAATCCCTTAAGATTCGTAAACTTAAACAATTGGATCTAAGTAGATCTGTTAAGTTATCGGATAGTTTGTTGTCGGTTCTTGATTCGAATTTGGTTTTAAACTCGAGTGTTTAAGGTTCTCGCTGGTTTGAATCATTTATAAGTTTGTGTATTTGCAGTATTTTACACAGTTCGGACAACACTGGTCTGGATCAAAACATCATTCGAGCTCTGGATAACTTTAGAGCGAAGAATAGATTAGGAAATAAAACTTCAATTTGAGAATTCGAAACAAAAGCTTCAAGATTATCTTTATAATCAAATATCAATAGAACGGATCTTAAAGTATCACGTTATGTCTATAGAAAATCTAAACTAGAATCTACAGTTATTCGGAAACTAGTCCTTAATCTTATACAATTGAAAGCTGCTTATTTTTCAATTGATCAACCTTAATTTAAGGGAAAATATTATGTCAACCAGAACTCAAAAGGTCAACATATGTTAAGTATGAAATCAGCTTTCAAGATCATTTGAAGAAACCTCGCACATCTTTTGCCAATTCAGTCCACTTTCCATTAAATAGGTTGATTGAGAATCATTAAAAACACAATACATGCAATAACTGCAATAGAGAAAGAAAAATCGAAGTCATATGTGAGAAAAAAGCAATTTCTTCAAAACTTAGGCACTGAAAACTAAAGCTGAAAGGAAAATTATTTAGATGAAATGCTAGCGTTATAACATAATATTCAGTATATTTGCAGCCTTTTTAATGCATTGAAAGAAGAGAGAAGAGAAGAAAAAATAACTTTCGCTTATTTTTTGACATGCATTATGCATCTTGATATTGAATAAAGCTTTGCTTGCCAATCTGAAAAAGAAAAAAAACTTCCTACCTGAAAAGCGAGTTTGAATTTTAGCCAATAGACGTTTCTCTCTATTTTATGAGGTACCGAATGTAGTTTTTAAGCAACGGGATGACAATGTGTTGTGAGGGTTAATCCATAAATAATATTCGATATTTGGTTTTTTGGATAGGAGTGAATGGTGTCAATAGCTTAGTAGGAGCCTGACTCTGCAACTGATAGGTCACCTTTCTTGTGACCGATGCTGTGCGATCTCAAAAGACATCATTTACGAACATAGCACCTAATAACTTAATTCAGAACTCATTGATTACTAATTTGTTGCTTCTGATGACATGCGTAGATAATTTGGAAAGAACCACCAATTCACTGTTGTTTTTGGCGGGAATTTCACAGTCTAGTTATCAGAATTTTGCAATGATAAGATAATGGCAACCTATATAAGGTACGGAGAAGTCGATGGAGCTTTTAGTTTTTATTCTAAGAAAGTGAAATTGTTGTTAAAAATGGAAAATAGGTAGCTAGACATTTTTTATATTTTTGTGTCACTTTCCAAAACACCAAAATTGATTTTCTATTGACAGATATTTCCTTGTCTTTGTACTTTTGTCGTCAGTCCTCGTTGCGAGTGGACAAGTTGTTCTTAACTGCAACTATGATCATTTATCAGTTAATGGAGCAGTTGGATATGGATGTGATTTGAAAAATGTACGAGTTGACAGAGAGACTGATCGTATAATTGTAATGGGTGATCATCAGCCAGGCATGACAAACAATGACGTCGTTAGATTGACAATTATGAACTCTCAAACAGGCTTTATCATTACACAACTTTTTACACAATTCCCCAATCTTCATCAATTGGAAATATCGAATGGTGGACTTCAAAGAATTCAACCGAATGCCTTTGTTCTTGCAAGAAACTTGAGAAGTTTAGTTATTCAGGGAAATAACCTTATTGTTCTTCAAGCTAATTCCTTCAATCACATGATGGTCTTGGATACACTCATTTTACGATCAAACAACATCCAACTTATGGATGCAAATACATTCGTTGGCTTAACAAGTTTGAGATACTTGTTTATCAATAATGAAGGAATTAGAATGATTCAACCAAACACATTCAGACCATTGACAAGCCTCGTTATGTTATCATTGGGATCTAATCATATTGAACGCGTTGATGCTGAAATGCTCGTCAATAATCGACAACTTCACAGCGTATTTTTGGAAAATAATAATATTAATGCTATCCAGCCAACAATCATCAATAACATCAACAGCATTCAAATCCTTTCATTGAGCTCCAATCCATGTATAAACCATGTTATCATTCCAAGAGCTGCATCCTCTGACGATATCAATGAAATGTTGAACAAGTGCTACGCAAATTGGCACTAAGCTTTAATTATATCGTTTGATATCTTTTACATTTAATATATCCACATCTTATGCTGCTATGCTGAGTGCCTTCTAAATCTTGCGTTTTCGGTATACTAGTGATCTATGCATTGTTGCTAAATGTGTCAATTTTCAATAAGGTTTGATTACTTACACCTGAGCCGACCTGGAAAAAATCGATGTTGCCCCTCAGCATTATACACAATTAAACAACACCTTAGTATGCCGCAGACCATAATAGTTTAGAAGACATTGCTATAAACTTATTATATGTATTACTTTAATCAATAAGCAAGATGTAATAAAAATAAAATCAGTTTATGCCTGTAAAAAAACGAATTTAACGAGTAGTTATGCAATATACCTGATTACCTGTCTACTCGATCAATGCATTTCTCTTAAAGTCATTGGCAGACATAATTAAATATGTGAGCGCGCATTTCTTTTCCTATTTTAAATGAACATGAACTTGACATTTCTCGTAGTCAACAAATCATACACAAGGAAATTATTATTCACGGACTTGATCGATCTCAATTTGTGTTTTGAGCAATTAAATTAATGATTTGTTTATTCTCTTTTTAAAAAAAATATGAGTTGGTTGAAGATGCTTCATATGTGGCTTTTCATCATAAAAAATTACTCAAGGAAGAAAAATGAATCTTTTAATGCTTTCGTAAGCATCTATGTTAAATATTCTTCTCGTGAAGGTTTATAAACATACAAGTTGTTTCTACAATGAATCATTGACAACATCAGTTTGGCTTTTCTTTTATAATGTGGGGTCTAAGCAGAGTGGGATGTGAGGTATCGAGTCATATGGAAGCAAATCTGTTAATGCTTCTGATGGGAGCTGAATTCTTATCTTCATAAAAAAGAAAGTATCAGATCCAATGCATTTTCTCTTATACTGGCAGATTCACCTATGCATGACTTGATATCCCTGATTCCAATCTGATAAAACCCCACGCATAATATAAATAACAATAAGCATTAATTAAATAATTTAAATAACTTAATAATATAACACACTTTATAAAGATCTATTAGATTAATTGAGTCTTGCTAGCATTATCTGTTGATGGGGAGGTTTAGATTTAAGCGGCGGTGGAGGTCTCATGTCACGTGCAGGTTCTCGGAATCGCGTTATCGTTGGCTTGTTATCATCTCTTGCATGCTTGTTTCTAATCATTGGTCTCACAACAAAAACATTCTGACTTTGTGCTGGTTGTGGCTCTATTCTTTGCTTCTTATTAATTTGATTCCAATTACTGTAATCGTGAATGTTTATAGCATTCTTAATTTGATGATGCTGATTATTATTATTATTATTATTGTTGTTGTTTCTCTGCTTATTCTGTTGTTGGTTCTGTTGCTGATTCTGCTTTGACTTATTTAAATTCATAAGAGTTCCAACAAGTGGAAATTTATGTTGATATTGTTGTTGCTGACTTTGTTGTTGTTGTTGCTGCTGCTGCTGCTGCTTGTTTGAGTTTGATTGGTTCTTCTTTGGCTTTTGCTGTTGATTTTCGTTTGCTTTTTGTTGCTGTTGCTGTTGTTGGCCATAAACTTGATAGATCGGATTATTTGACGTGAATGATCCAACTGGCGAGAAAGCTTTCCAATTGCTGTTAAACTTTTGAGAGGAGCTTTCATCCAAATCTCTTACTTGATCATTGACTTCAGCTTGAGCGAGCCCGCCTAACATGTATCTGGAAGAAATTTGAAAGTTTAATTTTCAAAAAATATTACTAAGCACATGTGCTTGACTTACTTTAACGTATTTAAATCAATATTGTATGGATTTGCAACTGGAATTCCATTAATTATTTGAATTGGAGCATCAATTGTATCATCAACCTTGTTTTCGTCTTCATCATCATCATTGTTTTGAGATACAATTCTTGGTAATTTATTGGCGTCATAATTCATAGACGAGAATGTGTTTTGATTCTGATTGCTTACTAATTTTGTTCCATATTTATTGTTTTGCAGCACATATCCTTTGTATGTATTGTCACTATCATTATCATCTGACACTTTTTGTTTCTGATTATTATGTCCCAAATTATTTATATCATGATAAGTTTGTTGCGAAAAGTGTAGTTTCTGTTTGTTATTATTACCTGCCATGGCATGTGATTGATCAAATTCTTCGACATTTTTTAAGGCTGCCGAATGATCGAATTGAGTAACATGCTGATAAGTTTGTCCGACATCAATTGCTGACAGGTCAAATGGCTTTACTTTCGATTTCTTTATTGTTAAATCAACGTGCGGTGATTCCTGCATGTCATCGATAGCATCTTTTAATTTGTCTGCGGTATAAACGTTTTTCGGTAATTTGAGTGATGCCATTTGTTTGTATTGCTGTGGACCGAGTGTACTCTTATAGCCTGCTGTACTGCTTAGTAAAGCCGTAGGAATTGATGCCTTTGTTGGTCTCATATGATCTTGATTTAACTCCTGGTATTTGTGACTTTTAACTCTACTTGTGCTACTTGATGCACTCGAGTCTTTTTGGCCTGGATAATTCTTCATGTACTGAACAACAGCTTGCTTAATATGTCTTAAATAGTCATCTTTAGTGAACTCTAAAGGACGTCCACCTCGAACATTTGGATCAACTATTCTTACATTGTCACTGTTGACTAAGTCTGAATCAAATTCAGAATCGAATTCTGAGTCAAACTGTTGGAAGTCTCCATCTTCATACTCCTTATCGCCTTCATGTTGATGTAAATGATGATGATATACTACATCTTGTTCTGGTTTTCCCTTTTTCTTCTGTTTTCTTTCACGTCGATTATCGTCATCAACTGAATATAGAACAAAGTATTGCTGATTTTTTGAGGCTTCTGCATCTAAATCACTGTCACTTTCTGAAGGCATTGGAGGTGGCATTTCATGATCTTGAACATTAACTGGAATCATTGAGCTTTGTGGATATCTGGGCTCTGATGCTATTGTAAATACCATATTCTTTTTACTAGCTCTCTGTCTATCATCCATAACATCCATTCCATCAGATTCCGTTGAATGTCGATCTATTTTCTCTTCTCCATCATCAACTATCTTTCCGGCATCTTGTTCAGTAAAGTATTGATAATTGTAATTTTTATGGAATGAGTTATAAAAGTCCATATCAGCTTGCGTCGATGTATTTAATGCTCGATAATATTCCGGGGCTTTTGCGGTTTCTGACTCATAAGAGGCATTTGGTGGCGTGTAAATAACTTCACTGTCTGTTTTATTAGACTCAAAGTCGTAATATTCTTGTGGATCAACAAACTTGTAGACAATCTTTTCCCTAACTGTTGTCGGTTGCTGCTCATAATTTTCTGAATTATATTGAACTTTTGGTTTTATTACGACTGTCCGTTCATTGCTACCTTCTGAAAATAAATCAGATGAAGATGACGATATGGTTGGTGTCACTTGAGTTGATGGCTTAAAATAAAAATCATTTAAAGTTGTTGAGGAGATTGGCGAGGCTGTCGAATATTTATACAATTCCGGTGCGCGAGTCGTAGTTGAATAATGTGGTGCCATTGTTGTTGATACGGAAGGTGGCAATGAATATTTTTGATATTCTGTTGATGGTCTTCTAATTTTCATTGGTTTACCAGTCGTTGATGCAGACATTGTCGATGATGGCAAATAATAATTGTTCTTCTTTGTTGGCTTTAACATCTTTACTGGCGATGTTGTGGAAGGAGTTAAGGTCGATTGAGATTTATAATTTTTTGGGTTCTCAAAAGTCGGATAGAAGCTTTGTTGTGGAGCATCGCTTCCTTTTAATTCATATTCATTGGGTCGCTGTAAGACAGGAGGATATTGGTAAGGGTCGGTGGATGTATGCTCAATTGTATGACTGAATGACGATGAATGAAGTTTCTTTTTTGTTGGCTGTTTTAATAAAGGAGTTCTTGTGGATGATGGATTAAAGGTCGTAACGGGACTGAATGTTGTTGATGGACTGTAACTTGATGATGGATTAAAATTGGATGAAGGACTGAAATTAGAGGAAGTACTAAATGTTGGACTGTTTGTGGATGAGGGAATTGAAGGTTTTTGTTGCTCAATTTGTGTCGATTCTTCAGATGGATAATAGTAATGATATGTTAATTCGTCGCCGTTTTTATTGACTTCCTTCCTGACAACAGCACCAGCAGTTTGTGGCTGATAGAATTTATCAAAATTATTTTGAGATGTTGAAGCTTTGGCTGGAGTTTTTGTATTTAATCTTTTACTATCCGGGAAGTAAAAGTTATAATCTGCATAGTCAGCTTGAACTTTTTGCTTCTGTCTTGAGGTCGTTGGCCTTCTTGATTCTGTTGTGCGATTCAAATGACTAAATTCCACATATGATGGATAATTTTCTTTAATTTTTGGAGGTGCACTGTATGTCTGTGGAGTCACATACTGAACCTTTTGTTCAGTCGGTTGCTTCTTAGAAGTTTTCTTCAAAGGTTGTAAATTGCCTGCAAAAGAACTCCAGACTTAGTAATTTTTATTAATGTTAAGGAAGTAAATGATATGAACCTGTGAAGAAACTTGCAGGATAATTGTCAGATGGGTCAACAATTTGTGCATGCGACTCATAATTGACTGAATCTAAAGCTATCTGATCCACGTAATTTCCATTACTGTCTTGTGCTGATGTATCGATTACTGGCCTTCGTCGCTTTTGATCACTTTTGGCTGCCTGCGAAAATACACAAGTTTTTCACTTTTATAAAATTAAAATATTTTTTTAAAGGAAATTTTAGAGCATGAAGCAAAAAATTCAATTTCTTTTTCAAATCGATAGCTATTAATTGCACTTAAAACTTGTTAATTGGCTCATTTTTCTGTTAAGCTTTCCAAATTAATTGCAATATTGAATGATGTATTCCACATGAGCACATTTATAGATTAAAGGAAGCACGCAATGCCTCTTGTTCTCACTTCACTATCAACTTTCTTATAAAATTTTCACATTTTTAATTAATCCTTGATATTATTTGGGTATCCTGTGAAATTTTGCTTATCATGCTTTCAACTCTTAAGATATTCCTCTTATAAATTGGAACTTACGACGAAACCGAAGGCAAACAGATAGAAAATTAATTTAATTTTCATCTTAACACGCCGATAATTCACGAACAATTGAAACGAATTTTTTGTATCGCAAAACCTTATATAGATAATGCAGATAGTAAGCATAAAGAAGTAGAAAGAAATAATTTGTACAAAAGATATCAGTAAGAGATGAAATGAGTGCGAAAAAATACAATTGCAAAATTACATTAGAGTGAAAATTCCGAATCTAACTCTGGATTAATGCATTTTTATGATCATCAATGCATATCGGATACGAGCATAAGCTTACTGCTCAGTGTGTGCGCGCGAGAAAATTTCCGAATATCTTTCATTTCCAATCGATTACTTTCAGAGCGTTAAAGACTTTTAGACTTATCTAATATGTGTTTATGCATTCATATATTATTGATAGTTCATTATAGTATAGCTCGAGAGTAAAATGAGTATCCCCTCTGTTATCAACACCTCCAAGAAATTTAAAATTCAAAAAATTTCTTTTATTTCAAAATTATAGAAAAAAAATATCTCACGAAACTCATAAAAATTTTCAAATGAGTAAGTCTGTGCTAAGGAAATTTTACTTTTTCCTTCAATTGATTTTAATTTGCCAATAAATTAGCAAATGCAATTAAAATATGAAGTGTGAAAACGATAGTAAATGTATCACTGAATTAATTCATTAAATTTTCACGTGTGAATCTATTGGTTTTGTTCAGATTGAAAAATCAGTTTTTAGAATTTTGTGAGAATATGGAGCAAGATAGCTTAAAATGTTCAGAAATGAAAAGTTTGTGCCTTGAATTTCACATCTTTTGCAAAAAACAGATTTCAAATTGGTTGCGGCATTGCTGAGAAAATCGCAAAATATGCTTTCTGTAAGCAAGCAAACAAGCAAACAAGCAAGTTAATCTGCAAGAAATCTCAATAACGAGTCATCGTAGAAACTTCTAGTTTTTTACATTTGATCCGTGCTGCTCTATAGAAGATCTGTATTGTTTTTGGGCAAGGTAGGAACAGCCGTTGTTCAGAAAAAGCAAAAAACTTTACTTTCTTACAAATTTTTCAAATTAAAAGTTCACTGTGAAATTTTTTATTTTAAATTAAACTTTGGATGAAAAAAAATTTTTTGAGCAAAGAACCAAGAAGGAAATACATTTTCAATTATGAACTTGGGACAGGTCTAGTCAAAATCTAGTTTTTTACTTTTTTTCTTCGAAGGTTTTTCCAATTACAATGAAACTTTGTGTGAGTATACTAATATTTATACAAAACAGTTTTAAATATCTAAAGCAAGAAATGTATTCTATATGTCGTCAGACCCAAATTTTATAAATTTGGTTGTAAATTCAAAAACAACGTGACTTAAAATTTTGTCCAAAAAAATGATTTTTATTAATTCAGAAATGTGTGACCTGAGGATTAGAATGCTCATACAAAGTTTTACTGTATTTGGATTTATCCTCGAAAAAAAAAAGTGAAAAACTAGATAGTCGCCCCTAGTCCAAAATTGAAAATGTATTTCCTACTTGGTTCTTTGCTCAAAAAAAAGTTAGGATGTTTTATTTGTATTTGTTTTAAGCACTAAAATATTTATGCAAAGTTTCAATCCATTTGAATAAACCTTCGAAGAAAAAAGTGAGAAAATTGATTTTGACTAGGGTCGCCCCTAGTCCAAAATTGAAAATGTATCTCCTACTTGGTTCTTTGCTCAAAAAAATTTTAGAATGTTTTATTTGTATTTTTTTTAAGCACTCGAATATTTATGCAAAGTTTCAATCCATTTGGATAAACCCTCGAAGAAAAAAGTGAGAAAATGGATTTTGACTAGGGTCGCCCCTAGTCCAAAATTGAAAATGTATTTCCTTCTAGGTTCTTTGCTCTAAAAAATTTTAAGATGCGTTTTTATATTCACACCATTTTCACGTGTGAATCTATTGGTTTTGTTCAGATTGAAAAATCAGTTTTTAGAATTTTGTGAGGATATGGAGCAAGATAGCTTAAAATGATCAGAGATGAAAAGTTTGTGCCTTGAATTTCACATCTTTTGCAAAAAACAGATTTCAAATTGGTTGCGGCATTGCTGAGAAAATCGCAATATACGCTTTCTGTAAGCAAACAAGCAAGCAAGCAAGTTAATCAGCAAGAAATCTCAATAACGAGACATTGTAGAGACTTCTAGTTTTTTACATTTGATCCGTGCTGCTCTATAGAAGAGCTGTATTGTTTTTGGGCAAGGTAGGAACAGCCGATGCTTCAGAAAAAGCAAAAAACTTTCTTTTCTTACGAATTTTTCAAATTAAAAGTTCACTGTGATTTTTTTTAAATTAAACTTTGGATAAAAAAAATTTTTTTTTACATTTTCAATTTTGGACTAAAGGCTAGGGTTTGTGGAAAACAGCTGTTTTTGAAAAACAGTCTGTTTTCGGTTTTTGATTTTTAAAAACAGCTGTTTTCCTGTTTTTCTAGAATTCAAAATAAACTGAGTTCTCTAAGATAATGAACCTTTTTGGTGGTTATAAGCAGTTAAGCATACATTTTAGAGCTAAGCATTATTATTTCTTATTTTTTTATGTTAATTAACTCTAAAAAATATAATGAAATATAAAAATGCAAAAAAAATCCAAAAAAATTTTATACTTTTAAGTAACATTACATTGTTGCATTGTAAAAGTTCCATAAGCTCTAATATTTTATTTGAATTATTCAAAAAATCTTTCTGAATAAAAAAATATCTTGTAAAATTGTTGATTAAATTTTTAAACTTTAGTAAATGCTACAAAAGGTTCAACAAATTAAAAATTTCGATTGCAAAATTAATAATGATTAACCATAAATTTGATTATGATTTCAAACCTATTAAACATCCAAAAAATATTAAAATAGTAAATACATTTCAATTTGAAATGCTAGAAAAATATATTAAGTTCTTCAAAAAATTAAGAATTTTTTTTCTGCAAATTATATGTAAAAATGAAAAACAGAAAACAGATCTGTTTTTAAGACCTGTTTTCTGTTAACAGATTTTTGTCGAAAAACAGCTGTTTTTCTGTTTTCTGTTAACAAATTCCCCAAACCCTACTAGAGGCGACCCTAGTCAAAATCAATTTTGTCACTTTTTTCTTTGAGGGTTTATCCAAATGGATTGAAACGTTGCATAAATATTCTAGTGCTTAAAACAAATACAAATAAAACATCCTAAATTTTTTTGAGCAAAGAACCAAGAAGGAAATACATTTTCAATTTTGGACTAGGGGCGACCCTTGTCAAAATCAATTTTGTCACTTTTTTCTTCGAGGGTTTTTCCAAATGGATTAAAGTTTTGCATAAATATTCTAGTGCTCAAAACAAATACAAATAAAACATCCTAAAATTTTTTTGAGCAAAGAACCAAGAAGGAAATACATTTTCAATTTTAGACTAGGGGCGACCCTTGTCAAAATCAATTTTGTCACTTTTTTCTTCGAGGGTTTATACAAATGGATTGAAACTTTGCATAAATATTCTAGTGCTTAAAAAAAATACAAATAAAACATCCTAAATTTTTTTAAGCAAAGAAGCAAGTAGGAAATACATTTTCAATTTCGGACTAGGGGCGACCCTTGTCAAAATCAATTTTGTCACTTTTTTCTTCGAGGGTTTTTCCAAATGAATTGAAACTTTGCATAAATATTCTAGTGCTTAAAACAAATACAAATAAAACATCCTATATTTTTTTTGAGCAAAGAACCAAGAAGGAAATACATTTTCAATTTTGGACTAGGGGCGACCCTAGTCAAAATCAATTTTGTCACTTTTTTCTTCAAGGGTTTATACAAATGGATTGAAACTTTGCATAAATATTCTAGTGCTTAAAACAAATACAAATAAAACATCTTAAATTTTTTTAAGCAAAGAAGCAAGCAGGAAATACATTTTCAATTTTGGACTAGGGGCGACCCTTGTCAAAATCAATTTTGTCACTTTTTTCTTCGAGGGTTTTTCCAAATGGATTGAAGTTTTGCATAAATATTTTAGTGCTCAAAACAAATACAAATAAAACATCCTAAAATTTTTTTGAGCAAAGAACCAAGAAGGAAATACATTTTCAATTTTGGACTAGGGGCGACCCTTGTCAAAATCAATTTTGTCACTTTTTTCTTCGAGGGTTTTTCCAAATGGATTAAAACTTTGCATAAATATTCTAGTGCTTAAAACAAATACAAATAAAACATCCAAAAATTTTTTTAAGCAAAGAACCAAGTAGGAAATACATTTTCAATTTTGGACTAGGGGCGACCCTAGTCAAAATCAATTTTGTCACTTTTTTCTTCGAGGGTTTTTCCAAATGGATTGAAACTTTGCATAAATATTCTAGTGCTTAAAACAAATACAAATAAAACATCTTAAAATTTTTTTGAGCAAAGAACCAAGAAGGAAATACATTTTCAATTTTGGACTAGGGGCGACCCTAGTCAAAATCAATTTTGTCACTTTTTTCTTCGAGGGTTTTTCCAAATGGATTGAAACTTTGCATAAATATTCTAGTGCTTAAAACAAATACAAGTAAAACATCCTAAAATTTTTTTGAGCAAAGAACCAAGAAGGAAATACATTTTCAATTTTAGACTAGGGGCGACCCTTGTCAAAATCAATTTTGTCACTTTTTTCTTCGAGGGTTTTTCCAAATGGATTGAAACTTTGCATAAATATTCTAGTGCTTAAAACAAATACAAGTAAAACATCCTAAAATTTTTTTGAGCAAAGAACCAAGAAGGAAATACATTTTCAATTTTAGACTAGGGGCGACCCTTGTCAAAATCAATTTTGTCACTTTTTTCTTCGAGGGTTTATCCAAATGGATTAAAACTTTGTATAAATATTCTAGTGCTTAAAACAAATACAAATAAAACATCCTAAAATTTTTTTAAGCAAAGAACCAATTAGGAAATACATTTTCAATTTTGGACTACGGGCGACCCTAGTCAAAATCAATTTTGTCACTTTTTTCTTCGAGGGTTTTTCCAAATGGATTGAAACTTTGCATAAATATTCTAGTGCTTAAAACAAATACAAGTAAAACATCCTAAAATTTTTTTGAGCAAAGAACCAAGAAGGAAATACATTTTCAATTTTAGACTAGGGGCGACCCTTGTCAAAATCAATTTTGTCACTTTTTTCTTCGAGGGTTTTTCCAAATGGATTGAAACTTTGCATAAATATTCTAGTGCTTAAAACAAATACAAATAAAACATCCTAACTTTTTTTTGAGCAAAGAACCAAGAAGGAAATACATTTTCAATTTTGGACTAGGGGCGACCCTAGTCAAAATCAATTTTGTCACTTTTTTCTTCGAGGGTTTATCCAAATGGATTAAAACTTTGCATAAATATTCTAATGCTTAAAACAAATACAAATAAAACATTCTATAATTTTTTTGAGCAAAGAACCAAGAAGGAAATACATTTTCAATTTTGGACTAGGGGCGACCCTAGTCAAAATCAATTTTGTCACTTTTTTCTTTGAGGGTTTATACAAATGGATTGAAACTTTGTATAAATATTTTAATGCTTAAAACAAATACAAATAAAACATCCTAAAATTTTTTTGAGCAAAGAACCAAGAAGGAAATACATTTTCAATTTTGGACTAGGGGCGACCCTTGTCAAAATCAATTTTGTCACTTTTTTCTTCGAGGGTTTTTCCAAATAGATTGAAACTTTGCATAAATATTCTAGTGCTTAAAACAAATACAAATAAAACATCCTAAATTTTTTTGAGCAAAGAACCAAGAAGGAAATACATTTTCAATTTTGGACTAGGGGCGACCCTAGTCAAAATCTAGTTTTTCACTTTTTTCTTCGAAGGTTTATCCAATTACAGTGAAACTTTGTGTGAGTATACCAATATTTATATAAAATAGTTTTAAATATCTAAAGCAAGAAATGTATTCTATATGTCGTCAGACCCAAATTTTATAAATTTGGTTGTACATTCAAAAACAACGTGACTTAAAATTTTTCCAAAAAAATGATTTTTATTAATTCAGAAATGTGTGACCTGAGGATTAGAATGCTTATACAAAGTTTTACTGTATTTGGATTTATCCTCGAAGGGAAAAAAGTGAAAAACGAGATTTTGACTAGACTTGTCCCAAGTTCATAATTAAAAATGTATTTCTACTTGGTTCTTTGGTCAAAAAAATTTTTTGGATGTTTTATTTAAAATTGACATAATTCTGACATAAATCACATACCAATATTACTTTTTGTAATACATAGCTTAAAAAAAATCGAAATCTAAAATTTCGACTACCCCATCTGAATTTTGTTCATACTCTTCACTGTGGAAGCCAAAAAAAAAATTCTTTATCTTAAAACACTTGACAAAATAGCGACATAATTCAGGATTAATAACTTTTTAATAATATATTAACATTTACGAGAAAATGTGGTTCAAATAAGTGTGAAGTATGGCCGAGATTTGGACCAAAATCAGCTATACTGGTTCATAGTGTTCCCGAGGGTGACAAAATTCAAACTAAGTGTTTTTGTAGCTGACATAATTATGACATAAATTAGGTATAACTTTTGAACTGTGTCGATATGGGTCTCGGCTGTACTTCACGCCCACCCTTCAAACTTATGCTGAGCAAATCTTGGTCTATCCATAAGACTTTTGATGGTACGGTGTGAATATATCCGCATTGGGTTTCTACCCGATACACTAGTTTCTATAGTTATTAGTGCTGGGAATCTATCAAGAGCTAATGTTAATTAAAATTCTAAAACATTAGAGAAGCTTTCGAAGACCCGACTATATATTTCGGATCGACTTCAAAATCGCTTACAAAACTTAACTCGTTCAATCTAATCTGATTTAAAAATACTGGCTGGAATGACTCAACTAACCCACAAATCTCTTAATCTTGAAACATATGTCTAATTTTTCCTTTTGTTATCTTTACTATAAGTGTAATTTAAATTAAGTCGAGTGCGAAAGCTATTGACTTTCTACGTAAGTCGTGTTTTTTTCAAATTCAAATTATTACATTATAAAATTAAGGTAATTAAAAATTTACTTTATCAGATGAAGTGCACTGAAAGACAAAGAAAATTTCAATATTCAATATTTGATAATAAAATTTTTATTCGAGCCATTAAATTAGATAATTACACATTTTTTCGTCACATCATAAGTCTAAGAAAATTTAATTCGTAAATTCGTTGAAAACATAATTTAAAATTCTAATTTACAAAAAAAAACTATTTATCGTGTAAGGTTCTTAGTTGGATCTAATCTCATTCTGTAGGATAATAGCAGTAGTGTGAAGGAATTTAGGAGATGAGGGTGACATTTAAACTATTTTATTGCACATAAAGAACTAAGAAGCATAAGATTTTCATCAACAACACTAAAATAATAAACAAAAACAATCTCACATAAATATGGCGTAATAATGAATAATTTTTCGTATGAACTTATGATGATGCTTTTATCTCTGGATGTTCTAAAACCCTCTCCAATTTTGTTGATCCACGACTTCTCTTTGACTTATCCATAATTCTTTTGGCCTTTTCGAATTGCTCTTTTGTGAATGGTGCCATTCTTTTTGGAATGTGACGTTCACGAAGTTCTCCATGTGTTGGTGCTAATGTTGGACCGGCAACATGATAATTAAATGGTGCCTTAGTTCTCTCAGTTATTGTAATGACATGTGGTTGTGCTGAATGATCATCATCATGTTCATAAATTGGTTCGTGTGTAACTGAATGTTCTTGGTGCTCGTGATGATGATGATATTCGACTTCCACTTCTTGTTGATTTTCTTGCTGATGATTATAATGTGCTGGAATTTCAGGAACAACAATTGGTGCTGGAGTATGATATGTGATACTTGGTTGTGGATGATTTTGGACACGATTCTTCTTCTTCTTGAAAATTACATGTGTATGCTTATCACTAGGATAATTCTCAGAAGTTTCCAAATGTTGGCTATGATGTTGGACTTGTGGATGTTCTTCCTCATGATGTACTTGTGGTGCTGGAGTTACATAAGCTGGTGTGACATAAGTAATAAAGCTTGTAGCATGATGATTTTGTGGTTGAGAATGTTGAGATTGAGAATGTTGAGAAATTTGTGACTGAGAATGCTGAGAAATTTGTGGCTGAGAATGTTGTGAAATCTGTGGCTGAACATTATGATAAACATTTGATTGATAATTTTGATAATGTTGTGGCTGATGATGCTGAACTTGTTGTTGTCTGTAATAGCTTTGTTCTCCTGCTGGAACTGCTACTCGATAAGTATTTTCATGACGCATTGGCTGTTGATAATATTGTTGACGATATCCATGCTGCGAGTGCTGTGAATTTTGGTTATGATGATGATGTGAGTGCTGTTGTTGAGCTTGCTGTTGCTGTTGATAACGATAAGCATTATTTTGATACATTGGAGTGATTGCAACCATTGGAATATATGCAACTTGATCTTGAGATGAGTATTGCTGTGGACGAGACAGTTGTCCATGACGCTCTTGTTCTTCTAAAACCTTGAGAAATTGTGCAGCTCTCAATTCTAAATATTGCTGTAAAAGTGCTTGTAAATGTAAAGCATATTTTGCTGGCCCTGGGACACGTAAGACAATTACAGGGACTGGATCTTCATATACTTGTTGTTGTTGTTGTTGCTGATTGTAATTATGCTGATTTTCAGCAGGCTGATATTGATAATTTTCACTCTTAATTTCATAGCTGTGGGACTGTTGGATCTCAATATCTGTTGCTTTTTCATGGTAACCTTTTTCGCCTGCTACATCATTTGAAGTGAATTTATGCATATAAATTGGCCGTGAAAAATAATAGCCATTATCATGCATGTTCTGTTGATATGAGTATCTAAAAATTAACATGTTAATGTTCATTAAAAATTCAAGAGCACTAAAGTCATTATAATGAAATTACCCCAAAGAGTCATCAATGGTACGTTTTGCATTCTTATTAAAAGGCTTCGTTCCATTTTCTCGTTCAAGCTTAATTGATAATTTATCGCCATGCTTCTTGAATTGAGTGTCAATTTGCTTAATAAACTCAGCATCTTCTGAAGTTAAATGCTCACGAAATTCCTCTAAAACTGTCTTTTGTGGTGTCTTCGTTGGCTTCAAATTTAATGGTTTCTTTATGATTTTCTCCTGCTTAGCTACTGCTGATATTCCATCAACCAATAAAATTATAAGAACCTGTTGAATATTCACAAATTATTAAAATTAATTCATGCTCCATAAATTTGAATGATTTGTACTATAATTATGCAAAATATAGAAAATATGAATGGAAGAGCTGAATTATAGCGTAATTATCTGTTTTTTAGAGTTAGATAATCATGATATTTTTATTTGCAAGTGTACTTCCAGTGATATTAATTTTGAGAAAAGATTTTACTTTCATTTACATTTGAACCGTCCCGTCTTAAAATCATGTTTTGAATTCACACCATCTATGAACCAATAAACCAGCTACTCATTAATGAATTTGACTTTATACTCCACATGCAATCAAATGTATTAAATAATATTTTGTTTTAGCTTTGATTGATGATTGTTGAAGTGAGTTTTGCAAAATCCTCACCTTATTTGGACCCAATTGACGTAATCTAAAGGAAAAACCTTGCATTATGAAGGTTCAATTAAATCTTAGGATCAATCAACCTAAAACTCATTAGTAAGATTTTAGACAGTTCATCAAACAATTCAGAAATGCTTTAATCTCTTTTGTATGCGTATTTAAAGCATTACACATTTTCCACAATACAATAATTTCATCTACAAAGAAAGCGGAAATGTAAGTTTTCATCATTTTGATCGACAAAAATTTTATAGCTACAATGAAAGTGTTAAGCTAGTCCATTAAAATATTTTTTGTGTACTCTCTCTTTTGTATCTAAGCTAATTAAATCTGACGACTCAATACAAATGTGCCTCACATTTTTTTGCTTAATTATTGTTTTGAAAAATTATATTTTTTGTGTTACTGGATGTTTGTAGATGAGCAAACAAGCAATAATAAGATGAAAGTACAAGGAACATAACATTTATTTGTATAATTAAGAAATAAAAAACAAGCGAGATTCATCAATCATGAAGATAAAAGCAACAGAAATAATAAATTATACAACAAGTTCAATAAATTTTAGCGCCTTCTTGATGAAAAAGATCTTTGAAGGCATACAAAAGACCAAGGTGAATCTATTAAACATCATATTATGCAACAGCATTAAAATAATTTCCGCTCGTTTTATATTAACGCGTTTAGGTGCTGAATGCATCTCTAATTGAAGCTCTTCTTTATGCATATCTTCTACTTTTGCTACTGCTGTATATATGATGCAATTATTTTGTGGAAATTAACGTCCATTGTGGTTTAGTCTGGTTTATTTTATTGGATATAATGTAACAAGCCAGATCGATGTTCTTTCATGTTATTTAAAGTCTAGTCTTCTTACTATAATTACAGCTATGGACGTGATTGGTACGAAAATATAAGAGCAATGTGTTTTGAAGTCAATCAACCAGAAAAAGACATAATTATTGCTACTTTCTTAAAAATAAACTTTGAAGTTATAGAAAAAGAAATAAATAGGCACAGCAATAGCTAGATATCAATAAATTTGAAGCCATAAATTAAAAGGAGTGGTAATTCAGGAAAATGCACATTTTAAGACTTTTTCCGGTCAGTGTAATACAAGCTGTAAAACAAAATGTCAGTCAAAAGTGAAATACGGGTGTTTGTACATGACGGGTTTTTGCATAATTTCGATGGAGAAGAAGTGAACAAAGATACGATGAGTAGCCAAAAAATCATTTTTTCTTCCGAGTGATCATAAAATTTTGGCGAGGAAATCAATGCAATGAAGTAGTGAATTTTTATGAAATAAATTACATAACTCATGAATTTTATCACGGACTTTATGGAACATGCGGATCAGAAGCACGTCTTTCTTACGTTTCGATTAAAAATTTTGTTATTATAGGATGGGGCGGTTCATTATAGGAATATCTTCGAGGAATACAAAATGTGGCTGCTACATATAATGATCATGTACCTGCCGTACTCAAATTCACCCATAACTGACTGAACAAATAGAGGTTAAACGTCATTTGCAAGACATCCCACCAATAATGATATGGTTCCATAAATTAAAGTGAGATGAAAAGCACTCAAAATTGACTTGAAATTGATGCTCATTTTGTAGTGATAGACACGACTATGCTAAGCACTTACTCTTCTTACAGAATTTCGTAAGACTTCATAAAAATTCAAATGAGCGAATAATTTGACGGCAAATTTGCACAACATTCAACAGCATCAACAAGCAATAATCTTTCGACATCCGACTATCATCATTAGTGCTGATCATCTAGTATTTAGTGGATTAGATAATGCGATAAAAATTGCAATTCCATAAAACGTTAAACTTGAAAATTTCCTCTCGGATTACAAATGTGCTATAAATTTGACCTTCTTCTTGTTTGTATTTCTTAAGTTTTTGCATTGTTCCGCGGCTCTTTCTTTTGTAGATTTCCTCTACAACACTTAATTTCACATAGTCTTACTTTTTGCATGTGATCTCGTTGTTTTTATTCTTTGTCAGATGATTTTGCAACTTCTCACTTCGAAAAGTAGTTTCTTGTCTCTGTCTCAGGAAGAAAGCACTTTGCTGGATGTTATGCAAGTAACAGCCAAGATTAAAATTTTGTAACTCTTGTTTTCTCATTTTTTTTTTTTTTGTCGATCGGACAGGCGTGTGTATAATGGTTTGGAAGCAATTATTGGCTTTTCTTAATTTCTGACCATTTGTTAACAAAAAATAAGCGATTACATTACGAAATGATATATTCGTTCGTGTACGTCGAGTGAGTGCCTGGACGATCTAAATTGAAAAAGATGTCTAATGAATGCTTTCAATCAAATATAGGAACAAAACTTTTAACAAAGTACTGTCTTATTCCACTTAAATTCAACCTTAATATATATTTTTATTGAGAAGCTCATTTAATTTCATAATCATCGTTTTAATACGATTGTCAATCACTTAACGATCTTGAGTTCAAGCTTGCGCCTTTGAAAGAATTTCGCGTGCGGGCTGTAACAATATTTCTTTTTGTTTTGTTTACATTCACTTTGTGTCAATTTGATTAGTGATTGGTTTTTGAAGATAAGTGCTTCAACTTTTCAATTAGCTATGAAATATATAGCGATGACTGGCACTGCCTATGGAGCAACTTAATACAAATTTTAAACATTGCTTAAACTAGGATTCATTTTGAAAATGCAGCAATTTATGAGCGTAAAACTTAGGGGCCATTCACTTATTACGTAACGCTTTTAGGGGGAGGGGGGTCTAAGATTTTGTTACGGTTCAAACAAGAAAATTTTTTTTTCATACAAATTTTGTTACGAGGGGGGGGGGGGGGGGGGGGTCTAAGAAGTAATTTTTTCGCGTTACGTAATAAGTGAACAGCCCTTTTAGTAAATCTCCTTAGTTTGAAGTTTGTGTAAATAGATTTCTGTAATAATTCTTAGACTTAAAGTCATAAATGACATCAGAATTGGATGTTTAGAAGGGCATGAACGAAATGAGAAAATCTATCATAAATCGAACTAAACTTCCCTGAAATGCAACTAAAGCTGAAGCAGAATGTTGGTCTTAAACAGTAAAATTTCTTGAAAATGCTGACTCATTTTGAAATTTGGTTTTGTTCTATGTAATGACTGAACGGTGCCTTAATAATTAGCTAAAATCATTTATGCGTTCTAATCACTAGCATTGTTACTTGATTACTCAAAACAATTTCTTTTCTTTTAATTTAATATGTTGCCATGCTTCAATGTCATTTCTTCAAACTAATTTTAAATTATCGAAAGTGAATCTATTTGGGGTCGGACAAGTCACTATAAAAAAAATAGTAAAAGAGAGCAAGTACAAACAAATAATAAAAGTGAGATGCCAAAAAAAGTTACGTGAGATTTGCGTTAATTAAAAATGACATTTTTAGGATCATGTTGAGTCAAGGTACGTAGAAGTGGATATATAAAGTATCACCTTACTGGACTGTTTGTTGAAAACACGATGAGCTTTTTATGGTAATGTCTGATCTCAATCTTTTATATTTTTGCAAATTTTCGGATGGTATGCTCAACAATGCATACAAAAAGTGGTGATTCGAAGCACTTATGACAACTTGCTTAGAAGAATTAAACAATTAAGATACAAATCAATGCAAGTCACGTCAGGACCACGCACGTTCAGATCTTAGCGAATGAATAAAGACATTGTATGATAATTTAATTCTCTTCATCTGATTATACTATGGCCATCAATAATGTGAATGGCTCAATTTTTTTTTGCAAAATTGTTTATTGCACATTGTTGATGACGAGACACAATAAGACTAATTTTAATGAAATAGAAGAAAATTCAATCAACTTTATGTTCATTTCCTTGATCTACCAAACTTTTAATTAACATGCAGTAGTGGCGTGCCTCTAACATATTGTATGTTGCTTAAGTGTGAATGGTATAGATTTCATCTAATGATATTATGTTGAATGTGACTCGGTCGCATAAAAGCTATCATTAAAAAGCTTTTTGTGGTTGATAATCAAATGCTGTAAAGGAACCAATTAAACCCAATAGGCTTTGAATGCTTTTAAATTAATTGCTATTTTTATGATTGATTAATCTCTAGATTTTTTTAACCTTACAAAACATAAAATTGATGTCATTTCAAAGTTTCATCAATTTTACACCTGACAATGTCAAAAGCCCATCCTAATTGATTAATTTTGCATCGATCATTGCGAAATGTTACGAGATAAATGAAAAAAAGCTATCTGTTGTAATCTAGTCCATTATTGAACTGTATCGATCATTAATTTGTGGATTTTACGAGTTTCTAATTTATTCATGAATAAAAGATATAAAGATGCGGTCGGAAGGCAGATGACTTAATTTCATTTTAAATAGCTAATTAATAGTTGTGATATGAAAATGGAAATTTTTAATAAAAATGAGTCTAATTGCTTATTTTGTCAGTCTATTTGGTTTCGTTTATTTATGGATCAATAGTTTTGTTAAAAAAATCGATTGATATTGTTGTTATTGAAGCATAGGACGACTTTGTGCAATGCATTTATTTGACTTTATTCTAAATTTATCAAACTTCCTCAAATATCTTAAAATTAAAGTTTTAAACCTCATATGAACACCTCTTCTCGAGCAACACATAAACGAACGATTATACATGAAATCTGTTTAAACTCTGATTTCTGGTGCCGCTTCTAAATGAAGCCACGATCTTTAAATAAGATCCATAAACACACTTAACATAGCTAACATCATAGAAAATATAAAAACAGCACAAACTGCAATCGATCAACTTTTCACTTCAATTATGCAAATTATCCACAGCAAATATGAGTCACTAGCATAAAAAGCTTCACATCCAAGTATATCGCAAAACCACAAATGACTTTACAACTTGCGAACCAATAATATTCATGATTATTTTATGTAGATTATAAAAAATATACGACATACCGTAAAGATTAGTCGCTTCATGATGCGCTTTGTTGTTAAATTCAAATTTCTTTCTTATCAGATGTGAATAATCACAGACTGCGAATAGTATTGTCACAATGGGGAACCACACTGATCAGTATGTGCAAAATCTATTTGTCTTTTGTGCTGATTTTGATCTCTTTTCTTTCCTTTTTTTTAACAAATGTTTATTTTTCACCTTTTTGTCGGCAACAATACCACTTGCCAGTAACTTCACTACCTTCCGTCGATTGTTTACGTCTCGAAATGAGAAAAATATACACAATCAGCGACTTGACTTCTATATTACGACACTTCTTTCTTTTTACGGAAAATGAATGCACGGAATTTTTTTATTTTTTCGAGAGCGATACGATTTGACGATGCTTTCCGTTCCACGCCACAAATGAAATTGAATTTCAAGTTGTGACTTATGATCATCTTTTCGAGTCTTTGCGAATCTTGGTGTTATGGTGTGTGCATGGTGTGGGAAAATAAACGTGAGAGAAAAGAAAAAAGGCAAAAACAACAAATTTATATTTTGTGAATGGATGCAGTGACTGCTGCGGCACTCTGTATTCAATTTTTGCGTCATTGTTGTTGCTGGTATTATTTGGTTTTTATAATGATTGTCAGTATAGTTTTTTTTATTAATTTAAGGCAGTTGTTGAATCATTGAAATGTTCGTTGTTTTGCTTTTGAATCTAAACGACAGGCATTTAATGTCAAACACTTGATGAAGCTTACTAAAGGGCTGATTGGCAATTATCGGCACTTCACGATGATGAATCTCGTGTAAAAATGACCTATTAAGTTACTGAAAAGCAGCAAGAACGAAAGTAAAAAGCTTATTTAAAATAATTTGAGATGTCTTTTACAAGGTCGCGGCTGATACTTCATCTTTTTGGTCACGAACGCTGATATCAAAGGTAGACTTTTTTTTTGCTGCTAATAATCCTTTTCATGGATAAATTCTGCGTTTAGTTTCATCCATATTAACATTTATTTATTGCCAATAAGTAAGTTTCATGGACGATGTTTAATTTCTTTTCAGTAATTCCCACAAAACTTCATCCATAACAAACGATGATATGCCAAAATCATGTTGATCATAATAATTACACGATAGCTAATCAAATTTTCTCAACATGAAAGGTATTACATCATATTTATTAGATTTACTCGTGAAATGTTGTCAATCAATATTGTTCGCGCAGTTCCGTGCTTTTGCAGATCAGCAATCAAAATGTATATTTTATTTGGCTGCAAATTAAAGTAATTTTTACGCTTGATGTATGAAATGTGATTTGATTAAGTAAAAGTTCATTTTTTTGTGGAAAATTATTCATAAGATGTTGAAGTGAGCACAGATGTGCATGGATAATGCTTTTGAATTACGCATTTCTTGCAATATTGTACGTGTGCAATTGTTTGGGTCTGTTTAGTTTTTGCTGAAGAAATATCGGTTCTGAAAGAAGTAATTTGAACACGATGACAATTAAAAACGAAAAAATTGGATTTTTAGACATTACTGTCATCCTGGCAAATGGATTCACCGCAAAATTTGTCATGAATGATCTCATAAAGATATGGATATCACTCAAGAAGGCGACAAGATATAGATCAAACCATTCGATGCTATTAGATTACATATTTGAAAGGACTCGCCCTGCTTCAGACAAATTCAAATTCAATTCAGACCTTCACTTGATATGAAAATTATACAATTATTTGTAATTGAACTTCCTGAGGCTATATGTTGTAATAGACGCTAATAAAACTAGATACATAAAGCAATGACATTCCCAGAAACCATTCAACTTACAATTGAAAAAAATTAACATGAACTTTTCCTTTGAAATTGGAAAGAAAGTTTAAAAAAAATAAATTTTCAAATTTTTTTTGCCAAAAAGCATTGCTGCACAAAAAGTGGAAGTAAAAAATACAATTCAATTAAAATCTCTTATGCAAAAAAACAATTAAATATAAAATCAAGTGAAATCACTGTTACAAGTTAAATAGTTAAAAGAGATAGTACCTCTGTGCTAGCTGCTTTAACAATCAACAATACAATGAGAAAAGAAGTAAATTATCATAAAAAAAAATAACAAAATTGTTAATATGTTTTTAATCGGTTAAACTGTGTACTGTGTACTCAACCATGTGCTTCATATAATTATGAATAAAATTGAAACAAATGATGCAGGAATTGACCAGCACGAGCAAGTTATTGATTGGCTATTATGAAATTCTAACAAAAAAATTAAATAAGTTTCATCCTTGTGTAGCTACTTGATGAATTCAAGGCTTATGGAAAGCTGGTAATGCCATTAATAGGCTGGCAAAAGATTAAAATTTTAGCAAACTTTTACAAATCCATGGATTAGCCTTTTGTTGTAGACTTTTAAGCTCATATTTTGATAGAATAATTCAATACATTTATTAAGTTTATTGAAAATATTTGTTTGTTGCTTTATAAGTTATGATCATCTGCCAAAGATAATAATTGAAAAAATGCACATTACACAATTGCTGTATTAATTCCTTCATAAAGTCAGAAAACCTGATTTTCATCCATCTCTGACTAATCTTTTTACATCAATTTGTCAATTAATATTATTGTTGTTATGAAACATTTCACATGTAATCAATGGACGAATCTTTTGTAAATACATAATTTTCTATTTTTAATATTATTATTCCTATGTGATGATGAGAGTTTAGTACAATAGATGAATAAAAAGTGAGAGAGAAAGAAATATGAAAAATATACATTACATTCGTACGAATAAGGTCATAAATGTCATCAAACTAATTTAACACTATACGCTTATATCTTACATTGCTTACCATATCTTTTTCTCTCTCTTTCTCATTCTCTATAAAATTAACCATTTACTTTTATTCATGTTTTTTTACTGTGAAAGTACATCATCATCATCATTTGTGTATTGGAATCAACTAATCTGATCGGTAAATGTTTGAATCGCTAAAACGCATTTTTATGGAATGTAATTGAAACTTTTAAGGTCTTAATGACTAGCTTATCTTGTTATGCTTTCATCTTTGTCTGCATTTGGAATTTAAAATCGATATTTATGAATGTTGGTCCATTCCAGAATAAACGCAACAATTCGACTAGATTTCTCTAATGTTGAACTCAAGATTGGAAATTCAGAATACAAATTTATCTTGAAAGATTAAAGTTCAGTTTAAAACACCCAAAATGAAGATTTTGTAACAACTTTTTACTCTAAAATGCCTGCTACAAACATGAATAGAAGGAATCTCCAGTGTGTCTCAAATAAACAAGCAAATATGTTGAGCTTGTTTTCTTCGATTACTTCACAGTAGATTAAATGTGCTCATTCAATCTCTTCTTTATGTAATTACTTGATGCTCTTTATATTCAATAGCAATTTTATAAGATTTGCAGGTCAACTATTCACTTTACTTGCTAAAAGCTTTGAATTTGATTAAATTATTTGAGTCATTAGCAAATTAATTGAGTCATTTTGTTGTTGTGTATTGAAAGCTTTCGGTACTTAAGTGTAAACATCAAATTATTTTGACATATAGCATTAACCTCGTGATCATGGCTTCCCGAATTTGTTGATTGAGCATTCCTGAGTGCTTTTTTTTTTGGCAACATGTATGATTATGGTAATCGTGAGTGATCTGAATGTTATTGGAAATGAATTATTAAGGTAAAATTAGCCGTTACTTAATTATTGTTATCAAATTGTAAATTTCACTCAAGCATGTATTCTGGTAAAGCAAGGCATAGCTTTATAAATTCCAAACATAGCTGAACATAATAATAATTAAGGTTATTGCTTTGATTGAATTAAATCATTTGCTAAATTTTAAATAATAACTCAGCAAATTTATTTTATTGATTTTATGCAGAGTTTGAAAATAAAATGAAAATGAAAATAATGAAAATTGCCAATTTTGATCAAAGCAATTTTGCAATTTTGTCAATTTCAGAAAATTGTTATTTTGGAAATTGTTTATTTTCGAAAATTGCAATTTTGGAAATTATCAATTTTCAATTTTGTGACGTCACAAAATTTCTTCGGGAATTTTGTATGAAAATTTTCATATGAATTGATGACTTTATGCTTGAAACTTTCCTTGATTTTTAATCAAAACCATTATCAGCAATCATAGCAGCAAATGATGAAAATTAATAACGAATCATAAGTAATATGCTATATGAGATATCCCATATGGAACTGGTTATGTCCAACTGACTGGAACTGCCAAAAAAAATTTTATTTGTTTTCTATACTTTTTAGACACTTTCAGGCATGGGGTGGAACCAGGCACTTCCTCTACTTCCAGATCTGATTTTAGGTGCTAACTATACCAGGGAGGTTAAAAAAAATCAGGTTAGCAAAAAAGTTCGAAAAATTCAGCAGTTCCTCTCCCCTAATAAAATTTACATCGAACATGTTTTTCATACATTTTCAGAAATGAATTTTTTTTTTGATAATCATGTCTGTATGGTGATGCAGCATTATGAGTACCTTTAATTTAAAATAAACTTAAAGGAACAACGCATCAAACACGCAGGAATTAGCAAGTATTAAGTTAAAAACGAATATCAACATCCAGGAAATAAACTGTATCTTTTGTTTTTCTGAAGAAAAAATTCATTTAAAAAGAAGAAAATTTTCATACAAAATTATTCATCAAATATTTATGACGTCACAAAAATAAAAATTGATAATTTCCAAAATTGCAATTTTGGAAAATAAACAATTTCCAAAATTGCAATTTTCTGAAATTGACAAAATTGCAAAATTGCTTTGATCAAAATTGGCAATTTTCATAATTTTCATTTTGATTTATTTTCAAAATAGAGCAATTTTCATTTTATTTTCAAACTCTGATTTTATGAATAAAATTTTCAATCCTTGAATTACTTTTCATCATTTCAATGATCATTTACCTCATTATTTTGCTGAGTCGCTTCTTTAATTACCTGAATTCATTAAAATATTTCCGAGAGCTTTCAATCGTTTGATGTTCTTGACGTGAATTGAGATGTTAATATTTGACAGGTTCTTGGAAATATATTTCGAACTTGCAGAAGGTATTGATGGAAAGAGTCAATATTAAGACAATACTATGAAGTCAAATAAGATTAAGAGTTATGAACTGTTCTTGTAGAAAGTTACAAACTATATTAAATGGAAGACTATAATTTCCATTAAAAAATTGGGTTTTAAAACTTATAAAATAAAATTTCAAATCTCAAGATTAAAGATAATAATTCGCGATCTTAATTAAGCTTAGCGAAATAAATCCATAATCAAAGTTAATGATACTGATAATGCTAATGATGATTGATACCTTCATTGGAATTTTAGAAGCGTGCTGTGTTAATAACCCTTATTATGTAACTCATTTATTCACGTCCAAGGTTTTTTAAAAGGGAAAAATCTCATTGCAAAAAATAAATAAAAATTGATTACACAAGATATAATTAATCAGAGATGTGGTTGTGTTTGAAGATTTATGAAATGTTGTTGATTTTAAAATTAATGATTAAAGTTATTAAATATCTTAATCTCATTTAATGATGCTCTTGGTAGAAAGTTTTCACTATAATTTGAAATGTCCAATTCAATCAACAGCTGAAATCTCAGGAAAATATGATTTTTGAGTTTAGAACAAAAGTATTGCAAAGAATCTGAAAAGATTAAGAAATTTCTAAGTTATTCAAAGTTATTAAAAGTATTACTAAATTTTGTGTGAAGTTAAGAACTTGAAATATTTTGAGCTACTGTGAGTTGTTGTTTTAAAAATTGTGAAAATTACTCTACTGTTAATTTACTTCCCAACTTTGAAATTTGAAAATATATCTATTCGTAATTTACTTGGATTTATATTTCTAAGAATCTCAAATCCAACTCATCTCATCAGCAAATCATTTAGCAAAACTTAAAACAAATTATCAAAGATTTCTAATCTCAAAAAAGTCTGAAAAGGCATCTTAGCTTAGCACATTAAAAATCAACTAGTCATTTTAAATAATTTCATGCATCTTTTTAGCTTTATTAACTTTCCGACTAGTTAAATTATAATAATTTTCGCACATCTCTTTAACTTAACAAATAGCAGGCAGTTTAATAGAAAACAACAGTTTATGAGCATTTTTGATATACTAAAAAATTATGAAGAGATAGCAACTTTATAGCAGGTAAAAATATATTATTCATAAAAATATTATTATTTAATAAAAGATCATTAAAACACGAGAATTAAATAACGAAAAAAAAGTGATTATGATGATTTTGGTGCTTTTACATTCACTGAAGCTGTTGCTGTTGATTTTGTTGATCTCTTACTGTGATCATATTGCTGATATGGAACTGAGTATGCAATTGTATTATATACTTGTGAGGATGGATATGGGTAGTGTGATGATGAGGATGATGAAGGATAGTTTGCAGGTGTAAATAATTGTTGTGGTAATGATGGCGCTGATGGATAATAATTTTTATAACTTATTTGTGGCTTAGCATATGTCACTGGTGCTGGACCTGAATGATATGGCTCGAAGAGAGCTTGTGATGGTTGATGCTTATAAGTAGGAGCGTTTTGATAATATTGAATTGGTGCTGGTTGAGATACATAGTTTGTATGATAATTATGGGTTGGTGCATGATGATAGGCATATGATGGCGATGCTGATTGAAGCTTTGTCGATGGAACTATTTCTGTATAATGATATTCTAATCCAGGTGAATAATATTGACGGAATGAAGTTGTTGTGATTGATGGCAATGCGTCTTTTGGAACAAGTGTTGGAATATTCTTATAATCTACAGCAGTATGTAATGGAGCAACTGGTGCTGACGGAACTGTATACTCTAGTGACTTAACAGCATGGAAAGTAGGCTGATGTTGTTGATGTTGATGAAGATTATGGAATGTAGGTGGAGCATTTGACGGTTGTGGCTGTGAATATGTGTAAATTGTAGGTGTTGGAACTGGTGGTTGAACTGGTGCTTGATGCATAACTGGGACCATGACGTAAGCGCTAAAATTGTAATAATATTATTGTTACTAAAAGTTTTTCTTAGACACGGTGCAATGCGGATCTATAGACTGTCAAACACGCACGAAGAGTTTCATTCACTTCTTTTTCTTTAAAATTTTCTCAATATCAAGTGATCTCGCAGGGGTATTAGCTTTCAATTCGACAAAGCTGAAGCTGCTCATTCATAAATGATGTCTAACACTATGTAAGATTATATCTTGAACATGATGAGATCCAAAAATCATTTGTTTGAAGATTTTTGAGACTCTTTAGCGCTAGTTGCTCAATATAATCTAGTCTGTAGTCTGCCTTTACTTCTAGTATCACCCAGGATGTCCTAGGATTTAGAACTAGGAGTAAAAACTAATTTATATTGAGCAGCTCGTGTCTAAAGTATTGTAAAAATTTAAATCCATTATAGACGTCATTTATGAACAAACCCAGATGACTTCTTTGTTTCGGATGCTAATCGAAGATAAAGGAAAGAAAGCAAATAAAAAACAAAATTGCCAAAGATAGAAATCGAAAGTTAATTGAATTGTATTATTTTAATTATCTATCACTGAAGATTTAATTGATTCATCCAGGGTTGTCAATTGCTATTTAAAGAACAAAAGTCTGTCGCATGCCATGACCTTTACTAATTTGTCATAATAATAAGCTATGAAAAATTGAGATCATTGTATTCACTAAAGAAATGTCCACAAAGCATGTCAACATCTTAATCGGCTTGCAAAATACTCGACATTGTGTTGAACATGATACATTAATCATGCGTGGGAGCAAAGATCAAACACAATTGCCATTCATTATTCTACAATTTCGCATATCATTGTCATGCACCTACAATTTCATCAAAATATTCGACATTCCAGTCGATGTAAATTAAGTCATGAAGGAAAATTATGCTCGTGTATTACAAAATCGTACGAAGAAGCTGTTAGCTTTTCTTACACCATAATTTAATACTTCAAGCGATTGTCGTGAATGAAAAAAAAAATCAAATTGCTTGAGATTACGTTTATGACATCGACTTTAATTCGAGAAGCATTGAGGTACACACGCAAAACTTTCACTTGCATTATTTAGTTCAAATAAATTGCCACTGGTTAGTCGTTGTGCGGAACAACATTTTTTTCTTCGTCATCTTTGCAGTCGTTTTTCTTCAATGATTTACAGAATTGTCGACTTCTCACCGAACATCTCAGTGATTATTACGTCAATTGTGAAAAAGTTTTTAACTTTTTGGGGATCATTCAATTATGACGTTCAACAATAATGAGATTTTAAGACCACTCCTTACGTCTGTCCAAAAATCTCAGAAGGAAAACCTAAATGATTGATGTCATAATTGAACGACCCCTTGTATCAATCTTGTTGAAGAAATTGGAACCAGTCTGAATTTAATTTGATGATTATAGATTTTTTTGATGTGTGGCAATGCGTAAACTCTAATTAATTGGATTTATTGCTTGTAGACTTAAATGATATGGTACAGATAATTAACTTACGGAGCTTGCGAAATGTATGGATGATGTGCTTGAGGTGGAGATGGAATGTAAATATATTGTGGTTGTGGAATCATGGTTGGATGAAGTGGTGCACCACCACCGATTATTGGCTTAAGTAATGTCTGTTTGGCTGGCACAGTGTAAGTTTGATCAGCTTCGTGAACCTTTGGCAAATGATAGACTTGTTGTCTCAAGTCGGCAATCGAATGAGCTACAAAAGAAATTGAAACGATTAATTGACGTATAATTTGGTGGAAATAATCGAATTTTGTACATCCAGTTGTGAGCTATCACTTCCTTAATATTCAATTCGATCAATAAAAATGTAGCATCAATTACCTTTTACTGCATAACGTCCAGGTGTTGGTGTTACAAAAACATCTTGTGGATTATTACTGTAACTTAATTGAATGTGCTGTGTTGGCTGTGGCGCCAATTCTTTTGGCACATTTACATCACTTCTTTGGTCTGTTTCATGCAGTAATGTGTCTCTCTCAATATCTTCTAGCTTAATTTGCTTCTCATCATCGGCACTTGTCGAATGAATAGCTGTAAAGCACACGAGTGCTATGAGCAGTAAATTTCTCTGAAATGATGCAAACGATCAATTAAAAATCTCTTTAAGATACTTAATTATCATGGACTTAAAAGTTGTAATGCGCATTTTAATTGTTTATTATTTGCACTTCGTTAGACTTGCTGATGTTTTAAATGAATGGCATTACGCGAGAGGTCAGGTAGAAAGTTTGTCTGAATAACTTTTCTGGTTGCGTTTCTTTTAATAAATTATAGAAACATTTCTTCAAGGCTGTATGTAAATGAAGCGCATTTTCAGCAATAGATAGTAATGGACCATAAGTTTTGGCGCGAATATTAAGTAAAATGAGGGTATCATGACTAGACAAATCAATATGTGATGGACATTTATGATCTGCAGACTATCAGAGAGCTTGATGACTTTACAGACACTCTGTCGACAGCAATAGTGATTATTCATTAGATAATAGGAAACATGATTTGATAATATGCGAATACCGCCGTAAAGGATGTCTTACATCAGCTCCAGGCAATACATACATTAACTTGAGTGGTCAAACAAGTTCGATTATCTCTTGAAATTTTTTTATATAAAATTAAATTGACCCATGACTGTCGAAAAGCTACTCTAGATAGCCTGAAAATAAATCCCATCGTCCATTTCTTGTAATCTAAATTTTTTCGCATGTTAATTTATAGCCATGGATATTTTGTGAGTCCAAAAAAGCGCACTTAAGTGAAAGTGGCACTGTTATTTACTGCGTAAGATTTTTTTTATTCCTCTTTGTGCAGAAAATAAATTAAATGCTGATATTAAATCATATCTTGTTACTTGTTGCTACTCTCGTCTGTTCCTCAAACATTCCGATTTCTTATCACATTTGTAGAAAGCTACACAATAGACAATATTTTTTTATTTGAGTGACATTTAACAAATGAACTGTAATATAACTTGAAGTTACTTAACGTCGGCTGGTCTGTTGTGTCCCGATATTCCCCATCCAATAAGCGTGAAAGTCAATTTTTTATTGTGCGTCAATTGATGACTTTAAATTGAAAATAAAGCTAATGGAAATAGTGAATGAAAGTGCTTACTGTATGTCATGAAGGTAATTAGACAGATACGGAAAGGAATTTTGATGCTGATGGACTTAATTTTAAATGGATTCCAACATGTAAGCATGATATGCAGATCTAATGACAGTGAACTTCAATAATCAATTGCGTATGTCTTTTTCACAGTCATTGCTGTGGATTTGTTTTAAAAATATAATTTATGAAGCTTTACTTGATGGTAATCACATAGCAATAGACTCGTGAATCAATCAAATAGGAAAAGTAGAAAAAGCCATAATTATTTCACTGGAATGTGTGACTAATTGCTTCAATGTTAATAATTATGTTGATAAAAAAATTACGCTACGATGTCTCGGCACTTTTTCCTTCTTTCTGTTGCGTCTGTCTGATTTTGCACAAGACATAATAGAAACATTTGTATTATGAATGTTAATATTGAGACATCCGCTTTATTAAAAGCTGTTTTTCAACAAATTCAGCATAAAATGTTGCATCAAACTGCAATAAAACATTGAGCATTAAATTTTAAATGTTTATGGCACAAGCAATGAATGTTTCATCATGCAAAATTATTTTTTGGAATGAGCAACACAAGTAAGCGAGCGCCTTTATGTCTGCAACCGTCATTCCACGTTTATACATTTTTTCATAATCCATTGGAATGTGTGTTATTAGAGTAATTATGGAAATTGGACTAAGAAGAAGATTAAAATTTCTATCGGAGATTTAAATCGCAACATCGAAAATTAAATTTTTTACGCTGTTCTTGCAACTTTTTTTTGGGGTCTAATTGAAAATTAGTTCAAAAATTTCATACATTACTGTATTGTCGATGAAATCGCATAGTTCCGATAAAAAAATTATGATTATGGCTTTTAAGATGAGAGTGTAAAAGATTCATAAAGCAGTTAGAAATTAAAATCTTGTGGTTGAATGTGTGGTCAGTGGCTCTCAACTTTGAGTCACGGTACTATGAATTGTTTAACAGAAGTGACATTGCTTCGATTCCCTAGAGAAACAACAGTACTAGCTTATTTAAAATCGTGAATTATTCTTAATACTTAAACTCTAATGTTCCTTCAAATCTTTAATGTGTTCACTAAACCGTAAATCAAAAAAGCTTTACCGCTTCTGCCTCAGATCATAAAACCATATCGCAATATAGCCAAACAAATGCATGATGATTTATGCATTTTGAAAAATTTTCACTGCCTACAGAGATACACTTGTGAATAAGATGTGTGCAGAAGATTAAATCACTCGCCTCATGCCAAACTCATGTGCCTAATAATTGTCTTATTAACATTTGATACACGTCTGTACACAGTATGTTATGATCATCGTTAATGGATACGCACACAAAAAAAGAGAGGAAAGAAATTAATTTTATTTTTTTTTTGCTATCAAAAATGATTTAATTCGATCATAAATTGAAAGTCTCTAACATCAGTCATTGTTTTGCAATCATTTGAGGATTTATAATGACGAGAGTAATTCATCTGTATTAGTACTCAATGATGATGTGAAGATTGATAAATTATACTCTATATTTTAAGTGTTATTGACTCTTTTGAATTGTGCCGGGAAGTTAATGGCATGAATAATCGTGAAATCAATATTGTTATAGAGGAGTAGCTACTTCAGGTGATATACACAATTTTTATTAAGCGGATATCGATTACCGGTAAAGTAGAGTAAAAGATATGACATGTGAAAAATGCATTAGGATGCATATTGCAGGAAAATGCTTTCCTTCTTTCTCTTTCTGAATGCGTCGATCCATATGTCATGATTTATGCAAAATATGTGCATGACGTGAAATTGTTATGCGAGAAAATGAGCAAGTCGTTTCCGTAAATATGACTAGTGTGCTTTTGAATTTTAAGGGGACTTAAATGTCGATTAATGTTTGGAATCTTGAACAGTTTGGATCATTGCTTTTAACAATAAGATTTTGAAATAGGGAATGTATAAAGTGCAATGGAGCCATATTAATGTGAAATCTAGGACATCAAATGTCAAATGTAAGCGGTATGAATGCTTTTGTCATAAAAGATTCTAATGACCAAAATCAGGATATCTTGAGAAATATGAGATCTTAAGAAAACATTTCAAAAGTGCATGACAAAGTTCTCCATGGCAAATAAGTAAGTTATCAGATCACATATCTTTATTTATATCTTTAGTGACTTTTAAGTTTAATTCTTAATATGTTGAGATTGAAATCTTTAACTTAACATGGAGTTTTGTTGAAACTAATGATGATTAGTTCCTATTGATCCACTGTGAATCGTAGGGCAATCGTTTGTTGAAACTCCAAAGGATTAAAGCACTTTTATTAAGGAATTGAATGAGTTTAGGATTTAATGATGAAATCAAATGAGAATCTGAACTTAAAAAAATCCTTTCCATTTTCTATTTCACGTATTTTTCAACAATATCTAATATATAATCTCATTCAATTTAGGATGAACTTTAGATTTCCACATGGATGAGCAATCCACATACTTCACATTATTTCAACTAAACCTTTTGTCCAAACCCTAACAATGTCTAATGAGCCAAACATAATAATATTTTCAAGAGTTAATCATTGAATGTTATTACATTAAATGGCTCATTATAAAAGTTTAAATGCTTTATTACTGAAAAATTAACTTTCATTAAATCCTTGATTGTTCAGCTTCAATTCACGAAATGCCTTTCAAAAAATTCTTCTCTTGAATTGAATTTATTTTTATTTTTTCATCCCGTTATGTTCACTTTCCATTTCTTTCACTTTTAAGTCCAATTTTATTGATTAAGAAATTCTTTAGGACTTTTATCCTCACCATTATGAACAGCTTGTTATTCCTTTACTTTGATTATTTTATGTTCTGATAATGTTCTTTAATATCCTTAAAAGGCACTGATTAATGAATCCAAAAAACCACAAATTATATTAATAACACTTAATTAATTTTATTTTCACACAGTGGCTTAACCGCACGTGTATATTGAAAGCGGTTTGCGAAGAGAAATGGGCGAGATAGAGATTGATGTTTATTATAGCAAGGTTTAAATTGAACTGCGACACATTAATAGTGGGGCTTGTTCATTTATATATTTTGGACCAGTTAAAGTAACTTGCTTACTTGACCAGATCACTCTACTAGGCGAAAAAAAAAGGTTTCGTAGTATTCACATGCGGCGTACGTAATATAACAACAATTTCATTACATCAATAACAAACTACACACTACAGCATGTGTGTGTACAGTATAATTTAATAGAGAGCAGTAAAACAAGAGATCTCGCGAAATACTCGCATTATCAGTCGTAGAAGTTTGTTTTTATTTATTTTTTATTTCTTCTTTTCTCAATGCTATATGGTACGTGATGTTGCAGCTTTGGTATGCAACTTTGAATGTGTTTTTCCGAATCTTTTGCATTTTGTCTTATTTGGAGTTGCTTAAGACACTTGGATTCTTATTGACATAAATCTCGGAACAAGACTTCTGATTTTAAAGTTCAATATTTTAGAAACTTTTATGATCTTGCAATTATGAAATGCGCACTAAAGCTTCTAATTAATGAACAGCAATTGCCGACTTTTTTTCTGCAATCTCTTGAATGTATTAAGATGCGAAACTCATAAAAACAAAGAGAAACAGGCCGAAAATTCATATTAAAATATTGAGCGATAAACCAAAAGAAATTATTAAACTTGTTGAACATGTACGAAAATAAAAACGTTGAGCTCGTTGATCTACATAAAATAAAAAAATCCCCAAAATACACATTTTTGATTAAAAGACTTTACGAGCCGCCAAGCGCATGTTTGGAAAACGATGGTATCAAGCAATGTCATTCTTGAATGATACATTTATTGTAGTAAAATTGCTTTTAAAGTAATTGCCATTTGATGGATCTAATTTTACTTTTTTTTGGCATTTTTTTCTGTGAAAATGAAAGGAATTTCGGGGTTTGAAGACAATATGAAGTAAGTGATTGTACACTTTCGATTCAATATGAACTCTGACTTGAATTCACATCAAAAAAAATATGTTTTTGATAAATTTTATGAATAGTCAAGAAATTCAACATGACATGAAAGGAACATGAAGTAGCCTATTGTTGTCATTCTGGACCACCAAAAGAAATTGAAATTAAAAATAAAAAATTTAAATATTCGCATTATTTGAATTCTATGATGTTCCAACATTCACTATTACGAAATTTGACTTTATTTGTGTGAAAATAAATTATATCATCGGCTAAGGCTAAGGAAAAATCTATTGTATAGCTTCATTCATGTATGTTCAATTGATTTTCGCCATTCATATTTGCATATTTTAATAGATTCATTAGCATTTGTGGATTGATGGAAATTCTCCTACACACAATAAAATGAAATAAAAGAAAGCACTTAGACAGGTGGGAAATGTAAACTTTGGCAGTGCCTTTTTTTGCTGCTTTTTATCATATTTGAAGATCTAAATTGTGTAATGTATTTACTAGTCCTTTATGTAAGATATCCTGTAGTTGTGTTATTGCAGCATTTTAAAGCTATAAAATAGACTCAAAGAAAATAAAAGTCATCCATGTGCAGCAACATTATTATTGTGAAAAGAACATGATCATAAAAATACCATAAATGCTTTATCCATACTGCACACTCATTCATGTTTCAATTAAGATCATTAATAGGTATGCAGCATAAGGACCTAATCATGCAATTTCGATCCATATCATTAACATTTTTCGATCCACTTTTGGGTGGATTACTTTCATAGACTTCATGTACTTTGATCTCAATCTTAAACTGTAACAAATGTTATCTCCTCATACACTCACTTGCATTTAATCTTTCATCTTCAGATGAAACAATGAATATGTTGAAATAAATTTGAAAATAAAATATTACTTTTTTGCAGGGGTTTGTGCCTGATTTAAATTATTGAATTGTTTAATTTTTGAATTAATTTCTTTACCTTTGGAGATTATTTGTATGATGTTGACTTTAGTAACAAAAGGGATTTTGGAAAGTTTACAGATAAACAGAGTTTCCTTAATCTTAATTCAGGATGACAGAATTCATATTAGGATATGAAGATCTTTTAAATTATAACTTAAATGATCCATTTGTCATAATCTTTTGTCAATAATCAAATTTAATTGAGAACAAAGAGTAGAAAAAATAAATCTAATACTTTATGATCCTTAAAAAGCCATTCCTATACCTTTTTCATCAATTTTGATCAAATAACTCTCATATCATGCCTTCATATCCAAAACAACATTTATAAGTACAAGTTTATACCCCTGCATACACAAAATGCTATTCATTCCGTTTTAACACTTTGTTTAATCCAAATCTCATTGTTTTCGCACTTTTTATGACTTTTTATGGTAATTGAATGAAATGTATGTACAAATTATTACTATTATTGTGACATGGCATGTAATTAAAAATTCATATGCACAGGATACATGCCATAAAAGACTCTTGAGTCTCTAATTTGTAGAAAGAAGGAAAGAAATAATAGATTAAGTAATAATTGTAAATTTTAAGAAGAACTCGATGTGTCGGGTCGTTAGCATCATAATTCATAATAAATGTTTTTTCAAAATAAAGTTTATGTCATTAATTTAAAGTCTTACGTATTCAAATGAGAACCATGAGGACGCATGAAATGATTGTTTCCCAAATACTTTTACCTTAATTGCTAATTGCTTCTTTGTGCTTCAGCTATTGACAGACCAGCAGACAGTCTTCCTCAACAGTCCTCGTGAAGCAATGACTGTATTGATGAACTAATTCACATTTTATGCTTTCTTACATTAATCATTTAAAAAGAAATTGAACGACTTATGTAAGGCATCGTTGAGGTGGGTACATACATACATAAGACTGCATATGTGACATATGATTGATTGTTTTTCGCCTAAATTTCTGTCAAATTGGCCAATAATGAATTGCAAATGTATCAAGAAAATTAATTTTTGTCAGCAATTTTCTGAGAAATAATGAAGTCTTTAAAACTATTAATGTGACGTTGATCTATATTCATATCCGATATTCAGTGAGAGTGAGTTTAGTTAATAAATGGAAAGTCAAACAAAATAATATTTTAAAGACACAAAAAATAATAATAATCAAGTTTTTATGAAGTTATCTTAATTGAGTTTCTGCTGCTTTTCGCTCACTTTTGATTAGTTTATTTGGTACATGTTGTTGGATGTTATGTAAAGAGCTTTTAATTGAATTTGAAATATTCGTATGGGAATATTAATAAAGCCATTAGGAAGATATGGATTATCTTAAAACTGATTTTTGAAGTATGCTGTAAGTAAATTGTCATTTAGAGAAGGAATTTTGATAGTTGAAATGCTTTCTAAGGTTTTAAACTACAACCTTATAATAGATTATCTTGAAGACATTGAAGAAGATGTAGTTAAACAGTGTATAAACTAAAGTATCCAACACGAGCAAATGCTCAAAAACACAGCAAACAATTTTAACTTGATAGGTCATCAAAAACAATTTCATCACAGAACTAAATTGACTTTTCCCATCCATAACATACCTATATAGATTAATACATAAACCAGCATAAAAGCTAGTCTTCTTAATCCAGCATATTAAATAATGATTTATATTTTCACCGCTTGCAATCTTTACGCTATGAATTTAATAAGCATCTATCCTCATCATATGAGAAAATGATTTTAAAATGGAATATTATGATATATCATAAACTAATATAAAAGTAACGCCTTTTAAAATTCATCTATTCATAAATCATTTTGTAGCTTCTTCTTGTCAAATTTGATGTCCAACAGTAGCAAATTTTCTTTATGTAGTAGCTAATGTGAGAATAATAGCTGATTTATTTGATTGAAATACATGTTATTGTTGTCTGATGTAGTGCTCGTGGGATGAATAGGAAATAATTGATTCAGATGCTTAGACTCAGTCTTTCGAGATTGCTAAATAGTTTAAAGATATTCAGACTTTACATTCACTATTGAAAATAAGTAAGTATTGCGAAATATTATCTTAAAGGCTCATATTTTCTTACAAAATGTTTATAAACTCCTTAATGAGTGTCCTAAGGTGATTAAAGTGTAGCGTAATAATTTCAATTTCAATGAATCTCCTTCATTTGTTAAATTAATACTTACTGAATTACTTTTGATTTCATTTTCAGTAATTAAATTTAGCTAATATCTTTAGCCTCAAAAACCAATGAATCTTTCTCCATTTTCTTTAATGCATATTTTTTTCATGATTTTTTAAAACAAGAAAGCTTTGGTTGTGCTTGTATAAGGTCAAGGTTATGAAGTGCAATCAGGGAAATATAGCTTGTTCGTTGAAGTTAGCTTCATGCAACCAAAATATTCCAAAAATTATGTATTTATTAATTTGTTCTCTTTTAGCTGACCCCCCCCCCCCCCCTGCATATTCTGGGTATTTCGATTGTACGAATAATGATAATTTTGTTTTATTTGAACTGAAAATTCTCCGAATCCTCTATTAGAACTCTTTTGATTAATGGTTAATTAATTGTGTTCCTATTTCGTCTAAAACTATTCAAAACCCAGATGACACCTCTTACTGTTAAGGAAGTCTTTATCAAATAATCATTGATCTGAATAAACAGAAATTCAACGAAAACAATTAATTGATATGCATTAATTCTTAAAATATTCCAAAAATGACTGCAAGTGTTAAATAGCTGCAACTATTTCATGCATTTCAAATTCAAGCACCAATAAAAATTCAATCCTATAACCTGATCGATCACCGACTGATATTCAAGTCGGCAACAAAGGAATGCGCGTCAAATTCCTCAATAAAAAAATTCCATAATTCCTTCATACTTATTAATTACGAATTGTTTACGATATGCATCTTAGTGTACATTTTTGGCATAAATCTCGCCTTCTAAAATTGTTTTTGATACTTACTCTCATTTATCATCTTATTTTTTAAATATAAATAATAATCATAAAACTTTTAATGCTGAGTCAGTAGAAAGTGCAAAATAATTTAAATCATTTTCATTTCATATCCAACAAAATTGGAATATATTGAACTGGAACAGAAGTTATATCATAAAAGTTTTGGATATTGGTAACAGCATATAAAGGATTTTAATTTAATTTAATATTATAATATAAATTCACAATAAATTATGCTCGTTGTGATATCATAGAAAATTTTGATGGTTTATAGCTTGTCATGCTCGCAACTTGAGGTGTTAAAATTGACGTCGATATTCGTGATGAAGCAGCTGGAACATATTCATTCATATTTAAGGTAATATCTAACTCTGGCTGTTTGATAAGTGGTCGAGGATCCGATTGGATATAAGATGTAAGTGGAGCAGAATGAGCACCGATTATCGTACTTGATGGTTTCGAATAAGATCTATAAGGAATTATTGTAGGCTTTGTGAAAATCGGCTTTGCTGTTTCTGTTTGAATATCCATTGAAATTGATTGCGGTGGAAGATAAGGTTGTGACGGAACCATCATCACAGGCCTCAAGAGTTGAACATACTGAACTGCCGTTTGCTTTGGCATGCCTTCGGGCGATAAGTATTGAAGTAACACAGATTGCGGGTGAGCTTTTGAAATGGAAATCAAATTATACATTTGAGGATACTTAAAAATATTAATGAATCATTAAATAGCTAACCTGCTGTCATGTGGGGAGGTGATTGAACGCCTTGTCCAATTGCAAAAACGATTCCGCCACTTGTGAATGGAAATTGTGATCCATAGATAGAATTGCCACCTGTTACAACATCTTCATATGTTATTTTCATTGGCTTAAAGCCACTGTCTATCGGTGGCGTTTCAGGCTGATTACTTGTCGATTTTTCAGCACTATCAGCCTTAGATCCACTAGCAACATTATTATACGATGTCAATGTCGTACTTATTGCACGTTTTCTAATTTCTGGTGAATCAACAACCCCAGGTTTTCCCAATATCAGATGGCATTGCCATAACAAAAATGCTACACTAATCTACAAAAAGAAAGAAGGAGAAACACCTCTGAATACATGTCCTTTCACTTTTTTCGGTCATTTCGATTTATTAATTTAATTATGTAATTTATTAGATATTAAGCAGCACACCAAGAGCGATTCTGAGCCTTACCAATTCTCTTTTCATTTTATTTGTTCATGTACACACTTATGACTTGATGAAATCCACTTATGCAACACAATATAAACTGTTTTTGATGATTTGTTAAATGCAGGAGAAACAACACTTCATAAATTTCTCGCGAAAAATAATAGCTGCGTCTACATAAGAAGATGAGTGTTTATGATTGTAGCACTTAATTATTTTTTTTTTATAATCAAACAAATTCCTTAATTTACAGCTTTAAAATAAAAATATGCAATAGCTTCACAATGTTGCACATAAAACACACCGTTATGAGATGAACAAATGATGCAAGCGAATGATTTGCAATCTTCTTTTATATGCATATACAGCAGAGACTTTTGTCTTAGATTATCACAAGTGCACAATGTTCAATCATGCATACATTAATTTCGTCAATGCTCTATTAGTGATAGAGTAAGAGAAATTTCTAGTCTTACTTTCGCGAAAATTATTATCTTATCATTATTCAGTCGTAGCCAATGTCAGGCTGTTCAGAGGAGGGAAATTGATTAACCGCACTGATTGACTTTGTTGCTGAGAATTCATCTCTTGTGGTAAATACAGATGCAAATTTCTATCATAATAATTAGATAACCGTTTATTGATATTCAAGCATGTGGTTCAGGAGCTCTCAACCTTTGTGATTCAAGGAGAATGCTAAGTTTGAGCTTTAAGTCAGTAAATTTGAGGCCCAATAAGTTCATTTTCTGTCTTGTTGACTCGAAACATAAGAAGTTTCTCTACTGAGACTCGAACCCAAAATTGCTGAGTCTGATAAAAATTTACAGTACTATACTTCTGCAAAACCAAACCACTTTAAGTCATATTCTCTTTTTTGACGAGATGTGGATCATTAATATAGATTTCATTTGTATAATTAGATTGGGAAGCTCTGATATGAAGGAAGTCATAGTTTAGAGCATCTAAAGCTACCGATTCTCTAAGTTCTTATCTAAATCTCTAAAATAAATGAAATATGTAACCATTGTCAACATAATTTTGAAACATTTGCTTAAATCTAAAGCAACTCTTACTGATGTCCAATTCACTAGCAAAACCAAATTCACAAAGCCAATTAGAAGCCCTACCACGCTTCACACATCTCATTATATTGTTCATAATAATTTAATGTTGAACATGATTTACTATGTAGTCAGTTTTATGTGGAAGCAAGCAAGCCATGCGATGAAATTGTAATAGCACTGATAATTTTGTGAAAGACCTTGTAAATGCATGCGGAATAAAATGATTATTTTTCATTAAATTCATAACTATTGTAGATTAAAATTAATAAACTTCATGCTGCAAAGAAATTGGATGAAAGACTTGAATGATTGGCAAAGAAGCGAAACTCTTTTTTTTTTCATTTCATTTCATTTTTGCCAAAGTTTATCTTGTCTAATCATGCATTTCAAATCGATCGATATTTTTAGCTAGTAAATTAACATTAAAGTGGGAGAGAAAAAACACACCTTTGAATCTATGACTGAATTTAGACTTTCAAATTATTTAATTAAAATGATTAAGAGCAGACTTCACTTTGCGCATTACCGAGGCTTTTTTATATTGAGTTAATGCGATTGTGTGGATATTTTGAGATGATCATGTGTGTGAAAAATGTTCGTCATGAAAAATTTGGTTTGTGAACCTCAAAAAAGTTTTTCTTTTTCGTGAGCCTTATAAATGTTTTTGGAGTCTTAATTTCCGTTGTGAAGTCAGTCAATGATCGCATGAGACTCGATGGAACCAATTTGATTCGCTTTTATTTTAGTCATGCTTTAGCTGCTTGAAAGAATGCTTTGGTACCTGAATAATGCGACTACTGAAAAATCCAATATCTTGGATCTTAATCTCAGTATAATTATGCATCTTGGTATAATTATGCACCAAAATTATCTAGGGTTACTTTACAATCTTATCAAAATGAAAAGTCATTCTTTTTATGAGCTCTGAACCTCAAATTCAATCTCCATCTAGTCAATGTCAACTATTCCACACACTTAAAAAATGACTTAATCAAATTTCCTCAATTTATTTTCATAATTTTGTGTGTAAATTAATATGCTGCAAATTCTTTCATCTTATTTACTTTCATTTTCTTCAGTGCCTATATATTGAACATTTATTAAATAAAGCAGCAAGTGAACCAGTTTTACTTTCATCTGGTCATAACATTTCTTCTTTCCCGACATAATTGTATTTTATGAAGAAAGAAAGAAAAATAAAATGTGAATCACATGTGTGCTGGCAATTTGATCGCCTTCTTTTCTCTCTGTTACACTAAAATCACTTTATTCCGCTGTTATTGTGTTAAGGCATTGTGTAAATACCTGCAATATAAACGTCCAGTGTGTACAAATTGAAAATAAATATGAAATAATAGTAGCTACGGTAGCGGAATAAAGACCTTGCACTTCAGCAGCGCACAGACTTATGAGAAAGTACATAACAAAGTGCTTTAACCTCACAGTTTGCTGTCTTTGTACTTATTTGTATGACTTGCAAGTGACTCAATAAACTTTATTTATTACATCTTATTATGAAATTTAATTCAATTTTCCATGCGCGTCCGTAAGAGACTTTTTTGATGTCTGCATATTAATAGTCATTGCCAAAAATTTTCCCCGTCCTGTCCTGTCTAAATTCAGTCCACATTCACATTAGGGAGTGATCATTCATGACGGTAGCTAAACGTTGGAATTTTGAGGGCTCTCTACAGTCGTATGGAGCCAAAAACACTGAAGTAGTCTACAGCTTCAGTTCCCCATCAATCTAAATACTGAACGTCACCTGTAATCGACACTTTAGGAATCTTTGCAAAAAAATTAACTCCAGCATGTAGATTATGCAATGACAAACCACTTTCTATAATTCAGGTCTTTACAAATATGTTTATTTCTTAAAAATTATCTCAATTTATTGTTGAGTAAGCAAGTAACAAATGAGGGGAAAAAGTCATTATACCCGACGTGCGTAAATGTTCTTTTCACTTTCATTCATGTCGTCGTCTGATGTGTGACACAGATTTTTAAATTCAACAAACAACATTTTTCTTTTAACAATAAGGCATTAACAAAAACAAATGTAATATAAGTAACAAAAAATACAGCATGATATCATTTTTAATAAATAAGAATGATGATGATGGTGAAAAGACAATTCAGGTTGTCTATTTTTATATGCAAATGATGATGATAATACTGTAGAGTGCACAACTTCTTATTTATGTCCCGATTGTGACACAACTGCTTGATATTCTGATGAATCATAATTTTCATGTGACTGTTGATATTGTTGATGGACTTCTGTGTTTGATTGTGATGGTGCTGATGGAGCTTGATGATGTTGATATTGTTGATTTTGGTATGAAGCACTTGGTGGAAGGTATGTTTTAGTTGGTGGCAAGTATGTGCTCACTGGCTTTTCAACCTTAGCTGGCAAATAATTTTTTGATGGTGCTTGTGGATAGGCTGTAGTTGGTGGAAGGTATGAGTTCTTTGGTGCTTCTGGAACAGCTGATTTTGGTGGCAAATAACTGTTAGCAACGGGTGGAAGATATGACTTTGCTGGTTGTTGGACATACTGAATTTGATATTCAATTTGTGGCTGTGCTACATATTGATAGGTTTCTTTTCCTGGGTGTGAAGCATATTGAGCAACTTCTTTGTTAGCATGTGATGAATATTGGACAGTTTGCTTTGCTGGTTGTGATGAATATTGGACATTTTCTTTAACTGGATATGAAGAATATTGAACATTTTCTTTGACTGGATATGATGAATATTGGACATTTTCTTTAACTGGATATGATGAATATTGGACATTTTCTTTGACTGGATATGATGAATACTGGACATTTTCTTTGACTGGATATGATACATATTGGACTGTTTCCTTAGCTGGAAGATATGATTTGCTTGGAACATAATATTCAGCAGTATTTAATGGCTTTCCTGATGAAATTGATTGTTCTGTATATGAATCACCTCCGCTAATGTGTGATGCACCCAAAAATGCTGAAGGCTTGAATGGTCGTTCAGTTTGTGTGTATTGTGGAACTTCATAAGTATTTTTAACGTATGCATTTGATTGATGGACAGCAATTGGTGCAGCATTAGCACTTGAGTAGTGACTTAATCCCTTAGATCCGGTTGCATAGATTGGAGCCTTTGTTTGAACTGGTTTGTGGACGATTGGTTGTGAAACATAAACAGCTGCTGGGATTTGACTTGTATAACCTGCACTGTGGCTATTAGCTGGTGCATAAATGTTGGCATAAGAGTATGGAGCTGATGGATAAGAAGAATGTTGAGCTGATGGATAGGAATGTTGAGCTGATGGATAAGAATGTTGAGCTTGTTGAGCGGATTGATGGTTTGATGTGTACGATGGATAGCTGTATGAAGATGGCACAACATAGGAAGCAGATGAGGGTTGGGATGTATAAGGAGCAGCATATGAATAAGATGGAACAGACTTAATATTTGAATACATTGGAGCTGATTTTAAGCTATAGCCGGGTATTGAAATAACGGAACTTGAAATTTTATCATAATCTCCATTATAATGAACAATTGGCATTTGACTGAATGACTCGTAGCTTGGATAAGAAAATGCAAAATCATCGTATGCTTTGTAAGCTTGAGCTAATGAATTTTCAGCTTCTGGTGCGTAGTGAGCAGATGCTTGATGATGGAAAGTTGTTGGGTGAAATTGTTGAGCAGGTTGTTCGACATGTTGTACATGTTGAACTTGAACTGGAGCTACTTCTTGTTTTGTATATTCCAAAGGTGCAACTTTTTGGATTGTCTGTTGATGCTCATTATTTGCGTATTTTGCTTGTGGCTGGGCAACATGAATTGGTGAATGGAATTGCTTTTGTGGTGCTACATATGAATAAGGTCCTGAGGTTGCAGATCCAGCATCTCTCTTCTCTTTAGCTTCTTTTTCTTTAACAACAGTCTTTGATTTTGATGACGTCGTGTCAGCAGCTGTACAAAGTCCAACGATCAAAATTACCGATAATGTTGTCTGTAAAAAGTTTAATTCAATTAAAATGAGGAAGAGATAAAGGTTGGGTCATACATAATTTGAATATTTTAATTGAAATCATCTTGACTAATTAATACATCATCTAATTAAGCTCTCAATCTGATCAAATCTTAAGCCCAAAGTGTATTATTCAAGATACTTTTATTATTATTTATTCAATTCAAAAGCTCTGCCCCTAATGCTAATTAATAGTTTTGTTTTTGCTTCTCTTTCTATCTGTCCACGTCCGCTGTATATTTTTTATGACATCTTCTCATTCCATTTGATCTTATTGTTTCCTTTTAGACTCTTCTTAATCTTAAGTAAAAAATCTTGAAAATGTCCAGAAACATAATCATTCTAGCTTGAAATTCTACAGAATGAAGGTCATTGCGGACAATGTAGAAAAATGTCTTTAATATATAATTTGATTTATGATGCTGTAAACATTACTTTTCTGCATTAAGTATGGCTTCTTATTTTAGATACACTAGCGATGAAATCGAACTTCATTATGATTTATTGAATTTTGGATAGCGACATGTAATATTCGTGAATAATTGATATTATCTTTTAGTGGATGTGCTTTATAATGGATGAAATTTAATCCTATCATTAGCAGATTTAACACGTTAGTTAAATAAGTTGGATATGAAAAGAATCTAGCTGGTATCCTCAATAAACGAAAGTATGACTACACAGTCGAAAGATCCTTAAAAGCACCTGATCATTTTTATCAGTCCCACACTTTTGATCATGACTGTGTTTTTGAACTAGAGAATCAGTCAAGACCTACATCGAAAATCCAGTTAACTGAGTGAAGCTATTACTTTACTTAAGCTATCTGTTATCAGATAAAGCCTTATATTGCCAGTTTCACTATGAGCTTTTTAGCTGAGCCGATCGACTCAAGATATGAAGCATATAAAGTCATTTTAAAGCTATTTGTAGATCACAGATTGGCAAATTTTTGTAGCCCATCAATCACTTTCCATTTTCGCAATGAATCACATAAATTATCCACAACTTTAATGCTCTTTTAATTACAAAGCGAATCTATAAATCCAGATAAGTAGCTCTGCATTCAATAAATAATATTAATATTGACACACTAGAAAACCACTTGATCATTAATTTGGATTGAAATCCTCAATAAGATTTGGCAGGTGCCATTAACAATGCTGCTCGTTTGTCAGACTTAATCCACAAGTTATTATATTCCAAATTTGTCTTTCACTAATAATTCAGTTCGTATAAACTCACTTTAATAATCCACATTTTGAGATATTGAAATTAATGTTCAGTCACTCCTTAATTAAATTTCTTTTAAATCCTTTAAATAAAAACTTTTAAAAGTTGAAAAAATTTATTTTCAAAGAACGCGACCTGTTACTCTATAGTGTGAAGTTTGAATGCGAAATAATATTTTACCACTAAAAGCCATTCGCTTTTATAGAGCGCCACAGCCGAAAACAAAACAGAAGAAAAATAGTAGACAGACTTAAGAAGAAAACAGAAATAATGAGAAAAGAGTAAGAAACCCCAAGACATACACCGCCAAAAAGTGAGCCTTTTACTTTGAAAAATTCACATTTTGCGATTTTTTCTACCATAAAAAATTGAGTAAGGCACCAAACTTCTTTATCGAAGATGGGGAAAATGCAGTGAAATTGAATCAAGACAATTACAATTGAGTTCAAATTGAATAATTGAAATTGAAATCAAGAGGAATTTTAGAAGAATAAAGAAGTCACAGACAATGGATGTTGAATCGAAAGTTTTACAGTCTAATGATCCAGCTGTATTAAAATTTCCTTTGACCATTGAGCAGTTTTGTTCTATTCATCAATCGTTTTAGATAAAAGAAGCTTAAATCATTTCCGTATTGACAAGATTCAAATTCTATTCAAGTCGATTCAATGATACACAGCTCAGTCAAGTATGAAATTGGTAGAAAGAGCGAAATTTCGATTAATTAAATTTTAAATGCTGTTTCATTCATCTATTTTACTTTCTTAATTAAAACTGCCTCAAAATAACCATTTTTTGTCCGCATCTACGAAAATGGTGACATAATTATATTATTAAAGGGAATCAATATTTTATAACTTTTAAGGTTATCAATAAGCTATTTTTTCGATTATCTAAGCTGTCAAAAACATTTATCAACATACACAAAGTTAAAGTTTATTTTTGGTAATATTGAGGCAGTCATTTACAATCCTGATCAAAACTGAGTTGTTTAACGCAGCATTCTTTGTTTTGAAAATGAATTAAATTTGAATGACGTTTAATTTTGATAATGTTTTAATCATATGGATCCATAATTTATGACGAGTTACATTTAAAATCAAGAAGAAACTTGGAACTGTTCAAGAGTTCATGAAAAACATTTCAGGTGAGTTTTGTGACATAATGAGGTATAAAAATTCAATATCGATTATGACATTTAGAATCAAAATCAAACTATTATCAGATAAACCTAAACTTGAGATTTAGAGAGATAAGAAGCATTAGATTTGCAGGTCAATAATATATCGAATACGAATGAATCAGTTTAGTTGACACAATGATGTGTAATAATCAGTAGATCCATGTGACTTCCTTCTTAATGTAGATAGACAATTTATTTTTGTTGATAACCAAGTTATTTAGATCTTCTATTGTTCAAATAATTCATATCAATTTTAAAAGTTCTAACAGTAAACCTTATTAAAATCACAAAGCTAAGTTCATCGCACTTCCCAAAGATTCATCATGAATTTTCTTAAAAACACATAAATTTTCATCTCTAATAACCTGAACACAACATCGAAAGACAAACAAAAGAAAATGTAAACAAAAATCCATTTCATCAATGAGCTGAAAATGACTATTTACAATATGTATGTGCATTCATCTACAGATTATATCATGATATACTTTTTATCATTTATCGCATTTTAAAAAGCCAAATAAAAACTTTAAATTATTGAATGTTATGCTCAATTACTCGATCTCAAAGGAGCATAAATAATAATAACAGTAAGAAAGATCACAATGGTGTTATTACTTCGAGCAATTTTATTACGAACCATTTAAAAATATAAAGCACTTTTTGTCGAGAAGTAGAAACAGAGGAAAATTAATGATAAAGCTAGCAAAGACATGATACTAAAGCGCATTTTTGTGATTCAGGAGCTAGTTTCTAGGGCGAAGTTTATGCGCCAATTAATAAAGAATTAAAATAGAAAGCAAGAATCTGAAATTAGATGTGAAAATAGATTTGATGAGGATCTCAATCTAAAAGTTTTTTGAAGACTTTTTTGTCAATTGAACCTTGGAGTTCCTTTATTTTAACATCAAAATATAATCCAAGAATGAGAACATTCAATGACAGTCGATAGACAAAGCGCTAAGATCAGTAGCGATTTCCATTTGGAAAAGCAGGCCAAAAATTTTTGATATATTAAAGCAAACGTAAGAAATATGTAAAATACAATGGAGATATGAAATATTTGATTGAGAGTAAATTGGCTGAGGAAAAAGGTAATATGCATGCACTAGTTTGCAATTTCTTATCACATTATTTATCAACATTATGTTATTGCTCATTTTTTTATTACAATAATGTCATAAATAATAAAATATTATATTGCAGGCTCAATAACTTCCTACAGTATGTATTAAAATGAAAAAGGGTAAAAGTGTGACATAAGTTAAAACTATTAAGGAATAAGTGTTGAAAGAAATATAAATTACTTCTTACTCAATCTTTTTAAAAAATGTTAAGGCAACAGGATTTCGGTATTTGGGACATTATTTGCAACTTTAACATCATCATTACTCTAATTTTTATCTGCACAACAAACATCTATTAATTAAAAAGTAATTATTAATTTATTTATCGAACAATTTCCATTACATAACTGATCAATCACCCAAAATTTACTATTTTTTTGTGAGCACTGTATGGGATTGAAACAATTACTGTCTGATACACTTTCTTTTGACGATGATGATGATGATTGCACAATTTTTCGTTCGGTAAACATGTAATTTAAATTTTTTTTAAAATAATAAAGACCTCATGAGCACCCCTGTTAATTTACTTTGTAGCGACAACATTATAAATTCTGTCCTAGCCAATCAATGGTATCGAATTTTTTAATCGATTATTTATTAAAACGCATTCAAACTAGGTTTGAATTGACACAAAATCTTGTACTCCTTACCAAAGTTGATAACCAATTAGGTTCATTTATTATTGTAATTTAAAGTTGTGTTTCCATTGTCAAAGAAGTGCAACTTAGGTATCAATTGTTTCATGTTATTAGCTTCTGATAAATATTAAGAATGTGGTCAGTGATGCTGTATGATACTTTTATTTTTAAAGTCAACAGAACGATTTTATCCTTCACAAAACTTCAAATGAAAGTAAGAATAATATTGAGATCATACTCAAATGGGAATCACAAATTCCCTAAGTCTTCAATAATCATCCAACTGTCACACATGATGACATTTATTTGCAATCTCATTTTTTATTCCTAAATCCACAAACAACCAAGACAAAATGAATCGAAATTCATGCATCAGATGATAAAGTTTTGACTACGAAAAAAAATACTATTGAACCCAATGTATTGCTTGTATATACATTGATCTAATTCGATCCATTTAATTTATTTAATATGTTAAGTATGACTTGACGGTGGCTTCCAATTTTCGGGTAAATTATTCATACTTTTACTTCCTCTACTTTAAAACTACTTACTTTTTCCAGCTCCTTCTCCTCCCCGTTTTAATTTCGTACTCGATAATAACTTCCAATGTGAAGAAAATATATTGATACGACATTATAATTGGCTATATGAATGAGATGAAAACAAAAAGTGCAGAATTATTAGTTATAAAAAATGTATGCGAAAGCCGAGAAAAGTATTAATCTGCATTAAAGCCTGGATAATTAATTTTTCACGAGACTTTTTTGCATTAAAATCTTTATTTTTGGAAATAATGTTTTATTAGATTTTAATTACATTCATGTTACTTAATATTGATATCTTGTTTACTGCTGACCGAAAGTAAGAGATTTAAGCTATGGCAAAATTACGAAATCAATCAATTTTATTGCAATTACCTACACATGGGATTTAGCTTCTCATCGAAAATAATTGATTAAGAAATGTTTTGTGTGAAATTTTAATTGAAAAGTCTAAGAAATTTAAAATTAATGTTCAGTTTATTAAGATTTGCATGTGGCAAAAAATTTCAATGTGCATGAATGTCATTATTTTTCAATTAAAATTTAAAAATTCAACGGTTTTATAAAATTCAAATCTCAACGGTAAGGAAAAAATTAAATCAGAGTGCATCATTTTTGAATTTTTTTGACGGTTATTTTTGAAAATCCATATCAATCAAGATTTGAATGTCTTTGTGCCTCAAATCACCTGAAACTGCAAAAGTTCAATGCTCCGAATATTGACCACAACAAACCACAATAGAAATTTGCAAGAAAATTCAATTACCAGCCAGTACATTCATGATTAAGATCTTTTTTTAAACAAGCTAGAAATAATGCACTAATTTGATTATTTAATCCTATAATTGAAGCAACATTAAAGAAGAAAATGGACTTTTTTATGAATCCATGAATTGAACGTAACCCGCCAATTTAGAGCAATCTGATTTTTTGTGGATACTAGATTATTCAGCTTAAGAAGAAGCCATTGTGCTTTTTCCAATATATGTTACATGCTCTGCGTGATTTATTATTATGACTTGCACGACTTTTTTTTTCTTCTGAAAATGCAGAAATTGAGTAAGTGTGGATTGACACGTGCTCATTTATAAATTGTGACAAAATTCTCCCCATGACAGGTCTTGAGGAATAAAACAGCTCAAATCTTATTTTAATTTTAATTATATTTTTCAATTAGAGTCTTGCGTAATTGAGGTTTATTTCTGTCTCCAAAGAAGTCATTTTAGCCCACGCAGTCTGAATATAAAAATGTATACCTATAAGATAAAAGAGGATCAGTGGACTTTTTGGCATGACTTGATTGAAAGTGTTATGTAGTCTATTTTATGGGTAGTTTATAAATGATATCCAGCAGATATGGAGAGTTAAGTGATAGTAAAGATGAACAATCCAGACCAGGGAATTCCAATTGAGTCAATGCCATTCTATATCCCTGGCCGTCATTTAGCACACGACCCCAATTATTTATGCAATATCGGACAACTTCAATCATATCACAGTACTTAATTAATATTTCGGTGGGAATTTACAGTCACTCCCAAATGTATTAATTCAAATTGAATTTGCTGCTATCTCAACAATCTCTTAAATGATCTTAAAAATCTCTTTATTATGAATGAATTGAAATTTTTATGAGTCTAATTTCTCATATCTTCTTGAAGTCAAGGGTCAGACACTCCAAAGTATTATACGGTATTGTACAATACTTACAATACTTTTCATATAAATTTACAATACTTACAATACTGAAATTTAATTATTCAAGAACCAAATTTTAAAAGAAATTAAATATTTTTTGAGTTTTCAACAATTTGTAAAACCAAATTTAATACTTTTTTTGACAAATGTTGATAAATAACAACTTTTTTGATAAATTAACATTATTATTGAAAATTAGCAGGGTATTTTATGAAAAACTAGCACAAATTTCAGTTTTCCATTAAAAGAGCGAATTTCTGATTATGTAATGGCTATAAAAATGGTAAAAAGTTCAAAATTCTTTTGTAAAGCTAGACTGATGCAAATCAAGAATTGATTCCATACAATTCTCATGCATAAAACCGTACAGGTACGAAGTTGATTATGTAAACTAATATTAAATGTCAATAAGGAATCAAAATTAAATAGATTGGTTTCATTTTCACAAGATTTATCACTTTTTATAGCAAACTGCATTACGTTTTATACAAATTTTTTGATCAAAGTATAAGGTTTTAAGTGTATTCAAACATTACTTTGACGATTTGAATTTTTTTACCTCTGGCAAGAAGGCGATTAAGAAGAAATCAAATTTAATAACAAACTTATCAAATGGTTTTTATAGCGTTTTTTTTTTTGAAAATACATATTTTCAACAACTGCATCTCTAAGACAATATAAAACTGTATATTTTTTCTTCTTTCTTTGTCAAAAATTATTCTTATTTTTTTTTAGTTCTTATAGTTGATACTAGACTTTCACGATTTCCTTCACGGTTATCCAAAAAATTTTAATGTCAAATTATCTCAATTGAAAAGTTTCATCATTTAAACACAAAAAAAATCTTCCAAATTTCCTGGAGCATGTTTGATATTTGAGTTTAAATTTTTGTCCAGTTCCCGATAATTTTTTGGGTCTGGGAAATCGTGAATGCCTAGTTAAAACAAAAATATATATCATTTCAGGGAAATTCACTGAAAATTTCTGATGAAAAATGTCCTTACTAAAAGCAAAGTAAACTTTATAGAAACAAACTTAAATCGAGGCATAGCAATGTTATGATATGACTTAAAGCGCTATAAAAAAAAAACTAAACCTCGGTGTTACCTCTTACTAATGTCTAATATTCTCATCTTATCTTATTTTCGTTAATAATGCTTGATATTTTGGCTGCATATGGCGTTATATCGCCTTTGTTTCGAGCCAGAATACTTTTTTGCTATTGACAATTTTGATAAATGACTTTATTACCAAAAATTTTGTATACATTTTTTTTAAAATATTGTAATACACTATTGTATAATACAATATTTTATTGTAAAGTATTGTACAATACATTACAATAATTTTGGAGTGTCTGACCCTTGCTTGAAGTCTCCATGTGAACTTACTTATTTTGCTTGCCATGCAAATTTTTTTTTCTCAATACCAGTAAATTAATCATTTTAATGGAAGATATGCCATTAACGACTATTCGCTTTGTACATTTCTTCTCTTTAGCAACTGTCAGTACTCATTTCGTGTACGATAATTGAGTAAAAATAAGCAGCAAGTAAGGCAAACATTTCATGGTGTTTCCATATGAATTTCATATTGGCAGTAAAAAGCTGTGCTTTACAAACCTAATAAAAATGGGGTTCGTAAACGATCTTCCAAAACAGAGTCTTTATGTATTTTTGGCATGTTTGCAAACAGAAGATCCTTATCTTAATTGTCTGATGACTTTATTTTCATGAACACGTAAAGTTTAAATTTAAATTGTTATGGTGAAATTTGCTTTAAGCTGTGTGATGTCAATTTTAAAGGATTATTTGCATCTTTTAGCATTGTTGATGTTGATAAGATCCAGTAACAATCTAGCATCAAATCTTAATTTGTTCTTAGTCTGTATCAATTACATTTCCTTAACATTCCTTTAACATATGCATGAAATAATCATAAATAGAGAACTAGCATAGATAAACATTAAGACAAATTACCCAAATTACACAAATTAATTAAAAAGGAATATTCCTAATAACAAAAAAATAACCGTCAAAAAATATTCAAATTTTGAAACGTGACTGCAGTGTGAAGGCACCAAAATAAACGAAAATAAATGATCCAGTGAATAGTTAATTTTAATAGATTTAAATGGTTTTAACTAGTATTAAAGTATTTTAAGGTATTAAAGTAGTGTCATTTAAAGTGAACTATCGAATGTGTGTAATACAGTGAAGGATTAACTTGAATAAACGTAAAATTACACAAATTTTATTAAGTTTACGTCATAAAAGTCATACGAGATGAATAAATATACTCAAGATATTTTTGGCATAATTAAGGGGATTCAGCTCGTTGCAAATGCGTCATTAAAGACTCAGGAAGCTTATTTTAAACATATCTGGTCGAATTCAACAGTTCGTGAAGCGATTGACAATAATCTTAAACAAACAGCAGAATGCGGCAAGAAAGTCATGAACAATCCGTCTGAAGAACTTCAGAATATAAATAACATATTAAAAGAATCAGTATCACGATCATCAGTTGTCATTGATGGATTAAGACAATACATGTCTAGTGGACGTAGTTCTATGCCAATTGGTTCACTAGATTTTTCGAATGACAAGTCATCTAAATCATATTCATCACTAAATAATATTAAAGATTTGGATATAGCATCAATTACATTAAAAGAACTTGAGAATATGTTAGCTGAACATAATAAAATCCGTGAAGTTAACTTAAGGATAGACGAGAAAGTTAAGCCTAAAAAACCTAAGAAAATAATGCATGAAGGCAAGCTAGATTTAATAGAAAATATTCCCGTAACTCCATCACAAAGTGAGCCTCAAATTGAGGTGGTTAAACAAAAAGCATCACCTAGCGTTCTTCAAGATGAGAAGCAAGTACAGACAATGATGAGTTTTATAACAAATTTCGACAAAACACCTATCAAAGAAGAAATAAAACCAAAAGCTCCTGTGCAAGAAGTGAGTATGAAGCTTTTATTTGTTGAATTTGTGTCCTTAAGGCTACAATAAGAATTTAAATAGCTGTTTAACGTCTAAATGTTCGAACTGTAAAGAAATAGATCAGTTCTACAAGACTTAATATACTTGCACCCATAAAGAGCCCCAAAATCCCTCCAACAGACACAACAACGTCAATCTTCTCTCTTACTGATTGTCTGAAATATCGTTGAGTCGGCAAAGACTGCATACGAATTGACACAGAACGATCTCTTGAATTTTCACGAATCTTTGAAGAATGTCGAACCACATTAGTCTGTGCTTCATTACAACTAGGCAAGCATTCACAAGGAAGTCCATCAACTCTCCATGGCTGCATAATTGTTGTTTGTGGAAATAATAGATCATTCTCATCTAAACATACAAGACCAAAATAATCACATTCCGTGCTGTTGTCTTTGCTGTCAACGATTAAATTGTAATGAGTGCAATTACAAGCCTTGATTTGTGCTTGCTTTAAGCATTCTGTAACACATGTTGAATAGCTATACATTTTATACGCTGAATCAGGTCCTTCGTCAGGGAATTTGCATCTTCTATATTGTGGTTCGATGTTCCTTATGTATGGATCGTTTAGAATGTCCTGAATTGATAGCTAGAATAAAACGAAGTCATTTTAGATGATCTATGAATTTTCAAACTCTAATTCTTACAAGCAATTCCCCGTCATATCCATCAGGAATTTGTGGAAACTGTAATGTTGTCAACAGCATATGTGGAATGTCTTCCTCATTAAGAATATATAAAGCAGATGACTTTGTGACAGTCAAATTCAAGTGACCAGTTCCAAGTCTCAAGCTTAATGTCATGTCTAGCCATTTCTTTGAGTTCTTTGTCACTGCCTGTATTGAGTTAAGTAGATAGCATGTGCCTAATGTAGTTCTAACAGGCTGAAAAAACTCACAACATGGAAAACTAATTTCATTCCATGCACAGCTTACAAACAGTGAAGTGCAATTAGCTCGCACGCGATCAGCATACTTTTGATAATTTTTCATAGGACACTGCAATGTATCCTCTTTGCCTATATATTCCTTACAATATGAACCCATACTTCCGAAATTATAGAGATTATGAAAAATTACTCGCATAAGGAAATCCTCAATGTCATAATTATAGTCGTTTTCCTTTTCATCTTGTGATAAGTTTGGATCCATCATATCGTAGATTAATTTCTCTAAATCATGATATTCCTCCTTTGTATATCCCATTTCACAAATGCCAGCTGATGGAAATTGAAGAGTATCGATAGGCAGTAAACTTACAACGCCCATACTGACGGAGTTATTAACATATGAATCCATATAATCCACAATTAAATAAGCTGATCCAATCCATGATAAAATCACACAAGCAAGCCAAAATAATCGTTCAGTAAAATGATAGCTATTGTCGGCTATATAACTTAAGCCTGCTAAACTGCTGTATTGGCAATATTCCTTTAATACCCCACCAAGATAGGAAATGATCCTCATTGTTTCACTTTCTATCTTATAATAAAAGATATTAAAAGTTTTTTAAGTGGAGAAAATATGAAATTTTAATTCAATTTTATTGCATTTCTATGTTTATGCTTTAATTCATAACAATTAAAATCTATCAACAGCTGAAATTTGTTGCAAAACAGCGAACTGTTCCATCGTCACGCATCGGTCGCGCGGCATCATTTGGTTCATTATTTGCTGGTCTTAGTATCGGAACTGTTGGAGAATTGACAAAAGGTGCTTTAGGTTTAGGTGGCTCAACAAGTGTGAAAGAAGCTTTCCTAAGTCCACAAAATGCTGAGAGAATTGTCGATACACTGTGTAAAGTTCGTGGAGCTGCCTTAAAATTAGGACAAATTTTGAGTATTCAAGATACGAATGTAGTCTCGCCACAATTAATTCAAGCTTTTGATCGTGTTAGACAAGCAGGTAAATGCTCTAAAACCTCACAAATGTTCATGAATTCAATAACAATTGTATGGTTTTTAAATTTTGAATTTAAAGATCCGTTAAATTTTGACACAATATCTAAACTCCGTTTAAAACTTATTCAATCTTATTCAGCCGATTACATGCCAAATTTTCAAGTAGAGAAAGTGATGAAGGAAGAGTTGGGCAGTGAATGGAGATCTAAATATGCAAGCTTTGAAGATAAGCCATTCGCAGCTGCTTCAATCGGACAAGTGAGTTAATTAATGTTATAACAAAGCAACAATAAGTTATTTAATCCAATTATCAGGTTCATAAAGGCATATTACATGATGGAACAATAGTAGCTGTTAAAATTCAATATCCAGGTGTAGCACGAAGTATCGAAAGTGATATAGATAATCTCGTCTCGATGCTCAAAGTATGGAATCTTTTTCCACCAGGAATGTTCATTGACAATGTCGTTAAGGTTGCAAAAAGAGAATTGGCATGGGAGGTTGATTACTTACGTGAAGCTGAATTCACGACAAACTTTGGTGAAATGATCAAACGCTATACACAATTTAAAGTGCCTAAAGTCATCAATGATTTGACAACTGCTCGTGTAATAACAACTGAATTTGTGCCTGGAGTTCCGATGGACTCGTGCTTTAATTTGAGGTAATTAAGCTACTTATTTAACCTGGTAATGTCGATAATAACCGAGCTTTTAACTTACAGCGAAGAGCATAAAAATCACATAGCAAGAATGGTCATGCAGTTGTGCCTCCTTGAACTCTTTGACGTCAGATGCATGCAGACTGATCCGAATTGGTCGAATTTCCTTTATGATGAATCTTCAAGACGCTTAATGCTGATTGATTTTGGAGCTACTCGTTTCTATACCAAAAATTTCATTGATAATTACTTAAAAGTCATCATAGCTGCAACTAAAAATGACCGTAAAGAAGTTCAAAGATTAAGTGTCGAAATGGGATTCTTGACAGGTCACGAAACTAAAGTTATGGAAGATGCACATATTGATGCTGTCATGATTCTCGGCGAAGTTTTTAGTGTCGAAGGAGAATTCGATTTTGGAAAGCAACAAACAACAAAGAAAATAGCTAGTCTAGTTCCAGTAATGGTCGCTCATAGACTATGTCCACCACCTGAAGAAATTTATTCATTGCATAGGAAGTTGTCAGGTGTATTTTTATTGTGCTATAAGCTTAACGCTAAATTCGCATGTAGACCAATGTTTGATGAAATTGTTAAGAATTACAAGTTTGATGATTAAAGGAACTGATTTTTAGGTAATTGAATTTTATTTTTTTAATCAGCATAGATGAGATAATTCATATAAGCAAGTGTGGATTTTTGAAGCTGCTTCACATCGGTCTGTGTCTGTAATATTTCCACATCTTTCAAACATTTGATCAGCTATATCCAGGGCCTTTGTTTCATTGTTTGTCTGCTCTATAAGGTTCTTTTTCAGTCCATCGTATGATAATTGATTGTCTACCATCTAGTAAAAGTTATTTTCTTCCTTAATTAACCCATTAAATCCAACAAAAACTTCATACGTACAGCACCAAACCTTTCAGACAAGCAAGCTGCTACACATTTTTCTGACCTCGTTTCTGGCAAAACGCCACTGAATATTGTCTCCAAATCTTTAATTGTTGCACTTTCTGATGTTATGCAGCTGTCAAATATTGCTTTATACTTGATTTCATTTGCTAAAATTAGGACAGCAAAGAATATTGGAAGAATTAAAATAGAATTTACTGTGGACATCGTTTATTTGCTAATGGAGTGAAGATTGTATTTCATGAATATTTATTAATAGCTAAGAATCGTGATATAGCTATAAAAATTTAAATACTCAATTTTGTGCGGTAGCTTAAAAAAAATAACGGTTGAAAAATATTCAAAGGTGTTTCTAGTAAAATAAAATCTATGAATGTATTGGTGAAGTAAACATTCAAATCTTAAAAATATAAAGCAACATTAAATTAATTAATTCAAGCATAAGGAGCAGCAGTTTAATGTAAATAATCATGACTACAAGGAAAGTCTCGTATGCTTTCGGTGGTGAAGTTGGAAATTTTCATTATGGGTGAGTCAATAATGCACAGAACTCGAAACTATGTTAAATTTATGTTGGCATTAATGTTTTTAGACCCGGTCACCCAATGAAGCCTCATCGTCTATCAGTTATACATCATTTAGTAATGAATTATGGACTACACAAGAAAATGCAGATATTCCGACCATATAAGTAAGTTTTTATTCATTATTCTGGATGTTTTGTAGCATTCACTGGATCTTTTCATTTTAGAGCAACAACACAGGATATGTGTCGATTTCATGATTCTGACTACATAGATTTTCTTCAAAAGACATTACCAGGCTCGGTTTCATTACAGGATCATAAACAGTTTAATTTAGGAGACGATTGTCCGATTTTTGATGGATTATTTGAATTTTGTTCGATGTATACAGGCGCAAGTCTTGAAGGAGCACAAAAATTGAACCATAATCAAAGTGATATATGCATTAATTGGAGTGGTGGACTTCATCATGCAAAGAAATATGAACCGTCTGGATTTTGTTATGTTAATGACATTGTAATATCAATTTTGGAACTTTTAAAGTATCATCCAAGAGTGCTATATGTAGACATAGATGTTCATCATGGTGATGGCGTTCAAGAAGCATTTTATTTGACTGATCGTGTTATGACTGTTAGTTTCCATAAATATGGTGACAAATTCTTCCCAGGAACTGGATCAATGTATGAGATTGGTGCTGAAAGTGGACGTTATTATTCAGTAAATGTACCATTCAAAGAAGGCATCGACGATCAAAGCTATTTTCAAGTGTTTAAACCTGTAATATCATCAGTTATGGAATTTTATAGACCAACAGTGATTGTTCTCCAATGTGGTGCTGATTCATTAGCTGGCGATCGACTAGGTTGTTTCTCGCTGTCCACAAAAGGACATGGCGAATGTGTCAAGTTTGTTAAGGAACTTAATGTGCCGACTTTAATTTTAGGAGGTGAGTTTTTCATCATTTAAAGTTATTTTTTTGATATAATGGCTGATTTGATTATTTCAGGTGGCGGATATACTTTAAGAAATGTAGCGAGATGTTGGACATATGAGACTTCACTGTGTGTGGATGAACAAATTTCAAATGAGCTTCCGATGAACCTATATATCGAATTCTTTAAGCCTGATTTTGTGCTGCATCCAGACATCGAGCATGTAAATTGATTTTAATATTTGACATACATAAATTTTTGTCTATAATCCAAAACTGAACACTTCTAGGGCCGCAAAATAGAAAATGCCAATTCAAAGCAGTATTTAGATGCGATAATCAAACACACATATGACATTCTAAAAATGTGCCAGCACAGTCCAGCTGTACAAATGTTTGATATTCCTGCAGATGCATTGCCTGACGAAAAAGATAGAATTGAGGAACCAGATCCTGACGTTCGAATGAGTCAACGCGACTATGACAATCTTATTGAGAAAAATAATGAATTTTATGACGACGAGAATGATAATGATAATAAGAACGGAAGTGATCTGTAATTGACTTTTTAGCACTTAAAATATGATTTTTAATAAAGTTCAAATTTATTTAAATTAATTAAGCTTCTGTTCCATTATTTTGATTACTGTTAGATTTAATTAAGGAAATCTAAGCCACGTTTGCTAGTCTCGGTCTTTAAGCACTGAAAGATTTTGTCAGCAGCTTCACATCTGTCGGCGTCTGTTGTTTCAGCACAAGCACTAAGAGATTCTTCTAATTTCTGTTTCTTGTCTTCGTCCTTTCCCATCATTTTTGAAATTTTCTTAATTGCACCGTCGGTTGCTAGCTTGTTGTCTTTGAGCTGGAATTGGTAAAGGGTGTTTAAAGAGTTTAATGAGTGCCTTTAAAGTCAGAAAAGTAAATTTGTTTATGATCTAAAGATTAAGTCCTGAAATAAATCCAGAGTCTAATCCAACGGATTTAAATTAATCTCCGATTTAATTTAACTGACTTAAATTAATCCCAGCCTAAATCCTAGAATTAGATTCAATTCATCTGGAAAGAAAAATCTCAAAGTTAGAGCAAACTCTATTCTTACCATTCCAAACTGTTCTCCCAAGCATGCAGCCATACATTTTCCTTCCTTTGTTTGTATAGGTTCGCCCTTTGACATCTTATCGACATCATCGTCCGAAGCATTTTCCTGTTTTTTGCACTTTCCAGCTATAGCTTTCATCATGCCACCTTTCTTTTCGCCTGCATAGGCATAATTTAATGCAATTAAAATTGTGACTGAAACAATTAATAACTTCATAATTCCTTGATTTATTATAAACTGTACAATATACCGAATTGAATGACTTGCTGTTCATTGGAAGTTGTGAGCTTTTATACAATTTTTGAAGATCCCTAATCAAGCTGACTATCTTCATGGAAATTATCGATTTTAATCTAGCTTGTGACACGGAACATTAAAATTAGTATTTAAGTTACACTTAATTTTTTACGGGTGCTGTACTTTGATACTTTTATTATTGTTCATTTATACCCAACAAAAAGCTTTTGTTATCTAAAATTAATCACGTCATTTAACTACAATAAACCCTTTTTTTATGCTTGTGTTATTTACAACTATAGAAATTCCATCGTCAGTTCCGATTTTATCAGCAGCAGCTTTATTTGATTATTGTTTATGACTTGAAACCGCGCTCTTTGCCTTCCTTTTCTAAGCATTTAGCTACTTTAACACCAAATTCGCATCTGTCTGGATCAGATTCTTTTGTGCATGCTTCAGCCATTGGTTCTGCTTGAGCTTTTTTGGCCTCATCGTCTCCAGCAACCATTTCGATAAGAGCCTGTACATTTTCTTTCTGATATTTCCCATCCTTGACTACTCCAAATTGTTCTAGATTGGAGTTATTGATTTATTTAATTAATTATATTAAGTGAAAGCTGAATAAGATTTGATAATTACCTTGCATGCATGCCACTAAGCACTTCCTGATTTATGGAAATAAAAATGTAATTGGTTAGTGCTTTTCCTTTAATCGACTTTTTATGTACTTTTATGTGGTACGAATAGAATGTAAATTCTTTTGTTTTACAAGCATGAACATAAAGTTTTGTAGTGCCTACTATCGAATGGACCATGGGTTAGAAAAATGTGATCTTGATCCTTATTTTACCCGGTAAATTCAATCTACCCGAATAGTTTGATGATAATATTTAAAGGGTGTTAAAGCATATGATCATATCCTGTACTCAAAATTTGGTCATATCAAGTCAAATTTCTTTGAAACTTTTATATTGTTTAAGAATTTTGTGTCAGTGTTAGTGGTCCTTAAAGATCCAGGATTATAAAATCAAGTCTGATTTCCACACAAAACTTGTCATTAATATTTCCAAAATAATCAACTGCTGTTAAAAACCTTCAAATCCCCTCAAAACTGAAAATTTACCCTTCTTTTGAGTCTGGATACTCCTCATCAGCCATTTTATTCACATCAGCGTCACTAGCTCCTTCAGTCTTTTTACAGTCTTCGGCGAACGATTTAAGCATCTCCTTATTCTCGTCTGACATGGCATTAACAGCCCATAAGCCAGCAAATCCAATGAAAAGGAATGGAAGGAACTTCATTGTAAATTTAGTGTGTTAAACCTTCTTTTAAAGGATCAGTCAGATTCCTTAATGTTCTTTTGATTCTTTCCTATTTACTAATAAAACAGAACTGATGCTACTGCGGGAATTTGAGTGCTATTTAAATAGCACATCATTAGCACTTGAGAATTGACATTTTGAGACTTTAATTGGTCATCATGTAATTTCTATCGAGATTTGATCACTTTGATGGATCAGTATTAATATTCGCTAGTTACGGAAGTGCTGGGAAGTTTGTTGAATTGAAATTTAACTGTCTAGACAACGAGAAAGTCCCGAAACTTTCAAATTGATCTTTCGTCCCAATCAGCATGTGAAAATTTTAAAAAAGCCACTATAATTATTAAATTAACAGCTATGTTGACGATCTCATTAAAAATATTAAAAGCCCGTCGATTTTTATCGGATTAATTTTATTTCACACAAACAATGAAGTTTAAAGCCTTGACATTGGAACAAATTGTAAATAAGATTGTCACATGCTGCATAATGCATCTCCTGACCTTCCTATATCATTTTAGGGAAGAGATCTCGATCCTTTAATTCTGCTTCGATACATTTATCAAATGCAACAGCTTGCTCACATCTTGAACCTGTTACACTGCCACATTTTGTTGCTATCTCTTCAGCTGCTTTCATATAAGCTTGATCGTCATCAACAATTTGTTGAGTTATTACAATAAATATGTCACGGTCAAAAACTCCATCTGTGAACTAAAAAGAGGTATTGTTTTGGAAGAACATTGTCAATTAAAGATGCACGGAACGAAGCTGTTATTTTAAAACAATCATAAAGCTTTTAATTTACAGAATTTTTAATGCCTTTGAAATAACATTTGTACGGTTCAACTTTCAAAACATTTATAAAGTTTTAGATTTGATTTGAAAACAATTGTATGGTTTTCGCTCCATTTTATGAAACATTTGTATAGTTTCGAAATTTGAAAATATTAAACCCGTTAAATTTCTAAAACCATATAAATGTTTTAAAATCTGAATTTACAGAAACTCAATTGTTGTCAAATTATACTCACAAATCCCATCTTCTCGTGTATGCAAGCTATCATACAAAGCCCAGCAGCACTTTCAGGGTACTTTAATTCCATCATAGCCACAACATCAGCGTCAGTTCCTCCTTCTTGTGTCTTGCAATAATTTAATATGAATGTTGCCATTTCTTTTGCTTTTTCTTTGTCAATTCCTCCAGCATGAACGCAAATGACCAATGTGGCTACTAAAATTGTGCTGAAATATTTCATATTTAAGTTTTAACTTGTTGGAACTGAATTCAGACTGATAGAATTAGCAGCATTTAGGTCTTCTTAAATAGTAAAAATCAGCAACAATGTGAAAGATGACAACTCACTTTTATTAATTATTATAATCAAATAGCTATCATACTGTCGATATGCAGATCCTATTATTATTCCTATGCATCGTTGATCAAACTACTTATTTGCTTCGTATTCTACATTTTGTTTATAAAGGCTTTAAACTGAAAGTTTTCGTTTATTTTTGTAGTCAGTGCTGCTTATTTGTTAAGTAAATCATCAAAAGTCATGAATCTTAAAAATTTTGTGAAAAATATATACAAATTTTCAACGGTTTTTCGGGATTTAAATCATTTTGAATAGTGAACATTTTATGTGTAAAAGAAACAACCACGTCATGCCTACGAATATCATAATTTACATCTATTTTGTGATATAAGCACGAAATGACTCATTTTCATTGAAAATCTGAAACTACAAAAAATTAAAAAGCTTTTATTTTTTTTTTCTTTAATTTTTAACATTTATTTATAATGCACTTTAATGTGTGACAGAACTGCATGTTAAGGCAAATACAATCATCGACAAAATATATAATTTAATTTTGAAATTTCCAAAAAAAGAAAACTTTTAATTTAATACTCAATGCCGCGCTTCGTAAAAGCTCATGCTATATATTATGCTTAATATATGTAAATGTATTTTTTTATTCTCCAAGAAGGGCAATCATTACTCTTTCATAGTCACTTGACAATTCATCCTGTAATTTATGAGATGGAATATATTACTTAGATATTAATATGCTTAATGCTTTCAATTGTTGATTGTTGAAGGAAATTGAAAAAGTTTAATTGAAAATTTAAGGTCAAAAAATATTCGAATATTTAACGGTTTTCAAAATTTATGAATTGAATTAAATTTCAAAAACGTGTTAAAAAATTCAAATTTTTTTCAACAGTACTTTTAAACGAAATCCTTTCAATTCCTTCAAAATCACCTTGTGACACTTAAACTATTTCATAACTTTATTGCCCAAAAAAACGTTCGAAAAATGTGCTTCAAAAAATACACAATGAGATTACATTAATTAACAATTGCTAAATGCAAGATAAAACTTTATGTAAAAATTTAAAATTTTCTTCTTTTTTCCAAAACATTATTTGTGCATTTAAAATTAATGGGAATATAAATTAATTCAATAAAACATCATAATTAATACTTGTAAGTTATACAAAAAATAGAGAAAAGAAAAAACAGATTTTTAGCATTTTATGTTTTTTGATTATTGCTGCTTAGTATTCAATAAGCTCAGCCAGCAAATCTCCTAAGTCACCACCAAGATCATCCTTCAATAAGTAAAATTTTGAGGATTAAGAATGAAAAAAGACATGAGAAAAAAATAATCAAAAAAATTTGACAAATTTTGGAAAAAAATGTTTGCGTCGTCAAAATCATAAATTTTTACATAATTTAGATCTATAAACTACTTGATCCAAAAACTCAATTCAAAAAGCATTTAAATGCATGCCAAACTTTATCTCAAAAAAATTAAATAGAAATAAATTAATAATTCAAAAAAAAAACTTTATGAAAAATGTCAATAAAACACGGATAAGGATTAGGGAGTAAGGCAGGAAGCTGCTAGATACAGATGGAAGTTTGTTGCCTTTAGTATGCAACGAGAGTGTACAATAAATATCCAATTTCAGTGTTAAGTTCATCCTGCGGAAAAATTAGGACATTTATTTATAATCAAAAAAGTTTCTATAGGAAAAATTTTCTTATTTATTATGTTAAGGTTTACATTGGTTCAAGGATGGATGTGAAATTTTTTTGTGAAAATGCGTGAATTGAAAGTGCTTTGTAAAAGATACTGTGGGAATTTGTGGTAATGAAAAGCTATCAGACAAATTTAACTGTCGTTTGATATTTAAAAATTAATTGTCATTAAAGATTTAAAATTTCATGGAATATTCCAGTCGTTTTCTGGAAGCAATACGTTGGAAACTGGAAAATTAAAGTAACAACTTGATAGGAATATTCCAATAGTTATTCGTTCCAACAGTTCGATGAACTCAAAAAAAAATTAAAATAGATTTATAGTCAGATTTTAAATACAGCATGACCTGAAACTCAAACATTTTCACATGAAATTCACCATGAACTTGGTAAACCTTAATTTCATATTATTTATTAATCAAAAGAATCGTAGAGCAAGCATTGTTCATGCAGTTTTGAGATAGTTTTTGAATCCTACGTGATTATTGGTGTTAATTGTCAATGCTCACATCGAGATAAATAGACTACAAGGTGTGTATGATAATAATTTTTTTTTTAGTGTGCTAGCAATTAGTGTAGATAAACAAATTAGTGACAGAAAAGAAGAAACCCCCATCCAACGTACACAAGATGTATAACATGTTAATAACATTTAACGGAAAATTATTTCAAAACTCTTTTGTGTGTGCTTATCACAGCGTCGACAGAATGCAGGTGTAACGAAAAAGCACAATTTCTCTGCTCCACATGATCATCATTGTATGCTGTAAACACTCACAGTCGCTACTCTTTACGTCTCTCTCAAGCAAACAAAATAAATTTCAGATTTTTTTGCCGGTTTTTTTTTATTTTTTATTTTTTCTTTATTTTAAACTTTCTGTTCATGATTTTGTATGTCTGTGTTCTACCAAGAATATCATCATATAATAATGCCAAAAATAGAATGTGAAATGAGACAAATCAACAATGAATTTTGGGTTTGTGTTGAAAAAGCCAAATTTAAAATAAAATAAAATTAAAAAACTTCACAAATACTTATTCATCTTTTAAAGCATGTGTACATCATTATTATATCTATTATTCGAAACAAAATGATTGAAAACATATTAATTATGATATAATGGAAGAATTTTCACTTGTTTGTCCATAAATTTGCATGTGTTGCGCAGTTTTGTGTATTTTTCGTGTGTAAATTACTTAAAAATACTAATATATCTAAAGTAATAGAACATTCATGCGAGATTGGTGCTTCAACTTAGACGCCGATTATGGCTAAAAGACATTTTTTATAATCTCCGCTGGTGTCTCCCTGTTTAATGAATAAATATCATTAAGTTAAGTGTTTTTTTTTTTGTTGTTTTTGTTGCTGTAGTTTATGTATAATCAATGCGACTACATTTGCAAATTTTAATCACATGAAGCTTTTTTTAATCGAGCGTGAGGAATGAAATGAGGCAATTGCAATAAAGCCATCGAAAATGAATGATTTAAGTGCATTTTTTGAGGTTCCTTATCAGGTTATTTACTTTGAATTCTACTGAAAATATGCTAATAAATTTAATCAGGAGTGAAGCTAGGGTAGGACTCTGGGATCAATATCAATTTGTTGAACTGAATTAGAATTTATAGAATTTTTAACGATTTTTTCGGAGTTGTTAAAAATCACTCAAGAGACAATTAAGCTTGATTTTCGGAATGAATGACTAAATATGAAATTAATTAAGGAATTTAGCATAATATCACAGTTAGTCTACTAGCGTAGAGCAATATCATTCAGATGGAAAAACCACAACTCGAAAAATTCACAATTAATTCTTTTTTTTTATCAAAATATGACTCAATCTACAACTAATTGAAATAGTGGAGAATCGCTCAATTCAAGCATGTCTGAAATATTTCAAGAAAACTCGTTCCAATAAAATGTTTAAAAGTTTTGCTGGAATAATGGAATATTCCAATCACAGAATATCAAATATTGGAATTCTTCAGTGGATTCTGAAATTTTCATTGGAATACTGGAATGTTTCCCGTCCCAACTTTTCAATGCCATTCAAAATCCCGTAATAAACTCAAATTAATGCATTTTCGACTAAAATTTGCAACGAGATCCTCATGACTCGAGATCATGTACAATACATATAAAACAAGCGCTAAATAATACTACAAACTTTAACAGAAATTAGCCAAATACATAAAATTCACAAAAGAAACAAAAAAAGATGAAAAAATCTTTGGAATATGTAAATAATATAAATCTACTACAATACAGGCACACTACTAATTTTATCTTCTAAGTTTATGACTTCATCCATCAAGGTTGAATGTCATACACAAAAAGAGTATTGTGGAAGCAACTTTGAAGTCAAAAATCATGATTATGTCGTGAATGTAAAGGAGCTTTAGCTATTATGTTTGTTAATTAAATATACATCAAGTAATGACAATAAAGTAGAGAATGTTAGAACTGAGAAGTAACTGTAATCTGTCCCAATTTTTTACAGTATTTTTCTGACAGCAAGCATTTTTTTCGGGGGTTATTTAAAGTTATAAAAGTCATGTTATGAAAGAAAACAAAAATCAAATAATTTACCTTGACCCACGATTCCAAACTCTTGCCGTACTTAGCTTCAAAAGCTTCTTTGATGTCACCAAGATCTATTTCACTTCTTGAAACAATAATACGGATGAGAGTCTTGTCAGTAGTTCCCAAACCAGCCATTGAGTCGTGAAGCTTCTCAGCGAAGAAATCAACTTTAGATTTCACAACCTTGGCTATAAGAAAAGATTAAATTAACGAGGAAATAGGTGTAAAACAATTTATGGATGATGTCACTCTATGCCACATACCAATAGCGAGAAAACCCTTCTCAGCATTTCCAGTGAATTCACGTTTAATGGCTGTTTCAATATCATTTCCAGACATTGCCTCATATTCCAAGAAAATTTGTCTCAATTGTTGGTATGATCGTGTGACGAGAATTGAGTTAAAGACACTCTCATCCGTTCCCCATTGACCTGTTTTATGGAATGTAACGTAATAAAAAAAATATCAAGTTAATAAAATCATAAGCATCATTTACCTTCACCGGCATCGAAAAGTGCTTGGGCATCGGCTACTGCAGCACCTTGATCAACGCCATTATTCTCATCGCGATTGCCTTGAACCAATGAAACGCATAAGCGCTTGAAGAAACCTATTGAATTATTAATAACATAAATAAAAATTAATTAATGCAATTTTTTGAATGCTTCATTTAACAGTACCTGATGTATCGCCTTTAATATCCGATTCCAATGTATTGCCGTATAGCTGTTCATAAAATTCAGCAATTGTACGAATTCCATAATTTGACAATGTGCAAAGAATTTCAATAATTGCATCTTCGTCAGTTCCAATACCGCTAATTGCATCATGCAATTCTTTAGCATAATATTGTGGAAGTGGTGTCATCAAAGCGAGAATAACATCTTCAAACTTTCCACCCAATTCCGATTTCAAATCAGAAATAAGATCTTTGCCGAAATTGGTCTTAAATGCTGAGGCAATTTCGAGTCTTTGAACGATTCCGCGACGTGCAAGAACTTCAATAATAGCCTAATCAAAAAGTATATAAACATTTTTTTTTATTGCGAGATAAGATTAAAAAGATGATGTAAACAAACCTTTTCGTCAGTTCCGAAACCCTTCATGGCCTTTCGCAAGACAGCGGCATCTTCATTTGGATCGAATGGATCGGCTGGATAGACAGTTGGTTTACACTGCAAAGAGAATTAGATAATGTTAATATATTTACATAAAATGACATCACTAGCTTGCATGCGTGACACATGTTTTAGGAAAAATCGATATTAAGTTTATTGCTTTGGATCTGCCCACGATAAACTTTTTTTTGACTTTTTCCTACTTGTCAAGGACATTTTTCCATTCTTCCTTTTTTTGTGGATGGAAATACGATTTTCCCTTTCAAAAAATGCCTATTTTTGTTGATTAATTATTATGAATTCTGATAACTTTTGTATTTACCGTTCTCTTACTCATCGCTGTTAATAGCTTTTTGGCCTTTCAGAGTCTTTAAATGTTAGAAGAATGAATGGTAAAAATAAAATTCTTGTTGATTGAATCACGCCCAATCCAAAAATGCTATACAAGTATTTTGGCTTATTATTCCTCTGATCGCTAACTTAGAAATGGCAGTACGATGAATGAATGAAACCCGTCCGTAAGCTTTTAGCACCAAAGAATGAATAAAATAATTTTTTAATACAAACGCGAATATAATGGAAGTCTCCCGCAACTCGAATATATATTTTTTTTTTCGCTATAAAGCTTTACTTGCTATGGTGGTGGCAATATTATTGTTACTATATGTAAAGCACACAACTATGATCTGTGAGTAAGTACTGACTTATACCGGCATACTAGAATAACAATCCATACAAGTCTTACTGGCGCTCTAATACTCAGTTAGATTAATGCGTAATTTTTAGCGCTTTTTACATTGGAAATGTATCAGATTCTGGTATTACTGTTAAAAATAATGCATTTTGTTACGTTTGCAAGCTCAAAATTAGGATAAAGAAATTTTGAGTGTTCTAAAACCGTACAAATGTTTTAACATTTCAAAGTAATTGAAGGGTTTTTAAATATAATAGGTCGTTAAAGTTTTCAAATTGTATGGTTCCAAAAAATTGTTAATTTTTGAATTTTTTAAACACGTTACAGGGTTCAAATTTATTTTATAGCAGTTAAAAATGATCGAATTTCAGAAAGAATCTACTGTAACCAACGAATACCATCAAAGACATACAGAATCATGTAAAAATCGCTTTCTCATGCAACCAAACAAGATAAGCTTTCTCACTTGATTTCTTCTTCAATTTCATAGTAAACACAACAACACGCGCAGAATTCTTTTCCGTGTCTAAACACATCCACAATAACATGATTTGTTCCAGTTATTACTTAAATCTCTGACTGACATAATAGAGGAACCTCATAATTACTATAGAATCTATTGTTGTATCGCTATTGCGTGTTATTTTTGTCAAAATAATTTCTTCATCCTTTAATGATTTTTCCTCACTTGAATTACTATTGTGTCAAAAAAGTATAGTAAACTAAAAACATTGAGTATATCAAAAATAAACAAGAGAGAGGGCAATAAAAAGAAGTTTCAAGTCCTATACACATGAAAATTGTAGATTTTACATCAAGTTAAAAATAAAACATATTTAAAATATTTATTTTTCATGCAAGACAAACTTAACATTGAAGGATAAACAAATCATCATGAAACTTCCATCTCTTTCTATCATAAATATTTAATAGTTCATCAAAATGCTTGATCAGATCACGGGAGTTAAAAAATTACATCATTGTTATTATTTCGTTCTCATTTATGACTCGTTTCTTCTCGCGAAAAATATTATTGACCTTGAATGTGTCACGCGAACAGAGATGTACTACGGTTCGGAAGTAATTCTATTGGAGTTATTCATAAATGATGTTTAACATTCAAATCTGGTAAAGGAGTTAAAATTTTAATTTTTTGAAAAATAAAATTTCAAGTTCTGAGAAGCTTTAATAATTTTTCAAAATATACACTGAATAAGTGTCTTGTAGAACACCACATTTACGAACAATCCCACAAAGTAATTCATCACATAGTAATTCCCAATACATTTCAAGTCGATTCATAATTTACCAATGACTTTTAATGACTTCATTTCCACATTATGAGTAACTTTCAAGATTTTCACTGCACAATGAATGAGTCATAGCTATTAATAATATGCACTTATACTCACTTGGAATGGATAGTATGCTGCTGAACTCATTTTTCAATAGTTTTTATAGAACACTTTTGGGATCTGTAAGGAACAAGATGAGATTAGTAAATATCAATATTTAATTTAGAGCTAGCATGAGATGAAAATTTTCCGATTATTTTAAATCAAATTGAAAACTTTAAACAGCCGGCGAGTTTTCAACTAATACAAATGCAAGGCACGAGAGAATTTTGTTGCTATATGCTTGATACACATTCACATTGATTGGGAGAAAATGCCGGTTTGTGGATTTTAACTGCATATTTGTATGTATTCGAGTAAAGTCCAAGAGAGTTTCTTAATGAATTTAAATTAAGGTTCGAGATATTAATGGCTTCAAGAGCTTGCAGACGTAGAATTTTTATGTTCATTTCAAGTTTGTGTGTGCCAATAGACCTAAAATTTCAGATTTTATCAATAGCTATTTTGTCAAAATTTAGACCATTGGCAAACCCTGAGCAGCTGACTTTTTCGCTACTAATTGATCATATTATAAATAGAAACAATTTCAAAATTATATTAATCTACAAAGCAGAACTGCCTGTTGTTTAATATTTATGAAAGATCGCGTCTGTTTGCCTTACAAGCTAGCTATGATGATCTCATGACATACGGAATGTGTCCCTCTGAATTATTAACATCCAAAACACGCCTCAGCTATCATTAAATTACATGTAAACGTTGTGTGTAACATTCTTAAGTATATTTGAGATGCAACTATTATTAATTCTGCGCTGATTCATGTATGACAAGGCTTTCAACTTGATTAGTATGTAGGAATTCACGATGATAAATAAAATTTAAATTTACTTAAAACTATCGTCATAGATGAATCACTAGTTTCTCTTATTTATGACGTTTTATTAAAGCCTATATGCTGATTTGAAAAATGCATTTCGGTGTACAGTTATGAACATGAATCAAGAATTAACTTATACAACTGTAAGTAAGATACACAAAAAAGTTATGGGCGGATGTCTTTCATTATTGATGATTTGGCATTGCAACTGTAGGTGTTTTTCAAGCAATTAACTAATCGTATTATATAATCCAGTAAGCACAAATAAGCCACAGAACTAATCAATAATGCAAGCAAGTCAAGATACAGCAAATTGTTAATAAAATTCCAAGAACACATCAAATTATATGCTTGATGGTAAAATAGATAAAAAATACTTAATAACATCGAATCTTGGACCTTCAAAAGTCTATAAATTAGCACATTTAAGATTTTAATGAATGAAAAACAAAGTAAATTAATTCATGTGGAAATAACATGATATTTTGAGTAAATACGCATGTTTTGAGCATTTGAACTTACAGACTGTATTTAATAGACCTTAAATTGAGCACTTCCTTTGATGTTTCTAGTAAATTCTAGGTGGAACCTTTATTTTTCACTAATTTTAATATTTTCACAAATTGCTTTTTGAATAAGATTCAACCAAATTTGGCATAAAATTCAGAATTTTGAAAACCGTTGAAAGATTCAAATTTTTGAAATCGGTTGAGAATTCAAATATACAAAAATACGTTGGCAATATTGAAGTAGACAACACTTAATTAATGCAATTTAAAAACTGGATTTTATAGAATAAAGATAAACTCTTTTATTCAAATGTATTAGATTCTAATCGATTGACGTTCTCAGAATTTCATGCTATAAAATACGACGAAGAACGAACTGACCATGTGTGCAGAAAATAACATTTTATACATAAAAATGCCGGAATTTTTTTAGTAGCTACGGCGTCATAAGTCTAAGTTTTTGTTGTAATTTTGGAAAGAAAATAAATATGTGAAAAATCAATAGTATAGCGGCTATATAATAATCATATTCGGCTATTTCTCACAACCCTCTAATGACTTGACTTGATAAATCGTTTTCTTCTTCCAAACATTCTTTTAATTCAAGCACATACATTTTCGCAGCTATACATTGTCATTAAGTAAGAAAACGATGAAAAATCTATTGAAAAGTTCAAGGTTAATTAAAATTTTCACATCCCACCCAATTGATGCTGTTCTGCATGACATGCTGAATATTTTATAAAATACGTAAGTTTATTGAACCAAAGCATGAATCACTGGAATGTATAACGCCAACAAAGCAGCATAATTGCATAATTTCTCTCTTATTTTGTTAAACAAAATGATTTGTGCCTATGTGTGCAGGCACAAGATACACAATACATAGATATAAATATAAATATAAATATAATTTTTTTATGGATAAGAAGATCCAATAATCAGCATTTTCTCTCACAAGCCACACACTTTATGTCCATTTCTTATTGTTATCAATGCTTATATCCTCAGGATAATACTTACTTAAAAATTGTACACTGCAAGTTAATTTCACAAACTTTGAATTTCAACGCAAAACGCGACTTAAATCTTCGAGGTTTGAAATAGAACTGAGAGCGTTGAGCACGAAATAAATTGAGAATATAAAGAAAAAAAATAATTCGAAGAAAAAAACTGTACAAAAGGTGTAACTTGTTAGAGTCGTACGATACTCAAAAAAAAAACTTTAAATGTTTAATGCTACTTATTTATCGTCATCTACTGAGATGTAATACAATTTGAACGATCCTTTGAATATTCCAGTAACCAGCCACGATCTGTACATGAATCAAACATTAAAATTAGCATCAACTACTTGATTAATCTCAAAATTACTTACTCATTTTTTGACAATTCAGCTAACATGTTATTTCCCGAATGATTGCCTTCAATGACTCGTCGTGTCTGATTACGTGCATTGAAAACTTCCAGATTTCCGTTCGACAACGGGCAGAAAATGTGCTCCATATTGTTAGTCACTGCTAGACAATTCTTAATTGGCAATGGAAGTCTTATGACAAATTTAAGTGACTTTTCATTTGGATCATCTTCAATTTCGTGGATGAAGATTTCACTGGAAGCATCAAAAGAAATGACGAAATTCTTGTCTAAATGCTGGCCATGCTTTAGCGACTTGACTGCAAATTTATGCGAACTCATTTCCCTAACAATTGGATCTATTACGTTATCATCTGATGCAACAAACTGATTGGTCGAACAATAAAATATTTTCCCATTCAAAAGTCCAATTACAAAATCACTTGACTTATCAATGTTTGTTATTGCTGTTATGTGAGACTCTTTCAGCTTCCTTTGATCTATTTTCATAACTTTATCAATAATACAGTTCTGCTTGTTGACTATTTTGTATGAAACTAGATTGCCATCATTAATAAAGCAGCAAACGAAGGTATTATCAGTCAAAAATGTAATTCCAGCTATAGAATCATCACAGCCTTTAGAGAATATTTCAATAATTTGTTGGTCACTATTGGTTGATGAAGACTTTACATATTCCCAGATATAAAAGTCACCAGAATTTGAAGCACCAGCAAATATATCACGATTTTCAGAATTGACTACAAGATACTCGATCGGTTCCTTTATTGGCATTGACGACACTTCCTTCCAATAAATATTTCCATCAGTCTTACTTCTTTGTGGCTCAAACAGTATTAAGTAAGATGATGATGGTGGTTCATTAGAACTAGATTTTAAAGAACAGGATACGACCAGAACTGGATTATTTTGAAGAATAACAGACAGCCATACTGCATGTCCAATAATCAGTTCCTCATTACTTTCTGGGAAGCTTGATTTGACATCAATATGCTGGAATTCTGATACTTTAGCAAAACTGCTGACGCTTACTTGATTACTGCTATTGTCATGAACTTGTGTAGTTCCTTCAATCAGTTCCTTCTCTAAAGCCGGCATTATTTTTCTCAGCCATGCTGCTAACTTCTTGTCAGTCTCATCATTTGAATTACTCAGCACCACTGGACTTGCTTGTACCTACAATATTAAATTACTTAAACATAATTGTACTTTAATTAAAGTCTTTATATCTTACCCCAATTTCCTTAGTTTGTGTTGAAGTTCCAATACTTTTCTCAGATATTTCAACACTATTTTCTAGTGTTTCTGTGGATGAATCCCTAACATGGACTTGCTTATCTGTGTCCCAAGTACTGTCAAAACCAACTACTTCCGAGCTATGTTCTGTTAAATTGAAATTCATACTTTAATTCTTGTTTTTTTTTTCTGCAATGTTTACAAAACTGTTTCTATGGTGTATCCTATGGATGGAAACTTTTTTGATTATTTAAACTAGTGAATCGGATAGAAACCCATGCGGATTATATTCACACCGTAAAGTCAAAAGTCTTATGGATAGACCAAGATTTGCCAAGCATAAGTATGAAGGTATGAAGCTAGATAAGTCAACGGAGCTTCGCTCAGCATACGTTTTGAGATAAAAGGTAAGAAAGGAAAGTTTTTTGCTTTTTCTGAAGCAACGGCTGTTCCTACCTTGCCCAAAAACAATACAGCTCTTCTATAAAGCAGCACGGATCAAATGTAAAAAACTAGAAGTTTCTACGATATCTCGTTATTGAGATTTCTTGCTGATTAACTTGCTTGCTTGCTTACAGAAAGCGTATTTTGCGATTTTCTCAGCAATGCCACAACCAATTTGAAATCTGTTTATTGAAAATGATGTTAAATTTCAGGCACAAACTTTTCTTCTAGGACCTTATATAACCAATTTTGCTCCGTTTTCTCACAAAATGCGAAAAACTGATTTTTCAATCTGAACAAAACCAATAGATTCACACGTGAAAACGGTGTGAATGTAAAAAATCAATTAAGGTTGTAAAATTGATTAAAACAGTAGTTCTGTTTTCTAAGATATCAACTGTCATTTAAAGTTTGAAATTCATAAGTTTCGAAATTGGTTGTTTTCCCCTTTGACAATTTTAAATTTTAAGTGACAGTTGAAATCAGAGTAGCGTTACTTCAATTCGAAAAACTTCAAAATTTGAGCCGAAAATTTAAATTCTGAAGTATTGTTAAAAATCATGTAAAGAAACAAATTTTTGAAAATTGCAAAATGTGTTTTTTGTAAATTATAGTATAGATTAATATGAACCATTTAATTCTTTAATATTTTTTGTATCGATGCATTAGCTTACAACCGTTAATCAAGCTAGAATAAACGATTTTTTAACGAAAATTTTATTCGTATAAACTGGTGAAAACTTTCACCAACCCACATGCATTTTCTTTGTTTACATTTAATATTTTTGTTGTTGAAATTTATAAATCATAATTTTTGCATGTTTCTACATAATTTTTGTTGAAAAACATTTAATAATTATAATAGATGTTTGATTATAAGTAACTGAACAATTAAATTCTTGATTTTCATTGAAATAAGCGATAGCGGCAAATTTTTTTTTAAATATTTGAAATTTTCTGTAACTGACAAATTTCGAAGTGGCGCTACTCTGGTTGAAATAGTCTCAAAACTTACCTGAATAAGTCTTATTAACCGACAATTAATTAAATTGTAAAGTTTCCAAATCAAAACAAAAACAAATTAATAAGCAAACTTTATATTGAGTTAAACTTTGGTATTTCTTAAAGTCATTCGCTTGAAATCGTTCAGTGTGTAAAGTATTTTCAATTCCGATCACGAGGACATCTATATCTTGTTGAAAACAACATTTTACCATTTCTGTGTGAATTTTTATTTTAAAAAAAAGTTAAATTACCAAGTAAAATCAGTGAAAATGGCTAGTACAGAAACACCGCAGCAAACAGGACAGCCTCATTTGCAGAAACAAGATTTAGCGACTTTGGTAAGTACTTTTTAATTGAAAAATTAAAGAAAATTGTTTTAGCGGAAAAGCTTGGCTTCATTTTTCAATATTAACTACTTTATTTACGTCCTTGAAAGGAAATTTACATTGTTGAGTTTATATTTCAATAGCTTTAGTTTATATCAGGCACAAAAGGCAAGATAATTGATGAAAAATGGAACAAGATTCCACGCATGCAATTTTATGAGAAATTGAGAAATTCAATAACCTCGATTATCATCCAGTTCCTCATATAAAACCATCCACAAAGGAAATTAGTAATAATAGTGATTTTGTTTACTTTTAGGACATAACAAAATTAACACCACAATCTCCAGAAGTCATTTCTCGTCAGGCAACCATCAATATTGGAACAATCGGTCATGTCGCACACGGAAAATCGACTGTAGTTAAGGCAATATCAAGTGTCCATACTGTCAGATTTAAGAATGAATTAGAACGAAATATTACCATCAAATTGGGTGAGTTATAGCTTTATTCCTTTTTGTATTTTTTTTTCATGTTATTATTTCAAAGCATAATTTCTGTTTTATTTATGTTTTAAACACAACTTAATTTATGATTTAAAATTAACTTGATACAAAAAATCCAAAACTCATGATGCAAAAATCTATATAAAAATGCAATAGCTTAATATTAATAACAATAATAATGGTACACTGGGACATAACAAAATAGCAAAAGCAAGCGCTGTGAAAGCAATACAGTTCCATTTTAGGGCAATAGAAAGCAGAAATATGTCTTGAAATAATGATGTTGATGATGATGATAATTTTCTTGACATAATTCTGGATCTGTCAATATCCGCAGATGATTCGGATGATGATGTTGATAAGGAACTTGAGCCAGAAAAAGATTCAGACATCCAAAATACATTAAAAATAAATAATAACGTTAAAAAGACTATGCCAGATGGGATTGAAGCATTCTTCCCGGTAGTTAAGCTAGAGAAAATGACTAAATCTCAAATATATCAATTAACTAAGCACCATGATCATCAAAAGAACTTGAAAACATTTATTAGAGATAAAAGAATTGAAAAACGAGTATCCCAAGACTTTCAAAGACATAAGAGACATCATAAGGACCCTAATGAGTTTCAAAGTAAATTGCAAGCAATCCAGCAATTTTTAGAATATCAATCAGGTTCTAATGAGCACCTTAAGTTGCCTGGATCATTTGAATTTTCTAAACCAAAGAAACGACTTTACTCAGAAGTTATCAGTCGATATTCAATAGATCGAAGTGATACATCAAGTGTTAGTGGAAGTTCCATCAGCAATGAGAATTTGCGTCCACGAAGAAGCCTTTGTTCTCCAAAACGATTTAAATTTGATGCGTTTTCGAATAAAGCTATGAAATCTAGACGTAAATCAACTGATCTTAATGTCTCATATACAGTCGAAAAAATCTGCGGCATTAATGTATGTAATGCTGGGATTTTATTCCTTGTTAAATGGGAAAATTATTCATCTAAAGATAATACTTGGGAACCTATGAAAAACATTCGTGATTGTCAGGAACTAGCAATAGAGTTTGTGAATGCAGAATTAGACAGTTTAGAAGAAAATTATCAAAACGTAATTCAAGATTTGCTTGATGAACAAAAGGATCTTATTGAAGTTTATAAAAGCAAGTTGAAATCTCAAGTTATGGACGAGATTCAGAAACAATTTGATGCCTTTGAGTTTCAATGTTCTAAGTTACTTTACATGTATGTTAAGCATCATAATGGCTTTTATATGAACTTTAGAAAGCGATTTCGCCAACTCATAATTTTGAATCACTTTATTGAGTTAGATAAGCAACAAAAAGCCGCACATGATGTATTAAGAGCTGAAATTATGGATAAAGAGATGAATGAGTTTCCAATTTATATCGAAAATAATGTCGACTTTACTGTTTTCGAGTCATTTGCCTATACACGAGAGAACATACTGCCAAATAATGTCAAGTCAGTTGTTGAGGAACTAAAGACTGGCTGTAAATGTTCTAAAGGATGTGATCGAACATCAAAATGTTGTCCTAAAATTATGAATGGAAATTTTGCTTATAGCGAGTATGTAGACAGCAATCGATTGCGACTGTACAATAGTCAAATGATTTATGAATGCAATGACTTTTGTAGCTGTAATAAGAAGTGCCTTAATCGCTTAACACAACAGCCAAGAAAAATTCCTTATACAATTTTTAAGACAAAAAATGGTCGAGGTTGGGGTCTAAAGGCTGTCAAGTCAATTCTACGTGGTTCCTATATTGTTGAATATACTGGCGAAATCATTGATCAAGAAGAGTCAATTCGCCGTGGCTCAAAGTATGATGAAATTGGAAAATCTTATTTATTTGATTTAGACTTTAATGAGAAAAGTGAAGCTGTTTATACAATTGATGCTGCACATTATGGCAATTTAGCACGTTTAATTAATCACAGTTGTGAACCAAATTGTCGAATTTGGCCAGTTGCTACATGCAATCATGATGCATCAATTTATAGACTGTGCATTTTCTCAACGAGGCGAATTAAGAGTGGAGAAGAACTGACAATCGATTATAGCGGTGGAACAGTTATTAATGACATAGAAAGTAGTAGTGATGATGATGTGAAAACTGAAAATGGAGAGCTTGTTGATGTTGCTCGTGCTGTTAATATTTCACATAAACACAGGACACTAGATGTGTGCAAATGTGGAAGTAAATTCTGCAAAGGAAAAATATTTGCTTGATTACGCTTACAATTAATTCTCAACATTTACGCTTAAAAGTTACATTTTTATACAAATTAGATGTTAAGCTTTTTTTATAGACCATTAAGCCTTTATGGATTTTAATACATCATTAGTTAAGTTTTTAATTATGGATTTTTCTGACTCACATTAAGCACGGAGCTTTATAATAATTCAAATTCTGTGACAAATGTCATGTAAAACCTTATTTTTTGAGACATGTAATTATAGGATGAATCATGAGTTTTGGATTCACGAGCATTTAATACCTTAATAAATAATTAAGAGACATAACATTACAATTCTTAAATTACATTAATTTCACTCGAAACAGGTTATGCTAATGCAAAGATATATAAATGCGATAATCCAAAATGTCCACGTCCAGCTTGCTACACCTCAGGTGGTTCCGGAAAGGACGATAGTTTTCCATGTTATCGTGCTGCCTGTACTGGTCGTTTTCAACTAATTCGTCATGTATCATTCGTTGATTGTCCTGGTCACGACATTCTTATGGCTACCATGTTAAACGGTGCTGCTGTTATGGATGCTGCGTTACTTCTTATTGCTGGTATGTATTAATCCTTTTTAACGAACTTTTTGAAGTAGAATTTTAACGGTTTTCAAACATTTAAATCAAAAACATGTAAATTTCAAAAATAATCCTAACGGCTTTATTACTTTATTTTTAATTACAGGAAACGAGCCATGTCCACAGCCTCAAACGAGCGAGCATTTAGCTGCTATAGAAATCATGAAGTTGAAGCACATTTTAATTCTTCAAAACAAGATCGATTTAGTAAAGGAGAATCAGGCAAAAGAGCAATATGAACAAATTGTAAAGTTCGTTAAAGGAACAGTCGCAGATGGTGCTCCCATTATTCCAATTTCAGCTCAGTTGAAGTACAACATTGAAGTGTTGTGTGAATATATCACGAAAAAGATTCCAATTCCAACACGTAATTTCCTCGATGCACCACGTCTAATTGTTATCAGATCCTTTGATGTAAATAAGCCTGGATGTGAAGTTAATGATTTAAAGGGTGGCGTTGCCGGTGGTTCCATTTTGAGAGGTGTCTTGAAAGTGGGTCAAGAGATTGAAGTTCGTCCAGGTTTAGTGAGTAAAGATTCGGAAGGAAAGCTCACATGTCGACCAATTTTCTCAAAGGTCGTTTCACTTTATGCTGAGCAAAATGAACTGCAATATGCAGTTCCTGGTGGTTTAATCGGTGTTGGTACAAAAATTGAACCAACTTTATGTCGTGCTGATCGTTTAGTCGGTCAGGTTCTTGGTGCTGTTGGTGCTTTGCCTGAAATATTTGTTGAATTGGAAATTTCTTATTATTTATTGAAACGTTTGTTGGGTGTACGAACGGAGGGCGATAAAAAGGCAGCAAAGGTACAGAAATTGTCAAAGGGTGAAATTCTTTTAGTCAACATTGGATCGCTCAGCACAGGAGGTCGTGTTATTGCTACGAAACTTGATTTGGCTAAAATTGCTCTTACATCTCCTGTCTGTACTGAAGTTGGTGAGAAAATTGCATTGAGTAGACGTGTTGAAAAACATTGGCGGTAAGTTATAATCAAAGGTTTTATTTTTAATCCATCAAGCTTAATCCAAGGATTATTTTTTTAACGCATTTAATTTCCTTACAGTTTGATCGGATGGGGACAAATCAGAGCTGGAACTGTGCACGCAATCAACAACAAGTAATAATTCGAACCATAAAGAAAACAATTGACATTAGAAGATGGATTATGAAGGACAATGCCAACAATGTTATAATTCTGAAATATTAAAGTATAATGGAGAATTAAGGAACGGAGTTGTTCACTTATCTAACAATTTGTTTTCATACCACACAAAAAGCACTTTTTATATTACTAATTGCTATGAAATAATGGAAGTTAGATATAATAATAAAATCAAATATCTCAAAAAAAGAAAAACAATGTTGAATTTTTAATTAAATTTATTATTTAAACTTTTCAGTTTTCCATCTTTAAGTTACTACATCGTGTTTTTTTTTTTCTTTTTGAGAATTAATCCCAGCAATTTTTTATTTCGGTTCTTGTATTTCTCTGATTATTGAATTAACGAATAAATTGCATACGAAATTTAATTATTTTGGAATTACTTTAAATTATTGGATGTTGATTAAAAAGGATCGTTTAGACTGCTACGGAAATCAAGTCAGTGTATTTCTTAATTTTGCTGGCAACACTCATATCAACATATTTGTCACCGATTGATACAACCATTCCTCCGATAATTGATGGATCGACCTTGGAAGTTAACTGGATGGTCTCATTTGAAGCAACGAATTTCTAAAATTACAAAATCATCGTTAGTATTAAGACTTATGGACATAATAATTGAGATTTACCTTCAATTGTGCTTCCAATTCTTTACGTTGTGCTCCTTCTAAAGGCTTAGCAGTAATAACTTCACAGACAACTTCACCACGATGAGCAGACATGATTAATTTGTAGGCATTAATGATACTATCCAATTTCTTCAATCGCCCGTTTTCAGCAAGAAGTTCTAAAAGGAATCCAGTTGCTGCGTTAAACTTAATAGTTGATGAAACATCCTTCAATGCAGATGCTTTCAAGCTACGCTTGATTGATGGATCAAGGATGAAATCACGTAATTTTTGATCCTTTTTGTATTGGCCTTGTAAATTTGTCAAGTCCTTTTCAACAGCATCTAATGCCTTGGTCTTTGAGGCAGCAGAAAAAAGTGCACAAGCATATCGACCTTCAATTCCGAAAACTTGAATTGGTGGTTTTACCAATTGCTGAAGAGCTGATGATGAGCTGATGTTACGAGCCTAAAATAGAGTTAATTATGTTAAATTAGCTGGAATGATGTGAATAGATGGGATATCTCTTATGAATTAATTTCGGTTGCATAACATAGAATTGTGTCTATCATAACCACTTTTATTTTTTACACGATTTTCCCCATGATATTCGCTTTAATTTTCTGATTATGATGATTAATGATGTTATTATACTTTAATTAACTTACCAAAACTCCAAGTTTATTAGCACAGGCCATTATTAGCGATATTTTTTCTGCTCTTTTAAGCTGTCCAAATCAATGAAAAAATTCGACGACTAGGGTTTCAATTTCGAGTATTCAATATGCGAGAATTATTTTTTTCGTAACGAAATTTTAATATTTGAAATATTTTTTGACTCAATTTGAATTTAATTCATCCGTTAAATTTGTCTTTTTGAATTTTCCTATAAACATTTCATTTAACTGATGGATTTGCCTCTTATTTTTTTGAATTATGGTAATTCACTGTGTATTTTAAAGGCTACACGTTCATAAAGTCCTTTAAATGCATAAAAATCAAGAAACTTTAAAAGTCAACTCTATTCAAAACTCGGTAATTTCGTTGGAAATGAAAGTTTCACGAAAAGTTGACAACCCTATCGACGAATAAGCGAGTCACAGACATAAGCGACACCACGCGAGCAAAATTGGAATTATTAATTAACAACAAGCTTAACAAGAGCTAGAAATTCTTTAAAAAGTTTCAAATTGTATTTAGGTAAGCACATAGTTTGCATTAAGCATTAAAAGTCACTTATTTAAAGTCAGAAAGGCACGATAATCATAATTTAATCAATGTGCTTTTGTTTATAGTTTGGGAAATTTGTAAAAAAGAAAATTTGAAGAATCATGGCATCAACTGAGCCTGTCAACAAGAAGCAAAAGATTGAAACGGAAGAAACACTTTTAGAGGAAATTGATACATGTCAAAATGAGGTAAAAATTTGAATTTTGTGAACAAAAGATCCAGAACATCCAGTTCAATAAAATATTGCCGTTAAATTACAGATTGATGCATTGAATGAGCAAGCGTCTGAAGAGATTCTTAAGATTGAACAGAAATACAACAAGTTGAGAAAGCCATTCTATGAAAAGCGAGCATTAATTATTGAAAAAGTCGACAAATTCTGGCTTACAACTTTCATTAATCATCCTCGAATCTCTAGGTAAGTTACTATCTTTATAGGTTATTGAATAGCCGGCAAATAACAATAATACATTTCTCATTATAGCATCTTACAAGATCAAGAAGAAGATTGCTTACATTACATGACAAAGTTACATGTTGAGGACTTTGATGACGTCAAAACTGGATATCGTATTTCATTCCATTTCAAGGAAAATAATCCATACTTTGAGAATGACGTATTAACGAAGGAGTTCCATTTGGCTGCTGAAAATCAGTCTGATAATTTCTCGCAAACCTCGACCGCAACACAAATCAAATGGAAAGAAGGCAAAGATTTATTGAAAGAACTTCAGTCTAAACCACAATCCAATAAGAAGCGAGATGTTGATCACAAATCCTTCTTTGAATGGTTCCTTGACACACATGTAAGTCTGTTGCTTCCTTTTTAGCGCATCTTTGAAACTTGTTTATTATTAAGGTAGCTTAGACATCATAGAGACCTCGTAAAAAGACTTAAAACAGTGCTTTTACCTATAATTAATACAATACTTAATCAATTACAGGATCCACCAAACGACGATATTGCCGAGACACTCAAGGACGATATTTTCCCTAATCCATTGCAATGTAAGTCTTGATTCTCATACCTTTGAATGCTTTAATAATTGTTTTATATTATTGTATAGATTTTCTTGTACCAGACATTGGAGTTTACAACGACGACGATGAATCTGGAGCTGATTCAGATATCGAGGAAGGATCTGAACAAGAGATTGACGACGAGGAAGAACTAGAAGACGGAGAATAAAAAGTATCATAAAAATGCCATTCCCTGATGTTTAACATTTTATTAAGTCCTTATATTCTCATACTTACAACCTTTAATGCATCTTCTTACGGACTTTTTTTTACGTTAAACGTTCTAAGCTGAAACATGAATATTTTTTTTTTGATAGAATTGGAAATAAGAAAGTGATTACAATTTTAAAAACCAAACATTGTAACTGGTTTAAGCATAAATTTTCAAATTTTTTTCATAATTCATTTCTCGATCATATAAAATGAAAAAAGAATAAACACTATAAAATTGTTGAAAATACAACAACACGTCACTTGTTCTTAATAATTTTAATTGCGGCATTTAGTTCCCTAAGTACTTAATTCAATAAACACAAAGACCTTCACGAAAATGTGATTGGATTTGCTCTACTTACTTACCTTCTTCCTTCGTTCTTTACATTTAAATATGCATGTTAACTTATGACGTCCAGGGGGGGGGGGGTCAGCTTTCCTTGAAATTCTTGGAAATTCATTGTTCTTTTTTGAAAAATAACTGTTAATTTCAAAATTTGTGAACATTCAAAATGTAGCTGTCATTTTATTTCATTTTTATACATATTAAGCTATCCTATAATATCTTATTCCTTATGTGCTATCTTTACAATAGCAAAATTTTCTCAGTTCTGGATTTTGGTCATAAATGCATGACGCTTGACTTCCATATTTGTTTGTACGCGATATATCGGATATTTTGACTCGAAAGACGTTATTAATAAAGTCATAGAGAACACTAGATTCATAAATTGCAAGACTAGGAAGGGTTATGATATTAATTTGGAACATTTCACTTGTAACTTTGGTATCAGCATTAAAATCAGCTAGAAAGCCGTCAGTATCTTTGTTAGTTTTGAAATTAAGGAGATTCTTTTGAGGAATTAGTTTAGCGGACCAGACAACTTCCTTCAATATCAACGGTTCGCAAATATCACGATAATCACTTGTATACTTATTAATAGCTTCAATGACTGCATTAGCTGCTCGAATTACTTCTTCTGATGTTGTGTCATTAAGTTGACGCCATGATAAACATGAACACCAATGAGGTTCAATAAATGCTTCCCCACAATTTCTATCTCCAATTTTATTAAATAATGAGATGGCTCGTGCATGACTAGATTTTTTATTCCTGCCATAAAGTTGAATTTCTAGGAAATCTGATAAAGTTTCATGAACATCAAATGGAGTTACGAGAGAATTTACATTAGCTTGAAAATTCTTATAATGTGCGCTGTACTTCCTTTTAAAGGATTCTGGGAATATAAAGCTAAAGAATGGAAGTCGTTCCTCTAATTTTCCATTGAGTGAGTTTCTAGTTTCCATAAAGCGATTTCCATGATCAGACATGAATATCAATAAGGTTTTGTTGAGCATTGAGGATGAGTTGAGCTTTTTAAGCCAATTCTCAAGATCATCATCAACCAGACCAATCAAATTGATCGAATCGTGTGACAATTCAGCATGAAAGCTAAACAAAAAGTACGGATTTGTATTGTGATACTTGTGCATGAAATCGTAAGTGTAATCAAACATTACTTGATGCTTTGGACGACTACCAACACAGAATTTCTTATAATTACTCAATTCATATTCTATAGCTACATAATAATTTCTCATGTAATGATCTGTTGGCTGTTCATCAAATCCTTTAAGTCGATATGAAAATGTTCCAATTTTTGGTTGATCCTCATTAAAGGATGTGACATATCCAGCCTTTTGATATTCTTTCCAAATCATTGGATATACGTTGACATAATTCGAGGAAAACTTTCGCTTTCTCGTTTCAGGTAGTTCTAATTCTGTATAGCCTGTTAATAAAGGTATCAGTGCTTGAGGTGTGCCGTCTCCTGTAAATTGAAAGTAACTCAGTTAATTCAGGCATCAAATTGTGGACTATAGTACTTACCAATAATGTTATATCCTTTCAGGACATCAGCCTTAAGTTCATTCGTAAGGTAGTTGTAGGATTTTGGTAATTTCCTGATAAAAGCATTTCTCGACATCGAGTCAAAGCCAAACATGATAACATTGTATCCATCCACAGATTTATGTCTCTTTACTATATCGACATCTTTTCGTATGCCGATTCCTGTACCAAACCATTTAGATCCATCAGCTGCTTTACATTTAATTCTTACAAAATCAGAATTTTGTAGCATATACTTGTTGGTTGAGCGTGTTGTTGATCCATATTGATAGTTACTATCGCCGTTTCTTAATATATCAGTAAATTCACAAGAAATAAAGCCTCCTTTTTGCTGTATAATATGCTTCTTTATATGACAGAAGGAAACATTACAAGCCACCCAGTCCACATCATTTCCACAATCTATCGGTTCTTCGTCTTTCATAAATTTCATCATTTCAGGTGAGTCATAGGGAATTGTCGGTACTTTACACTTTCCCTGGTTCACTTGTGAACGTATCGATTCCTCTATGAGAATGCTTAATGAGCGAAGCAGACATAAAAAAAATATAAACGGTAATAAAGGTGAAATGGATGTAATACAGTAATTAATTCATACGGTTCACAACTAGTCGGTATGTAAGGTACGGGGAGTCATTGGTTTTAATAAATTCATTTTGAACCGACATTTCAGATTTGAACTTTATGTTTTGACAGGATTTTAGGGCAAATCACACTTTATTAAAACCGAGGACCTACCCTTAACCCCCCCCCCCCCCCCTTACAGTACATGAATTAATAATGACACTCACATTTTCTCTTTCGTATCACCAACATCTCTTCCTTGATGTATATATGATACTATTAGGTAAACGCAGATAATAATAACAACAAGTAGAATATTTCGTCGTCTAATTCCTTTCTTAAAAAACATCTTTTTTTTGAGTAATGTTGAACTTTGTTTTATGTTACTTGATTACCGGCTTGATGAGTTATTGTGCATAGAATTAACTACGGAATATAAATGATATTTAATAAATTAACAAAGCTATTCGACGAGTCACATGCTTTAAATATAGATTCGAACAATCAACAAAATGATCTTTTTCGTACCGAAGAACTTTAGAAATTGAGGTGAGAGAAAACGAGCAGCACTTAACGTTTTATTTGCCGAATGTGCTGCATAAAAATCCTCTCTCGGTTGCCTCTCTTTTTCGGGTGTATTAAATTCTTGTTGTTATGAAAAAGTTGTATTGTTCAATGGATCTTTTAATACTTTTACGATATGAATTAGCACTTTATTGAATTTAAAATAATGATTTATAAATAACCTGAATTACTAAATATTCGACAGACTTGAATTATTCATAAATTAAGTTTTTTAAAAGATCCAATAAAGTTTGCAAAAAATTTGCGATCCGCACTTTAATTCCTTAAAATTATAGCACTTTCTACGAATTTATTAACACTACTTTATGCTACTTACAGTCAAATAATCTTTATAATTCAGAATATGTTTAAATAATACTACATTTCGTGATTGTCACCGAGTTATTAAATAAAAATCCTTAATTACTGAGAGAAGCTGCTTCTATCGGAGATGTTTTTTTTCGAACTTCTGTTGCGCATGGCAGATGCCGTGAATTGAGTATAATTCGTTATATGCTTACTCTACACACATGTTACGTTTTATGTTTACAATAATTGCTCGTTGATTCTGATAGTAATGCTTAATAATTCAAATTGTGCCTTAAAGGGCGGATTATTGATGTCTATGGATTGATAAACTATTGTATGTCAATGCTGTACACATGCTGTCAATAATAAATGAACGAATAATAAAGGATTTTCAGTAAAGCAAATATATGGAACTGGATGTTTTGTTATCTTTATTGACTGTAATATTACATGTTTATTATACCTAAATGGATTTTTATGGTAGGGATGGACACACCTTTATGGCAGTTTTTGTGTGTTATTTTTGGCGTGATCAGATACGATTATACATCCAAACTACTCTCAGCATTATCAGCAATTTTCTTTCTTTGTTTTCGCTGACACAACTTCTCATAAATCCATATCCTTAACTGTATACAAGCAGATAGCACAAAGTGAATGAATATTATGAATAGAAGTGTGGAAACAGCAAATAGTAAGGCACTAAAAGTGTTATTCTTCCAGTTAAGCACTCGATAAATGTATGGCTTACTATCTCTATTGACTCCACCGCTGATTATGTACATAAAGTTAAAGAAGCAGTAAACTGTTACAAATAAAGATTGGTGAACAAAGTGGCCATATCGAGGAGGTTGTGCATTTACGAATAGATCTATGAAAAGAACTATTGCATTACCGGCATGCGTTAAAGCGTCATTTACTCCTTTATCTCTGGAATTTATAATAATTTTGTATTATTTTATTGGCTGTAGCAGATAGCTGTTTAAATTTTGGGATTATGAGTTCTAGTCGATAGACAACTTAGGGGCTGTTCACTTATTATGTAAAGCGAAAAAATGACTTCTTAGACCCCCCCCCCCCCCTTGTAACAAAATTTGTATGAAAAAAAAATTTCCTTGTTTGAACCGTAACAAAATCTTAGACCCCCCCCCTCCCCCTTATTGAAAACTTCTTATTAATAACGGTCCAACAAACACTAACACTACCATAGATATTTTAAAATTATTTCGTCTTTAAAATTTCTACAATTAAACATAAATTTACTAAGCACAGGATCATTGCAAACACCGTCTTTTAAAAAGTACTAACTGCTGATAAAGAAAATTCCACAACAATCATGCTTCTTCGTGAATTAATCTCAATTTCAATTTTCAAAACAATTATTTGTAATAGTGTTAGTGTTTGGACAGTCACGTTGTCATTCTACTGCAACATGTGAGTATCAAATTTGAAATAAGTCAGTACAAGTCAGTACCTTCCAGTGTAAATTAATGGCCAGTAAATTAACGATATCGAAACTGCTAAAACGACAGAAAATGATGACAAAATCCATGCAGTCTTTAGTTTTGCAGTCATTGATTTTAGTTCTTCCTCTAATTTTTGGAAGTTCCTATAATATTGAGTGACAATAACTGCTGAGAATCCAGACGACACACCATTGAGTATCACATTCCAATTTGTCAAGAATATTGGATATAGAATTAAATTTTTATCTTTCTTCGCTGTGATAAACGACAGAATCACCACAAAATTGAAATATGCAGCAAGCATCCATCGATAGGTCAAATAATACTTGCTTGGTGCACTTTTGTCTCGTTGCCACTAAAATAAAGTGAAATTGAGTATTATATGTGCAACTTTACATCCACTTACTTGACATGTAATGAACAATTTTGGATCCAAACTTTTCAAACTTAAATTGAGATGCCTCAAATAATTGTTCATTCTTCTCTGTGACACTTGTGTTTTAATAATGAACTATAAGCTTTTGTCAGACTGAATTAAAGTAGAGCACTTAGATAGTAATATAGATTAATTTTACTGTGTCTGGACTTAATATGACAAAAAATATACAGCATGACTTTTTTCACAAAAATACTGAAAGATGATTAAGAATGCAACTTTGTGACTTAATGTATAATATTCTATAAAAGCTAAGTTTTGAATTTATCAATTCAGAATTTGGGGACAAGCTTCAAAATTACAGTCGATTATTTAATTTATTCCATAGCTTACAATTTACAAGATAACATCAGCTAAAATTCATGTGTATATAATACTAAATTGCTTTGATCAGTTCCAATATTCTCTTGATGGGGCTCATCTATTAATGATGTCCATCAAAGATGTCATTTGATCCAATCTACGATAAAGAAACCCTTATCGTCAGTAGTTCTGAGTAATTTTTTCTAATTTAAAGTTCCAGTCTTCTTCAAGTCATCATTAAATTTAACGTTTTTTCGTCATTAATGAACGATATCGACCTCCCTTATCTTAACAAAAGATCACCCTCATACTTGATATGCTACATTATTAATGCCATAATCATTATTATTGGTTCTTTTTGGATGTTCACATAGTTTTTTATGGATCCATATCCTTAAATGAATGCATGCCGTAAGCACACAATGGATGAATATTAAAAATATTAGTGTCAAGAAGGCAAATAGCATTGCACTGGATGTTTCATATTTCCAATTAAGCACTGAATAAATGAAAGGTTCTTCACTTCTGTTGATTCCGCCACAGAATGTATAAATCATGCTGAATATCGCGTAAATCAGTCCAAAAAGTAAGTTTTGAATAAAATGACAGTATCTTGGTGGATGTGCATTGATGAACAGATCAATAAATAGTGAAATTGCATTTACAGCATGCGTCAGCGCATCATTCAATCCTTTGTCTCTAAAATAATAATAATTAATTAATTATTTTATAAAATAAATCAAAAACTCGTGCATAATTACTTCCCAGTGTAGATCAATGGCCAATAAATTAAAGAAAGCGAAACGGCAATAACAGTTGATAACGTTGAGAGCAGCCATGCAGCTTTAAGAGTTGTTGTCATGTAATTTAGGTCATTGTCAAATTTAATGACCTTGAAGAAGTATTGAGTAGCAACGATCGCTAAGAGAAGTGATGACACGCCATTAAGTATCACATTCCAATTTGTTAAAAATATTGGATATAAAATTAAATTTTTATCCTTCTCGGCTGTAATTAGTGACAAAATTACCACAAAATTGAAGTAAATCGCAAATATCCATCGATAAATTAAGTAGTTCCTGCTTGGAATTTTTTTGTCTCGTTGCCACTAAAGTTAAATTATTTTAATTAAGGAACTTGCTTAAAATATCAAAATCTCACCTGACATGTGAGGAATAGTTTTGGATCTGAATGATTGAGGCTGATATTTAATTTTTTAAAATCGATTAACATTTTTAACAATTCTTAATTCGATCGATGCAGAAAGAGACAAAAGAGTGAGAAAAAAGAGAGTTTGCAGATTTATGTAATAAAAATCTTACCTGTTCTCTTTCACTATTATTAAACTACTGACTGTTTAAAGCTAAACAGAAATTTTAAATTTTTCACAACGCGTGATCAGCTGTATTGTGGATGTTATTTATTTTTGAAGCATTTTTTAATTGTATTTAAATAGTCGAATTTAAACACTTTTTTCACCTTCAAATGTTAATTACCCTTAATTTTCAAGATCATCATTTTTAAATAAAACAATCAGTTTTTATTCAAATTGAATTTTTTAAGATAAAGTTTTTAACATTTACAAAATAACGGTGAAATTAAAGTTGAATGAAAAGCTTACAAAAGCAAATATTTGTATGGTTTTGAAACATTCAAAATATTTTCGGCCAGAAAAAGTCGTCAGATCCCTTTTATCGCACACAATATTTATTAAAATGTTATTATTATTAACTTTAGGGATTATATTACTGATTTTATTGCTGGATTTTTATTTTGTCATTCCCAGCTAGAACCCTCAAAAAATAACTGTCACAAAAAATTCAAATATAAGTTTTAGACGATTTCAGTCTTTAAGGGTTTGTGTCTTTTGTGGTAGATATAATTACTATTTTATTTGGGCAAGGGATTTCTATTGGTCTTAGTTTAGTGAATAATCAGTTCTGATCTTAAACTTTAGCTGTTCCTAATTTTAACATAACGGCTGTTTGAAATTCAAATCTTTGTTTTTATTTGTGACTTACTCTCAGTTCATAATGAAATTTCTTTAATCTTTAAAATTAAAAAAAGGTGAATTAAAGCATAAATGGACCAAGATGATTATTGGAATGTGTCACACTCGAAGTCTTTTTGTTTCGATGATTTGGATGAAATTGAGGAACAGACAGATGATAATATATCGGAAATATCAACACAATCATCAATTTCATTAGGAGCTATAATTAATGAAAATGACTTACAAGTGATATTGGATGAGGAGATTCATAATTCAGATTCTGTGATCCCAAAAGGCTTAACACTTGAGGAAGAAGTCAAGTTTCTTAGAAGAAAAATTAATGAATTTTACTTAACTAATCATCCAGAAGCTACAATTAATAAAATATTACTTAACAATGCCTGCTCACTCGAATGTTATAAAAGTCTAATAGAGAAGGAGGAGCTTTTAGATGCAGCCATAAGATCAGGCAATGGAGATGCAATTTTAAAAGTAATATTTCACCTTAAAAATACTCTAAAACCAGCAATATTCTTAAAGATTATAGCATCAAGATTAGAAGCCGTTGAACATTATATTAATTATCTTAAGACTACCATGAAAATAGGAGAAGCAACAGACATTCTTACAATGCTTGATAGACGAGAAGAAGCTGCATTACTTCAATTTAGTGCTATTGTACAGTCAAAGAATGCAATCCAGAAATTAGAAAACCTTAAAAAGACACAAGAGCTTTTCACGAATCCATTTCTCATTAATCAAGTGCAATCATATATTAATCTATTAGAATTACAAATCAATGAACGGATGCATTTTCAACCATCTGATGTGATTGATACAAGTGTACTTGAAACTTTATATGTAGCATGTACAAAGTTCCAAAAGTTCTCAGAGCCAACTCAATCAACGTCCATAACAAATCCCTTTAAGATTGTCGAAAAATTTAATGTAGCACCAGCTCAATTCGAATGGATAGCATTAAATGAACGAGCAAAGTCGCAAGCATGGCGAGATATTGAGTCGTTATTTGAGAAGAAATCAAGCATGTTAAAGAAAAAGACTTTTACCATCCACATTCCATTAGAAATTGTGATACTAAAATTACATCAATTAAGAGCACCACAAGCCGTACTTAATTCATTTTTACATCATGTTGAAGATCCCGACAGACGATTAACATTGGCTAAGAAAGTTGGTGCTATTCACAGCATTGTCGATGCACTGACAATCTTAAAAGATAAAAGATCACTAGAAGAATTTAAGGAATCACTTCCGAGTATGACGGCTGAATATTTTTACACAGAAAAAGCCATAACATCAATAACTAGCGCAAAGTCACTCCTGAACCTCGGAAAAAATTCTAGCTTCACGAACTGATGGACCTTTGAATAATTTAGGGATATATCAAAAGTTAATTTTATTTTGTCAAATTTTATTGGTGACTGTTGAATCTCTTCACAATATATGATTTATGTTTCATCTAAATTCTTAATTTTATTTATTTTGTATTTATAAAATACATTAATTTACTAATAAAATCGATTCTAAGCTTATGGATTGTTAACAATTTGTAACTATGCGTATTATTGGATATATCCTCAACAGTACAAAAAAGTATCACAATCAGAAGACTCATGATCCTCAACTTTGATACATTTATTGCTACTAATAATTGACATCATGGAATCTTTTAATATATGCACGATAGAACTAACCCTGACTATTCATATCCGTTTTTGATTTTTCTCTTTTTATTCAATTTTTTTTAAACAAAAATTCTTTATAAAATTAGTCATATTCTAAAAATATTCTATGGCACTTTTTTTAATCTATTTACAAGTCATTCCTCACTTTCCATGCCGCTATCGTTGTCATTATCACAAAAGCAACCTAAACTCTGACCGACTTTTACTACTTGATTCGATGATAGGCTGAATCTGTTGAATATTGAAGGAATAAATCATAATAAATTAATTAATTATCGACACTGATACTTAATATCTTCTCATACAATAAGTTTTGGAGTTGACTCATTAAGCTTGACATGTTTCTCAATTTGTGTAATAAATTCTTGCTAGTTCTTAGGTTCAGTTATTTTTTAATATATTTTTGAATTTTAACGGTTATGAATTTGTCAAAAAGTTCAACCTGAAGTCAACTTCATATTCAAAATGTCGTTGATTAAAATCAACACCTTCAACATTATTAATTAGTGTGTATAAGAAGATATGAAAAATAAATATTTTATCAACAAATCATCAATCAGATTGTCGTTGATTACGTACCGAAAAGATTTTGGTGCTTCAAAGACTAAAACAATTGTGCTTCCCATATTGAATTGACCTACTAATTCACCTTTATTAAGAAATACATCGTTTCTTAATTTCGCCTCGTCATATTCAGTTTCTCGCATGTTTCCGACTTTCAAGCCTCGCCATTTATTTGTTTTTAAATCTTCGTCTATGAAAACTTGAACGGAACCGACGTTTGTAGCACCTGCGAATGAAAATCAAATTAAAATCACGTGCAATCATGGCAATTACGTCAAGAGAAGTTAGTTCTTGGAAGAAGAAATATTTTTGCACATGCAATTTAAACAACCTTGTAAAATATGTATACCTAAGCATTAAACTTAGTTGCAACTATCACGCTTTTACGAGCACACAAAAATTCACTTTCATTAAGTTTTATTTTTGCGGTATTTGCAAAACTTTTATGGAAGTCCCTAGCAACAACAGTCGATCATGTCTTGAACAATGAGTTTAAAGAATTTCAAAAGTTTTTGTCGTATCCAGAACTGTTTAAACTTGACAACAATCTTTACGACTGACTAATTGCCAAAATAACAAGACGAAAACTTCGAGGGATGATCCCGGATTTCTGATAAAAGAAAGATCATCATTACAAAAGAACAAGTGTGTCGAAAAATCATTCGATTCCGGGAGGGAAATAACAACACGACAACTTAAACTGATAATAGCTGTAGAACACTTTTCCCCTTGTAGCTTAATGAAAAGTGACCTTAAAAGGTCGTCATGTGATCTACTTCGAAAAATTCTATCCAGAAAAACTTAAAAGCAAATTATATTAATTGAAGATAGTTTTTCATTACCGCAACAACATGTGAGAGTATGTGATGTATTATCACTTAAGTGACTTAAACTGAACAAGTTCGGAGCCGAATGTGACGTCATGAGAGGCAGACAAGTACGAAAGTCACTGAGAAGTTGTGTGATTTTATTGGGATAATTGAATCGACGAATCCTAGTCGAAAAACTGAAATTCAATGAATCTAATTGGATCCAACTATCGACTAGTTATATTAAGCTTCAGATTAAAATTAATCCTAGGTTCAATCTTATGATTAAATATGATCCAATACTTGAACTCAGGATTTATTTAAGTCTAATGCTTAAGCCAAAGATTTAATGTGATCAAGCTCAAAGATGCTCAAAGCAAATCAAAATAAAATCAAATCCTCAATAATTGTTAAAGAATTCAAACTATTTAGACCTATTTGATCACTTAAGTTGACAAGCTATTTATAAAACTGATATTGATTGACCAAAAAAATCCAAGTCAGTCAATGTTTATCCTACCTAAATCAATAACAGCATAAACAGACAAAGTGGAGATTATAAAACAAGAAAAAAATGCAATCAGTGATCACGTCACAAAAAAAAGTCACGCCACACAGTGCTTCACACAATTGATTTTAACAATATAATCTGTTCACTGCTGTATCTATTGACTAAAATGTATTTGTAAGTTCCACAATAAATTTGTCATGAATATTTTGAAAATACTCGCGTGCGTGGGTGTGGATTGATTGATTTATAATTAATTTATTATTGCATGCTTACAGAAATCGATTTAATATTGAGGCAGATTAAGACCGACAGAGGTGTTTGATAGTCATAACAATTAGACACTACAGAGGAGATAATCTAAGCCTTATCAAAATATTAAATATTTTACTGAATAACAATTATACGTTGACATATTTTTAAGCGGGACTTCCAGAGATGCTGATAAGAATTACATCACGAATAGAATGAGACATAGACTAGTCATTCGATTTTATAGTAAAAAGAAGAAGTCACACGGATCTTATTTATAAATTTGATTACTAAGAGGATCGTACGACCGGCGAAAAAGTTTAAGTGATTGCTTTGCGTCGCACTTGCTATTGGGGATCGTTCTTATCAGCATTAATTATTTAAAGTAGGCAAGAGGGTCTAGGTAATACGCTAATTTCAACTAAATCAAAGACTCACCAACAGCTGTAAAGCTAAAGAATCCATGCTCCCACTCGCCAATATAAGCGGCACGTTCGTTGATACAAAACAGCCCCGGAACTAATTTTGCCACTTTTGGGCTGACTGATAACAACTCACCGTGGAAATGTCTTCGAAAGTTCGGTTTCCACGATGTTGGCGAATGAAAACGGTGATAATCTCCTGGAGCTAAATATATAATACAATGATACAGTGACGTTCCTTCTTTCTTTTCCTTAATTCCTTCAATGTATGAAGCGTTTATATTATTATCTTTCCAATTAGGTCCTAGGAAAGTTTCTAAGCTGTATGTGACGCCTTTTACTTGCTCTAAATGAGTTTGACCTGAAACTGGTCCAAAATGAAGCACTCGACCATCGCATGGTGAAACTATACAGTCAGGAGCTATTGTGCGACATTCTTCTTTTATTGATCTTGTGAAAAAATCAGATAGGCTTTTGAAGTGCCTAAATTGGAACAAATTATAGAATATATACAAATTAGCAATTTACATGACCAAATCTTATTAGCCAATACAAAATTAGAAACGCTGGATTATAATTTAATTTATACATATATGCTGCTTCTCAATTTAGTATTGGCATTGTAATTCTAATAATAAAATCCATGCGTTTAGCATTGGAACACTCAACCTACTTTAAATCGGATATAACAGCCTCTTCTAAATTAACGCCAAATGCTGTAGAATAAAGTCCAAAAATTGTAGGTCGAAAAGTCTCAGGAACCTGTCTCTCTGCCAGCCATCCCCAGCCTCGACTCATCATTCTTAACGGAAGTGAGCAATAAACGTTCGTCTGTGGAATGTAAATTGTTTATGAATAAATTTTGCGAGACTTAATCAAAAAATCACATGTTTTTTTATCTCGAATAAATTTACCTGCCATGCAGGTGCTGTTCTTGGAAGTCCTTTACGTTCACAATCTTTATTGTGTAAATGCCACTGAGCTGCTGCGACGATACAAAGTCCTAAAGGTGTCCATCTCAAAATCACTCCTTGCCATGAAAGCCATCCGCCTGCAGCCAAAAGCCACCAATCCAAAATTGATAAAATTGTCCATCCCGTAGCACCCCAACGCCATTTGCGTTTAATTTTATGTAATTTACCTTTATTGGTACCAGTTTGACTATTTTGGCTTTTATTTGTACTATGTTGGTGGTATGATTGATGCGATTGCGAGAATGGTCTTTTTACTGTCGTCCATCTACTAGTCCATTGTTTTGGTCTGAAATTTGTTGCCCTTGAGATCCTGCATGTGAGATGAAAAATGCATTAATTTAACGAACTTTTTATTTATTTCGAATAGAATGTCTTGATTATATTGCGTCGTTTATGAGAATCATAGATCAATGAACTTGGCCAACATAACACAATAGCTGTCTGACGAAAACTATTCCGGTTTATGAAACGTTGTTTTGATGCAACAGCATAAGAAAACAAAAGAAATACAAAATCATATGATTGAGCCAGATGTTGCATTTTATGAATGTTAGAAAGAGACAGCAGGATAATAATAATATTTGAGTGCTGTCCGTGAACTTAGAAATTTCATTCATCACTTTACTCTTTAATTTAATTCACTTGATTATAATAATTATCAATCTATTGACGAAGGTCATGTAGGACACTTTTTCTGAGAACTTGACGGGAGACTGCTATAGCATAATAAGCAACGTACAGCGTCCATAAAAACATGTCATTATCCAATTGAAAAATTTCACCTTATCATTATCGTGTGAATAAAAGTGAGCTATTTTTATGTCATGCACTATTGTAAGTCTCAACAGCATTCTCGAAAAACTGTCTATATACACTTTTTACGTCGTTGTCTTTGTTTTGGCTCACTATTTCCCAATTTGATCTATGAATCACACTTCTCAAAGCACTTTGATTACAGCTCTTATCACTTACAATTTTGTTTTCGGGATAAAGTAAACAGCCATTATTCTAATTAATGATTTATAGAACAATTTGCCGTTTTGGAATCTTCTCGAAATATACTTAATGAAATTAAATAATTTCTTTTGCTTCTTTTTTTCAGTATTTCAGTATTGTAATCAGTCGAACAATTAAAAATTCATTCGCTTGCGCTTCGAGGCTCTCGTTTTACGTCTAATCTCGACAAGCAGCTAGCTGGAAATGCCTGAAACTATAATAAAAATTAATACACACAGAAAATGATGTTTTTTGTTTATACTCGAGTATTTGGAGACTTATGATGTATTCTCTACGACTATCTCTACATTAATAAAGTCCCCAGCTAGCTTGAAATAACTTTATATGCTGTGGAAATTGTACAAAGTACTTAAAGTTTCAGAGCTGATTATTAATGCTTCAAGCATAATCAAAAACTGTTGTAGGGCTTTGGTTTATCGGTTTTTTAAAATTCAAATAATTTTTAAATATATTTTACCCCCGCTTCATCTTAATTTTTTTTCAACATTTAAATTAATGCAATTAAGTAGGTACTTGGACAATGATTGAGCATTCAAAATCTACTGCATTTTAAAAAATGGTTTAAAAATAAAGCCATAATAAACGTGGAAGTAGCTTTCAAATAATTCAAGAACGTTTCACTTTTCAAATAATCAACATGTGATTGGCTTAATATCGACGGTTTTGACATTCTTTAAGTCAGTTTTATTTTCGCTCGCGCCGTGATAAGCTGCTTAAAAAAATTAGTAAAGTGTGTTGATTCACTTGCTATGTTGAAGAAGAATAACTGCTGATAATATTCATATTCTCACAAAAAGGTGTGGTTGTCAAATTATTATTATTTGGCATTAATTAGTTTATAAATATTTGCGGTTGCCTTACTTTAGTGCTCAATTAATATTGTGTAATGGTATCATGTATTGAATTATTATTGGAAGTTGTGCGAAATAAATGATTTTTTAACACAAATATAAAGTCAAATAGTGAGAAATTCAGTTCCTTATCTTATCAATAACGAAAGAAGTACAATAGATAAAAGGTGCACCTAGCATGAAAACAAGTGAATTAAAGTGAAAATATTATTTATCATTTTGCTCAATAAATTTATGCGACATGCTTATCACAAAACTTCCGTTGCACAAATCTGCAAACTAAGTGCATTGGAATCTTTATCAATTGATGTGGATATACTTAGATTATTTATAAACGACAAGCTCATAAAAAAGCCATTAGTGCTCAAAATATTAAAAAAACAATACAATTCAAAGCCTCTACTTTCATGTATTACATTTTTTTGCATGTAAAGCAACATCAATGCCACTGCCTCATCATCTCTTTCGAAATGGCTTTCCTCATTCTGATCGAGACGATGACTCATGCAATGTCAATAATAAGTTTAAACTGCTTTTACCTCTTATGTGGATGAATAATCACATTTAAATATACACATAAACATTCCATACCTTTTCTTAAAAGAGGCAATTTTTTTTTTGTTGGCAGTGACGTCATGTTACGTTGTCAACAAAAAATAAAGGTAATCAAAAACAAAACCGGAATTCCACAGAAAAGAGGTTGTGTTGTTAAATGCTAAAGAGTAATTGCAATGATCAGGGAATAAGTTAATATTGAAAATTAGTGTCGGAAATAATTTTTATGCACATAAAGTTGAATTAGTCATTTTGAAAGATTTTTAAGAATTATCCTGAGATTTCAGATTGAGTCCTCAAAGCTGATCAATGGATTTAAATAATCCCAAAATTTTTAAGATCAATCTTAGATTGTGATCAGTCTGGGACCTCGCTTGTAGCTTTAGAAACCGGCTTTAAAACTTAATTTAATTCCAAGATAAAGCAGGAGATTATTAACAAATATCTAAATTGAACTAGTGTATCGGGTAGAAACCCAATTCGAATTATATTCACACCGTACCATCAAAAGTCTTATGGATAGACCAAGATTGGCCCAGTATAAGTATGAAGGTATGAAGATGGATAAGTCAACTGAGCTTCGCTCAGCATAAGTTTAAAGGTATAAAGCAAGCGAGTCAACCAAGATTTGCCCAGTATAAGTTTGAAGGTATAAAGCTTAGCGAACATTTTTTGAAAGTTTTTTAAAAATTTTTTCCATCCAAAGTTTAATTTTATAAAAGTCACAGTCAACTTTTTGTTTTATAAAATTCGTAAGAAAGGAAAGTTTTTTGCTTTTTCTGAAGCAACGGCTGTTCCTACCTTGCCCAAAAACAATACAGATCTTCTATAGAGCAGCACGGATCAAATGTAAAAAACTAGAAGTTTCTACGATGTCTCGTTATTGAGATTTCTTGCTGATTAACTTGCTTGCTTGCTTGTTTGCTTACAGAAAGCATATTTTGCGATTTTCTCAGCAATGCCTCAACCAATTTGAAATCTGTTTTTTTGCAAAAGATTTGACATTCCAGGCACAAACTTTTCATCTCTGAACATTTTAAGTTATCTTGCTCTATATCCTCACAAAATTCAAAAAACTGATTTTTCAATCTGATCAAAACCAATAGATTCACACGTGAAAACGGTGTGAATATAAAAATATAAGTTTTTGATGGTCGATATTTATGAATAAACAAAGTTGGGGATGACATATTTAATTGCGATATACTGTCTTACTAATTAATATATATTGTTCCAAACCTCGAACACGTGATTGCATAATTCCGTTTTGCTTCTTCTCATTCTCATTCTTATTCAAAATAAATTCTATAGAAAAATAAGAAAAATACAAAGAAATCCGATTCGGCGAATTTAATTCACACTCAATAAGTCATACATACGCTGATAACAGCGAAACATGACGCAATCGATTAATGAACATGAGTCATCATGAAGTAGTGTCTTTATTTTTCAGTACACTTAATGACATTGACAATATTAATGCACTTCAACAATAAAGCTTTAAACTTTACACTTGTTACTGAGTAACTGCATCTTGTTGAGCACTAAAAAACAGTGTGTTAAACAGGCAGACATTTGATTTAAATTAAATTTGTTTCGATAAATAATTACATGTGAGTTTCTCTTATTCCACAGTTAAATATAAAGTATATAAAGGAAGACGAAAACATGTCAAAAGCACAAATATTATTTCTCGTCTTTCTTCCAACAATTTTGAGTTTTAACCTTTCACCAACGCCAAATGTGTTCATAAACAAGCCAAAAATCTCGACATTTCTTCCGCAAACAAGGTCGTCATATTTTGGATTTTCAATAAATCTTCGAGCCAATCATGTACTAATTGGAGCACCACGTGCACAATCGACACTTGAACAACAGAGGAAAGTCGATGAGACGGGTGCAGTCTTCAAGTGTGACTTGAATAATGGTGAAGCCACAGATTGCTTTCCATATCATTTTGATTTGAATGGAAATACTCGCGTTGAGAACACAGATCTAGCTTATAATTCTGAAAAGAAAGATTATCAGATGCTTGGATTCTCAATGGATGGACATGAGTCTGAGAATGATAGATATGTTGTGTGTGCACCGAAATTAAAGGCAGACTTAACCGAGAGTGATCATTATTTATTGCATGGGATTTGTTATTGGGTGACTAGTACAAATTCAACACAGCCATCAGGTGTTCGACAAATAATCCCACTGAGACAACGTTCATTACAGACAGCACCGGTATCAAATGGTACCTATAACTATTTTTATATCTACGGCGAGAGTGGATTTAGTGTTCATGTCACAGAAAATAATGAGATTTTAATTGGATGCCCAGGTATTTTAAATTGGCAAGGATCTATTATACGATATAGAGCTGGAAGTCGACCCGATTTGGGTGGCTTAAGTCGACGTGATTTGCGAAAAGATAATGGCATTATGCATATACTGAGAAAAAGACAAATCATGGAATATCGAAGCGAAGTTCCAAATCCATTCTACTTTACCCTTACTGATGATTCATACTTTGGTTATGCAGTCGGTTCGGCAAAATTTTTGGGTCCGGAAACTGACAGATTATATTATGTTGCATCAGCGCCTCAGGCAAAACAACAAACAGGCGAAGTCTATGTCTTCGATATTGAAGATTATCGTCACGAAAGCAAAATTAAACTGTACAATAAATTCGGTGGCTCACAATTTGGCGAATATTTTGGATATACATTAGTATGTGAAGATTTTAATGCTGATGGCTTTCCAGATCTTGCGATATCAGCACCTTCATACAGTAAGAATGGATTATATGAAAATGGTGCTGTCTATATTTTCATCAATAAAGGAAATGTAAGTAAAACGGAGTCGTTCGTATATTTTGTAACGCTAATCTACTCTTTCTGGAAGATAACTTTTGGAATATGCCCTATCTTCCAAAAGTGGAACAAATTTTGATACCCTCTTCGCTACTCAAAGCGTTACAAAACATAAGAACAACCCCAAACTCTAATTTTTCTCCTAGCGCAAATATCACGTTCATTCTTTCTTTATTCCTATTACATTTTTATAGCTTGCGTTCGAACAACAAGCGATTCTATTCAGTGATTATGAGACGAATGGAAGATTTGGAACAACGCTGTCTAAAATCGGTGATATTAATTTGGATGGATACAATGATTTAATCGTTTCTGCGCCATTTGAAGGAAATGGTGCGGTATACATTTATTTGGGAAGTCATGAAGGCATTTCATTAAAACCTAGTCAAAAGATCTTGGCACCATCTGAAGTACCTCATCAATATGATGAGCATTATAAGAATGCAATGTTTGGTTTTGGATTATCACGCGGTGTAGATATTGATGGCAATCATTATAAAGACATTGCTATAGGCTCGCCAAATTCAGAGACTGTCTATATCTATCGTACATATCCCGTAGTAAAAGTTGTAGCATCTATAACATCCTCAAAAATGGAATTGACATTAGAAGATAACACTGTCGCAATTAAGGTCTGTGCACGTTATGACAGTGTAACACCATTAAACATGGAAATAGGTAAAGTTACTATTAATCCTTGTCATGAACGTATAATTCATATATCTCAAATATCTTCTTTTTCTTCCTATATACGCATTTAGAGTTTGCCACCTCGCTGTCTCTCGACATGAAATATAATCGTGCATCATTCGCAAAGAATGAAATCGAAAAGACAATCAATGACTCACTTAAACTCACACATGAAGACACTTGTAATGACTACATGCTTTATGTACGTGGAAGTCTTGCGGACATTTTTAAGCCCGTAATCATAGAAATGAAATATGAGACTGTTGACAAAATATCAGCTCATGATAGTAAATTTTGTGAGACGTGTGTCATGATGGATCCTCTTGCTTCCAAACTGACAACAACGAAAATAGCATTTTCAACTGGATGTAGTGGAGAAAGGTGTATCTCAGATCTATCAGTTGTGGGAACATTACTCAATGTAAGACAGCCTTTTGTACTTGGCAGTGAGAAGACAATCGCGATTAAATATGAAATTTCAAATGCTGGAGAGTCTGCTTATCTGACACAGTTGGCAATTACCATTCCTACAAACTTGACACAATTCTCCCGTATTCCACCGTCATGTCGACAAGATAATAATGCTCGGGATGTAATGATTTGTGACATAAATACGGGAAAGCCAGTCAAGCAAGGTGAAACTACAGACATGACAATTGCATTGGATGCATCTCGTCTCGAGGGTAGTTCATTTAAAGTTTATGCCGAAGTTTCAAGTGCTGGAGATGAGCAACGACCATCCGATAATCAATACACGACTGAGATTTTCCTCATCGAGTTCAGCGATGTAGAATTGAATGGGTAAGTCTTGTCTTAAATCTTGTCAGCAGGAACAAATAAATTAAAAATTTTCTCTCTTTTTTTTCGTAGACAAAGTTCAGCAACTCAATTATCTCTTGAAGATGGAGAGCGCATTGAGAATCTTCAATATCGATATAAAATATTCAATAATGGTCCTAGTACAATCAAGGAACTCTCATTGAGTCTTATAATTCCATTGGCTTACATGCCAAAACCAAATTATCAAGTTGAAATTGTGAAATTTGATGATATTGATATAAGAGGCATCTACACCAACAAAGTATATGAAGCAACATGGATTGAAGGTGATAAAATTCGTCTTCAAACTCGTAGTGATGAAAATGACAGTAGTGCAAAGTCAGTTGTTATTGGAGATAATATGAATCTTCATAATAGCTTTGATACCTCAAAATTGGGTTTCGACTATGATTTTAATAGTGCTAAAACCAATGAATATGATACTTTAGGACAATCTCATCATAGGAGACGGAGAAGCCTTTGGCAAAATGATAACGATAAGGATGATGATGATGACTATAAGGATGATAGTACATATAGAGTCTATAACCAATATACAGGTTCCATCGATGAATATACATCATCTTATAGAATATCCGTAGATAAGGAAGATCCAATTCTAATGAATTTACCTCGAAATCGAACAATTTTCCTTGATTGCTCACAACCGGAAGACATGAATGAGTGTATTGAAGCTCAATTTACAGTTCATAATTTCCGTCCTGGAAGTGAGCCAATTACAATAAGCATGAACTTTACAATAGATTTAAGAAAATTCGGTAAGGATAAAATTTAAAATTCATTGCTGCTGCTGCTTTATGCTTTCCTTTTGTTATTCAAATTCTTAATTACTTTTCCTCTTTCTCATCCCATCACTTTTACAGGCGACATATTCAATGATAACCAAAACATTTTTGTGTACAAGACTAATGCAAAGTTCCAACGTGTGGGTGACGAGAGCATGAAAACATTGAAAATTACAACAAGAAATCCGTACACAATTGTCTTTGAGAGATTCTCGTCCAAGACTCCAATTTGGATTTGGATTGTGTCGATAATCGTTGGATTACTTGTATTAATCCTGTTGTGCTATGCACTTTACCGATTAGGATTTTTCAATCGATCCAAAAAGGAGGAACTTGAAAGACTGACGAGAGAAAGTAGACGAATTACGCCTGAGGAAGCAGAGGAGTTGAAGAATTTAAATGCATAAGAACCTTAATTTAATTTTGCAATAAATTCATGTGCCAGTCATTTTTTAAGACTTTAATGATCAAACATTCCTATGAAATTTTCAAGACTTGATGAGTGAAAAAAAGGGTACAAAGAACCCGAAAATTAATTTTTAATTGTTAATTTATACATAAGAAAGTTTTTGGATATCGTCATTGCCATTTTTTAAGGGACCAATAACTGTTTGTGCATTTTTTGAGCGACAGCTGAATTGATGTTTTTATTGTGGTTAAAGTGGCTGCAATTCTAGCTTATTCGGGAATTACTGTAGAGCTATGGAACCAATAGTCATTTCAAATGAGTCAGCATGCTGCAATCAGAGAATGAGCTTTTATGCTACACAATGTAGTTATTTATACTAAGAATTAAGCATCACAAAAGAATGTTCTTATGGATTAAGCAATATTAGTCATAGATTGAACTAAAATATGCCTTCATTTCTTCTGCATTAAATCATCTTTAAATTAAGTAGAATTACGATGGCTCAGACATATGTGTCATAAGTCTGCCTTTAAAAAATCGATTAAAAATGTTTTTTTTTTTATATTTATTAAATCCAGTAAATCCAGCTGCAATTCTTCCCATTAGATAAAAAAGAAAACTATAACAATACTATTTATATATTTTATGTATGAATGTTTAAATCCAAAGAGAATAAAGCTTTTAGGATATAGAAGTTGTTAGGACAACAAAAAATAGAAAACTTTACAGCAATAAAGAGAAAAACTGAATGTTTTTTAGAATATCATAAAATAATAATTTTTTAATGTATGTATGTTGTTGAATGTAGCTTTTCAGTTACTCTGCTTCTTTCATCATTGCTTTTGGAAGAGCAAACAATAAATGTTCATTCCAGATGTGTGTTCAATAAATTTTGTCACATTTCTCACTCATACGAGTATTAAAAATATATTTTTTTTTTTGGTAGAGAGTAGAATATAGTCGGCATCTGTAGGCAACGACATTTTATACTAATATTATTCATACTCTATTCTGATATAGAAAATAATTTCACATTTAAATATTGTATTATTATTTTTTTTAAGATAGATGAGATGCATGGAAATATCAGCATAGGAAGTAGTAGGAACAATTTTAATAGACGAGTAACACGAATGTTTCGTAATCGTTTTGTAGATTTATGTTTATCACTTTGTGTAGCAGTGATTATTTTTATAATTTATAAGAAATGCTTTAAATCACAGCATTATGAAGCTGGCATGGTACGCGAAGAAAAATTTACTATTGGAACTGACAATCAGAAGTATGTTTATCATCGAGCTATGCCTTTAATATTCATTGGCGGTGTGCCACGTTCTGGGACAACTTTAATGCGTGCCATGCTTGATGCTCATCCTGAAGTTCGATGTGGACAAGAAACTCGTGTTATTCCACGAATGCTGTCATATTATAATAATTGGCTGAATAGTGAGAAAGAGTCAATGAGGTTGAATGAAGCTGGAATAGACAAAAATATTCTTGCCAATGCTGTTGCTCAGTTCTGCTTAGAAATCATTGCAACTCATGGCGAACCAGCCAACAGATTATGCAATAAAGATCCACTTACTCTTAAATTTGGCGTTACATTGTCGGAATTATTTCCAAACGTAAGTAGAGCTAGCATAAAGATTTAATATCTTGAAGGGGGTTTGTTCTTTTATGATGTCTATTGCTGTCTTTCAAAAACGAAGCAGTAACAAATTCTCTTCTTTAAAACTTTAATCCTTATTTGTGAAAATTCCTTTATCCATTGTTAAAAATCTCTTTACATCTTGCAGATTAAATTTCTCTTCATGGTTCGTGACGGACGTGGGACGGTTCACTCAATAATTTCACGTAAAGTCACAGTAACAGGATTTGATTTAGATAATTATCGTGCTAGCATGTCAAAATGGAATCGTATGATAAAAACAATGTTCGTACAATGTGAGTTGCTTGGTGATGATAAATGCATGATTGTACATTACGAGAAGCTTGTGCTTCAACCGAAGGAAACGATGAACAGCATTTTGGATTTTCTCAATTTGCCATGGAATGAGAATGTCTTACATCATGAAGACTTTATTAATAAGTCACATGGGATTGCTTTATCAAAGTAAGCATACATACGAGTTGCCTTGGAGATGCACTCCAAGTTAATACATTTTAAATTTATTCACATCCTCACACTTTGCTCTTTTCTTTTCTTGTTTTTTGTATACCCAAAATAAAAAGAGTGGAAAGGTCGTCAGATCAAGTGATTAAAGCCATAAATTTGGATGCTCTTTCGAAATGGGTTGGAAAGATTCCACAGGATGTCGTTGATGAGATGGCAAAACTTGCTCCAATGCTACAGATTATGGGTTACGATCCGTATGCAAATCCACCGAATTATGAAGCTGCTAAAATGAAAATTGACGGTGATTTAATACAAAATTATCCTGGAAAGAATAGACAGAACCGACAGAGAAGGCAAAAGGATGATGATGACATTGAGTAAAACACAGATGAAATTTCAATTTATTTAACAAATAAAAAGGAACAATATCCTTTTTGTTGTGTCTCTTTATTATCCATTTTGTTTAATTTGATAAAAACTGATTCATTTTCTTTATGATTTATATTATTTTAGTTTAGTACATAATAATCTGTCCACAGCAGTTATTATTTTCTCTTTGTATAAATTCTAATTTGTGCAATAATCGCAATAATGCAACTGTTTCTGTTTTAAAAAAATATAAAAAAATTTAAAAATCGATATTTGACTTTTTGGATATTCAAATTTGAAATTATTTCAGGATGCTGAAGTTTGGATAAGCGTTTTATTACCCACAACTACCACTTTTATTTGAGATTTATCTGCTTTCACGTGATTTATTTAAAACTGAAATTCTACTGACTTTAAACTCCTGGATCTTGATAGAGGCGTATCAAAGATTTCTAAATTAGAAGCTGTGCTTCTTGAATGAGATTTTGAATCATTTTATATGAAACACCTTCCCTTATTCATAACGCACTACTTATCACTGTTGTCGTCTAGGTCATTGAAACATATGACATGTATGCACGTCAGAGTTTACATTAACACATACTTCTTTGAGCTTGTCTGGATTGTAGACATTTGTGAAGATTAAATGATTTTCTAATGGGACATGTCAAAGTCATACGATAGTTAACCAAGCCGTTCACATTGGTAAGAGTGTTTTCTAGACTTCGATACTGATTCCTTGTAATTCTGATGGAATATTTGAGATGAAGCACAAAAATTTTCACAATCATAAATAATTTATAAATTCCAAAGAATGTGACTATACTGGAATAAATAGAGGACCCTCTGTAATATGAAGTTCCAAAATAAATTGGATTGTATGATTCATTGCTCAAGTTTAGTAATCAAGCCATAAGTTAAAAGCCTGAGTGCGATTGATAAATTATGTTTGGTGGTTTGTGGGTAATCTTCTAGATAAGTTCTACAATAACCATTGTTTTTCAACGAACAAAAGACTTTAGAAATCTTAAGCATAGATTGTCCATTCAAAATTTTCCTAGTTTGAAGTTGAATGACTTTAATGATTACAATCTTGTCGAAATTGCAAAAAGTAAATCAAGTAAGTAACAAAGTTGGACACTCAGGGGCGTAGCCAGGGGGGGGGGGCATAGGGGGCCCGGGCCCCCCCTACGAAAATCTGATAATTGTTTTATTAAGTATTTATAGAGAAGAACCAGTTAATGTAGAGGAAATGATGAAAGAAATTTCAAAATCAGCACGAAAAATTAAATTTAATGTATGAATAATGAATTCAATATTTAAACTTATGAAGAATGAATATAGATTTAAGGATACAAAATAACGGTTTTTTAATTTTCGAAAATGGGCCCCCCCCTTAAAAATTTTCTGGCTACGCCCCTGTGGACACTCATCCTTAGAATCATCTTAAACTTTCAAGCTAATTGATTGTTAATCATTAAAATCTTCCATAATTCAGCCATAATAAATTTCCTTTAATAATTCCACAATAAATTTTAAGTATCGTTGGTTTTTAATGTCTTTTTTTTTGCACACAGTTCTTAGTGGTAGCTGTAATTGTAAGAAACATTTTCCCACATTAAATAATAGGAAATGCAATCTACACGAAGCTCTTGTTAATATTTCATCCTCCATTTGCTCTCTCTACACTTAAATTTAATTAATATTTAATATTTATGCTCAAAACATAACTCATTTTGTATGTACATAAAACATAAAATGTTTTCACACTTCCTTGCACTTTTGAATAAGAGATTTATTTATTAAACATATGGAAAGATGTCTTAAGAGCTTCATGTTGTCTATTCTATTGTTGTTGCTATCTGTATTCTGTTCTTGTCTTGATTTTTGTTGCTGTATATTCAATAAAGTAGAAAAAATTGAAATTTATTCAAGTGTAAAAATTAAGTGGAAACATAAAAACTTTATTTTTATATCTCATCATCATTAATTTTTCTTGATTTTTCTGCTCCCCATCTTAGTAAAAATCTTTATGCTCATTGATGTATTAACACATACTTTACTCATATCTCGACTGTATGTGTTTGTGCTAATAGCAATTATATAGGGATGTAAAGCAACTTGGTTGTAGAAAAAGGAAAATCTGTTCTGGGTGATTAATTTAAATTTTCTTTCTTTCTTTATGATACCATTTTGGATATACATATGCTAAACAGACGTTTAATTTAATTTAAGATCCTTACATTGCATTCGCATCGATTATTTTAAATTAAAGTAACGTGATCGCGTGTAACATGTCGATTTCATAAGTTTTAAAATTAAAATTTTCTTTGTTATCCAAAAAACGAAGCATTGTCAAAATATGAATATGGATATTGAGGCAAAACGAACATAGCAAATTATCGCACATCAATATTTAAATTAAAACATGGGGAATTTCTTTAAGGAGTCATTCATTGATGATGTTATTTAAAAGGATTAGTTTTCATGAATAACTTGCTTCTGTAACTTCATAAATCATTGTCAAGTAGGATTGGTCACTAGCTAAGTTACAGATAGTTCTGTAACGGTCAGAACTCATTTTACTATCTATAGCACTACATGCGTAAGCATGTGATCAGTTCTTTCCTATCTTTCACCGAATAAACATCTTTACAAAACGAACCCTTAGCATTATTATTATTCTTATTATCGCTCAATTCCAGCACTACAGTTCAAAGTTTTAAGACAATTTGTTCAGCAAACAAAGCAATTTAAATGATCAACTTCTTTCTTCCAGTAAGTTATCGATTAATGTCAAAGCTAGACAAAATTTGAGTCAAAAATTCATCTATTAATATTTGGCTGGAATCACACATCCTTAGCCAATCCAAATCTAAAATTCTTTTCGTAGCTTCGTAAATACCTTTAGTGAAAGACATCATATCCGAACGACTCCAATAAGAAGAATAACAATATTTTTTTGTCTCGTTTCAAATTCAGAGCAACGTCAATCCTTGAAGAAGGTTGCAAACATTTTAATGAATAATTTTCTCATAGAATCGACAACATAAATTTTATTCATTTCATTGTGCAAATAATTATGGTTTGCTATTGTTCCTGATTCTCATGACACTTCTTCCACAAAAAAAAACAAACTTTTTCAAAACTTGATGAAGCTCGGTTTCAGCAATAAAAACATATTTCATCATAAAATTTTAACTATTTTTGCACCAATTAAAAATCAACATTCAACATTAATTATGTATGTCATTTAAACATTCTAAAAAATTAATAAAAAATTTTTTACGGCTGTCATTTCAATCTTACTCTCATATACATTTTGTTGTATATATAAATGCGGAGTTTTCTAAGGAAACTTATTGTGTATTTTATTTGTTTCATTCCTTCTCCCCTTTTTCTCAAGTCGCTATGCATTGTCAAGTGTTTTTCCAACTTTCTCTCCTTCTGCTTGTGCCTTTTTTTTCATCATGCATTTGAAGTTATTCGACTTTTAAGGAAATTGTGTTAAAACTTAAATTTATTTGTAACAAGGTATGGAAGCTATGTCTTATTGAGATCATGATTCATTTAGGTAGCTGAATGGAATCAAATTTGATCACGATGCAGTATTTTAGCCAAATAATTGAGTAATTGCTTGTTATGTCGGAGCAGAGTGGAATCTGCGGTATTGAGTCCTTTGTGAATGAATCTGTCAATATTTTAGTAAGAACTCTAAGGCAGAATGATTATGGAACTCGAAAAAAACGTCTTTTTTGAGAATGCAAGTTTGATTCCTGCCAAAAGCAGATCTCTCAATCAATGAGATACATAGAGTTTTAAAGCATTCTAATCAACCAAGAGTCAGATCTACGTTAAACATTAGTTTCAGATTTCCACAATGCTTACGACATTACAATGATAAACAGTATTATAAACAAAGGTTTAAGATTAGAAGGATGGAACTTTTGTGTATTAAAGTCTCATAGTAGAATCTGTGATATTTCAGAATTTTTGATTGAGGCCTTTCAGCAGACTGGAATTATTTAAGCTTCTCTTCTTATAAGAGTTCTTATTCTAATTAATGCATACACGAATTGATGTCAAAAATGTCAAAGATTCGCGCTATGCTGACGACATTACTCAACAGCTTTTTCCATATTACCTAATTAAGTATAAAAATCCAATTCCACGACTAATTTCCTCAAACATTAAAGTGCTATACAAACAGAAAAGAATCACAAAGTAAGCATGATCAAACGAAATTAATTCGTAGACTGTGCTGAACTCAATTAGAGCCGTCTAATCAAAAAAAAAAAATGTATGCTTAATTTTTCTGCACGAATAAAAATTCTAGGTCACATGAAGTAACGCAAAAAAGCTTCCATTCCTTAACAAAAAATAAGAAAAGATGAAAATTTGTTTTAAAAAAGGCAGCAGCAGCAAGAAGAAAGAATGCTTTATATTCAGCTTCAGCCAACAGGGAAATTGCAATTTTTCATTTTTAATTTTTTTGTGCTTTTTCTCTTCTCATTTTCTTTCCTTCTTTTCCGCTCACTTTATTTCATCGCATGTTTGCTTAATAGGAATGAAAAAAAGGAGGAAGTTGAATGAATTGAAAAAAAAATAAGCTCAAGCTAAACATTCAATATTTGCGAAGCATGCACCTCATCCTATTTTGCTGTTTGACATTCTGTGTGTATGTGACGTCGGGGGTGTAGTTAGGATTTTCGGAAGAGAGAGTTGAGGACTTTGTTTCAAAGAACCTCGTTGACTACATATTTTTCGTATGTTATGGTCGCAGCAACGAGAAGTCGGTAGATTAAGTTCTCGAGAATGAGATTTATATAGGAGAAAATGTTTGAATGACATAAAGATTAGTCTGGTTTCTCCCTCCCTCCTTCAAAAAATTCTATCTACATCCCTGACGTGTGTAAAAAATTTAAACATGAAAGAGGAACGAAAAAAAGTTGACTTTAAAATGAGGTCATGCTTCCTTCCGTATTTATTTAATTTCATTTTCATCCACAACAGAACAGCACAAAAATAAAGACGAAAGGAAAAATAAAAAGTTAAAAATTATTTTATTTATTTTATTTTTAAATTAAAAGGAAGATAACTCAGTCATTGCACAATATTAAGTTATACTTATGTGTTTATACTTCTGTATTATTTATATAAAATAGAATAGAAACGTTTTCCTCTCTTTATAGCTATATATTATTTCTTTTTCCTCATATTTCTTTATTAAATTATATTGTTTTTAAGCTCACCACACAATAAAAACGTTAAAAACCTCTCATCTCTTTAACATCGATCGTTACTGATGTTCTTGTCATTATTTTTTCTTTTTCGTCATCATATCTTCACATATTGTTCAACATTTTTAATGTTTTTAGTGCATGACATTTTAAGGATGGCATCAAAAAAAAGAAAAAATTAATAAAAAAAATATAATTTTGTTGTTCTATCCGTTCATATTGTTGTCATTGATTGTAAGTTATTTTTGGAGGGCGAGGGGATATCAAAAAGGAGAAGAATTTGTTTACTCATTCACTTCATCACGTCTTGTCGTTGACGTCATTTGCATTGTCATCCTGATTATTATCATCGTTTTCATCGGCATTTTCTTCGTCACGCTTCAGCAACTGTTGTACTTTGTGATCCCATAACTTTTGATTATTTTTCACCTAGTGATAAGGGAGAGAGAGAGAGAGAGATATAGAAAGACATCAAGCATGAAAAATGTTGTGAGCAATATAGCAATCACTTGGAATTTGCAGTTTGAGGAAAATGACAGCAATATTGAAGTAATATTCACACGTACAATTTTTTAAGGGATTGTTCAATTGTTGCGTCTAAACTTGGGTTTTAAACGGAAATTGTAGCAATGTTCTTGCATGGACAGGTTATTGAGAAAAGCCTTAAAAGTTTTTTCTAGCGACTAATAACCCTCTCATCCAGGTTTAGTTCACAACCTATAATTTAGAACATTGATTGACGTCACTCATGAACATCCGTCCCTTAAACGCTTTTAGAATATTCAATATTCACCTTATTTGTGTTTTCTTTAACAATTTCATCAGCACTACCGTAATTTGGGGGGTTTGCATATGGATCATAGCCTAAAGTTGAAAGCATTGGTGCTAAATTTGCCATATCTTGAACGACATCTTCGGGTATATGGCCAACCCATTTTGTTAGGGCCTCTAAGTTTATTGGCTTAATTACTTGATCTGATGATCTCTCGACTCTAGATAAACAAATTAATTCAATATAGTTGATGTTGATGGCTTTATATTCAATTATCAATTGACTTACTTGGATAAAGCTACACCATTTTCTTTATTGATAAAATCTTCATGGTGAAGTACGGATTCGTTCCAAGGAATTCCTAAAAAGTTTAATATTTCCTCCATTGATTTCTTGGGTTGAAGAACAAGCTTTTCATAGTGCACCATTAAGCAACTATCTTTTCCTATCTCTTTACATTGATCGTGCATTGTCGTGATAGCTTGATTCCATTTTTGCATACATTGACGATAATTTGTTAAATCGAAACCTGTTATAGTCACTTTCCTACTGATTATTGAATGAACAGTACCACGACCGTCACGAACCATAAAAATGAATTTTGCCTGTTGATAAGAACAGAATGCATTGGCATGAGATTGTGTAGTAAAAATAATTAATTCATGTGACTTACTTTAGGAAACAATTCAATAACATATGTGCCCATTTTGAGCGTAAGTGGATCTTTATTACATAATCGTGGCGCAGGATCGCCGTGTTTTGCAATAATTTCTAAACAAAATTGTGCGATTGCACTGTTAAGCACCTCTTTATTAATTCCAGCCTCCTCAAGTCTCATAGATTCTTTTTCAGATTTCATCCAATGTGAACGAAGCTGTAAAATCCTTGGAATTACACGAGTCTCTTGTCCACATCGTACTTCAGGATGTGCATCAAGCATAGCACGCATCAGCGTTGTACCTGATCGTGGAACACCGCCAATAAATATAAGAGGCATTTCTCGATTATAAACATATCTTTTGTTATCTGAGCCAGTCACAAACTTCTCTTCACGAATCATCGCACCAGGATCTTCACGAAATAGACATGCCGGTCGGAGAACATTTGTCTTAAATAGTAACATAAGTAGTGTGAAGAAGACAAGTCCTCCAATTATTATAGTACGACGGTTTCTTGGCAGTCTCATGGCTTTATTACTAATTAATTTGATATTATCGTCCTTCGGATAAAGCATTTATTTTCGATTTACAGATAAAAATTTGTATCAATTGATTGTTCCTTGTCCTAATCGAATATACAACAGCCCTTCCTTTTCCTTCTGTCCCTTTTTCAATGTAATGAAGTACAATTCAATTAAATGCTAATGATAAACGTTAAATGCCAATAATTGGAATAGTGTAGCACAAATAAAGTTGTATTCTCCTCACTTGAACTTTCTGTTGAGCTATGGACACAAAAATTAATTTCTCTTTCCACCCCTCCTTAATGCCTATGTGAAACAAACTGCTGCTTTTGTCCAAAGGTCAAAATGGAATCGAACTTAGTTTTTCTTTTTCCTCTCCTTTTTGGGTCTTGTTGATTCAGGATTCAATGGGAAATTTAACAGAAGTAAGAAAGTTTTGTAGATGTAAAGGAATAAGATGAAACAAGGCAGCTATATAGATATGAGAGAAAAGTAGAAAGGCGTTGCGTGTTGGGTCGATTAAATAAACTTGACGGAGTCAAAAAGGATATCTTTTGATGAATATCTACTTTTTCTTTCCTTAATATATCTCTATTCACATAAGATTATTGTTACCTTAAAATCCTATATATCAATTTGTAGGGTTGAAAAAAAAGAAAAAAGAAGTGGAATAAAAAAATGAAATCAGAAAAGTGTAAAGCATAAATAAGTAATCAACAATTAATTATTATTTGACTTTTCTCCCCTTACTTTTTTGTATGTGTGCATCTTTCATACCAAATTATTTACTTGGAAGGACACAAAATTAAAGAAGACATATTTAATGTAGGAAGTAAGGAAATAAATGTTCGGAAGCATGACAAAAATGCTGTTTTGGATTATTAATCAAATGCTAGGAGCTAATGATTTTAATACTCTATGTTACAGTGCAAATTTTTGATATCATGAGACAAGTAAGGGTTGGGGTTCTCTATAAAACTCCTAAATAATTGGATGAATTGTTTCATGTTTATAGAAACACGAATAAACAAAAATAGGCATATCCAGCATTATCTAATCAACAAATAATCCTTAATAGCATCCAACATTATATTTTCGAAATTTGAGAACCAACACACCAGAAAATAAATTAATTTACGTGTCAAAATCATGAAATTTGATGCAGCGAATGGACTCTAACATTTCGGAAGCACAAGTCAGCCATTCAAAATTAATAATATCAGCTAGGATATGAGTTAAGTGATGGGAGAAAATTCAATTAACATCAGCATATTGTTATATAAATAGGACGCAAAATATGATAAACGTGTATAAAAGTGTGATTGTTCAGGTAGGAAATTAACTTACATCACATTGGTTGACGTGTTCATGATGACATGATTTAATTTTCATGCGCTTCAAGCTTCATTTTCATCATAATTTACGGAATGGACAGCATCATCAGTCGTACAAAAATAATGATTATAGCTTTCTATCTATAAGCTCACACTTCTGTTGATGGTATTTTATGTTCTGTCTGTTCCTCTTTTATATTTTCTTTCTTTCACGTGTAATGATGCTATGGATGGTTATAAAACAAAACGGACGATGCTTTTTTGTTCTAATAGAGATATCAGAGATGAGGATTGTCACATAAAAAGGAAGGAAAATTGCTGCTGTCGCAAACAAAAAAGTACGAGTTGAAAAGAGAGCGGATTCTGAAAAGAATAAATTAGACGATTAGAATGGTCGACACGTTGCAAAGTCATTCATTTTCATTTGGGACAATATTTTTTTTTCTTTGGTCTGTATTTCTCCTCAATTAAATTATAATTTGATTCCAGTGCCATTCGTTGTTAATGCGAAATAAATTAAACAAGAATTGTTGGAACCAAAATGATTGCATGAAATTAAATAGAACAAAGTGAGTAGAGAGAAAAGGGTTGACAGCTTTCTTTCCTGTTCGCCTCGAACAATTTATTAGCAGATGGAGTAATTCGTCAGTGATGTACAGCTTAGAGGTATGATATACAAACTCCCATATTGTAATACAAGTTTGAGACTATAACATGATGTCCGTCATTTGTGGATGGTTCGAAAGCGAAACATTTCTTAATAAAATAAGAATGAACACAACTTACAAGAAGAGGTGAGAGAGACAAAAGGGATTCTTGAGGGTTCTTTAAGATATTTTTCTCAGAAGTAAAAGACCTTATATATTTTAATTATTCAAAGTATATCGCGTGCAGAAAAAGCTGCCTGTGTAAAGAACTTACAGAAAGCTCCTCGAGAAAGAATAAAAAGAAAATTTAATTGTAAAACTTGTTACTGCTCCTCTAAGACTTTTTAAGAGGAATTCTTCTTGTATATATCCATAACGCACAAAAGAGATAAACATAAATATGTATATGAGCACATAAAAATCACACTTGATCCACAACGCAGTGCGACAGAAAGAATCCCTTAAAGCAACTTACAGTCGTGTAATATTTAAATGAGCGGCACGTAAAATCATGTAAATTAATGCAATTTAAATACTTTTGTCATTCCTATAAGCTTGTACCTTTTTTCTTTTTTTGGCTCCCTCCGTTTGCTTCCACATTCAACTAACTTTTTCAAATGAATTTTTTACACTGAACGATTTACAAAATTGAATACAATTAAGTACGAAAACTTTATGTACGCTGTATATTTTCAGCAGTGTTAAATGGTTCCACTTTGTATTCATGAAAAAAAGAAATGAATAAACGTAAAGGTATTATTTGCCAACAGCAACAATTTAATTTTATTATATTCTTCACCCAAGGGACGGAAACGTCATTTAGAAATTTATAGTACATACAACAAAAAAAAAAGCTCTGCGGCATTCGAAAATTGTCAAACAGAGATTTTATTCGTTCAATATTTATCGTCAATAATATTCAATATTATTGAAAGCAGGATTTGCTTAACAATGACAATTAGAACGTGCTCATAAATACATATTTTGTTGGATGGAAAATCGTTTGTCTCACCCTTGAAATCCGTCTCGCAAATGAGATTTAAAACGACAAAAGCAAATTAAATTGCTGCTTTTTTTTCGTTATCGCTTTATTTTTATTATTTTAAATAAGGCCAGTCACCGAAATAATTGCCATGTCCACGAAAATTAATGAATGAATAGAATGAAAGCGAATTTATTTATATTTTTTATTCCACACACAGCACAAAGAAGTAAATAAAGCAGAAAAAAAACGTTTCATAATGTCATAATGTAGAGCATAGACGAAAATTTGCATAAGAAAGCAATAATTTTTATATTAGATGACGCATTTTTGTTTGTTTGATTTCTAATAATACTTTGAGATTCTAATCATGTTGCTGGGGAAAGATTGGAGGATCAGATGAAGAGTTTTGAATGTTGGACATGGCAAAGGTAGGAATGTGACTCAAGCACAACAATTAGAAGATGGAAAAGTTAAGGACTTTTATGTTCTGTACAAACTAGGTGTAGTCCAGATCTTACCTGGATATTGTCTGGGTCAGAAGAATTCTAGACTTTACTTCTACGTACATACAATGAGGAGTGCATAGACCACTTAATCAATAAGAAAACGTGACCGACCACCTTACAGTTCAGTTCTTATACTCGTCCGTCAAAACTAAGCACCCGTAAAAGCTATTACCAATTAAAGCATACGGGTATATGTATTCATGAATGCTTAATAGAAGCTTTGAGAAGATTAAAGCAAATTGAAGTTGAAATTGATTTTACTGCTAAGAAATTCTGTTTTGCTAATAACTTGGGATCAAGTTACAAATTACAGTGAACTAAATGACCGAAACTGGTGACATCAACACGTCCGCAAATGTAATTTAAATTAAATAATGTCATTTTCCATAAATGACCAAATAATTTATGTGTTTTAATGGTTGACATGTTTATCATTAATATCAAGTCGTCTAACAATTTAGTCACAATAATGAACATATATTTAAATGGCAAAACGTTCCTGATAATTTCACAATAATGGTAATAATGTCTGTGTTAATATCACAGTGCTTAACTCCACAATGTGCTGAGTAAAAAGAATTATTGTTATTGTTTTGATCAGTATTTTACCATTTTTTGTGCTTCCATTAAAATTTCAGTTTTATTAAATTTTTAATTCCTTAATTTCAGTTAAGTAGGAAACAAAAAAATATGAATTTTCATTTTTTTCTTCTTTTCATGAAAGCAATCATGGGCGGAGAGCTTTGGAGGTCGTTTGTAAGTGATGACCACTTTTTATGGGAGTATTATCAAATCTTTGTAACAGTTAAACGTAGCGAGAGGATTTCAAAAATCCCATTTTTATACAGGCGTCATTTATAAACGACTCTTTCACAGAATGAAAATTAAAAAAGCATTCTGATGATTGCGATAGAGTAGATATACATGTAGGAAGTAAAATAAGAGAGAAATTACAAAAAGTTGAGATAAAAATTGAATGTGAAATGTTGAGTGTACACAATAAATTGTTAGCGATATGGGATGAGACACATTTCGATGAAAACGAAGATTTATGCTTGAAACTGAATACGAGAAAATTCATAAATACGAATGAAGGAGAGAAACAAGAAAGTAATGGAAATCAATTTACACGAGAAATTTTCATTTTCACTTTTATACAATAGATCTTTGTGTATATATACTGATTCAATGGATCTTACTCTCTGTAAATTATCCGTAATTTTATAGCTTGTGCTATTTTCTCTCGTGGAGTGGCATTGTAAAGTTTTTTTTATGTTACTGTGTGAATGGGGAGGAAAAGAAGAAAAAGAAAGCATAAAATAAGAAGACGAAAGGAAGTAAGGATTGAAATAAAATAAATAGAAGCAGGGATCAACAACAATTTCTACTGTCGTGACGAATGGAATTGCCGTAGATTACAATTTGTATAAATGAAGATTTAAGCAGTATTTGCTGTAATTTTACCGACCTTAAAATTAATTATCTTCTACTATCTACAATGGACAGATTTAATTTTTGATGAGTTCGGGGTTTTTTATTCCTTTTTTTTCCATTTAAGGGCAAGTTCGGATATTTACCTTACTTCTTAGAATATTTAAGATGGTGAAATTTTAAAGATATGGGATTAAAGTCATAAAGATTATATAGAAATAGCTATTTTTAGAATCAGATCTACACTTCACAATGGCTCTATTGTATGAATGATACTCAAGTGGTCCTTCACTAAGGATGTCTTTAAAAATGAGTGAGTTTTGAGTCAGGTGTAATCTAAAATACGCGTCGCGATTCTCTAGTGATAAATATCCAGATACAAATCCTACATTAATTACCCAGATCCAATAATTTAAAACATCGTGAAGAATGAAGAATTAAAGATTAAACCAATAGTAAATGTAGAGCCCTGCAGCCAAAAGTAATTCATTTTATTGAATAATACGAAAACTTTTTCTCTATAAACTCTTTATCCCATAAATATTCCTTACTTTACTTTCAACAGAGGAAGTAATGCCTTTAAATTATTACAAAAGAGCTTGCAAACTCCTGCTGTTCTGTTCTCCATGTAAAAACAACAAACACGCACTCCTAATTGCACAAAACCCGAGAAATATGTAAAATCACTTTTAAATAGACAAACAACCGCGGTATGTTGTAAACAAGTAAGTGAGATATATATTTATAGAAAATCCCTTTGTGTACATAATTTTCATCGAATTAAAGAAAATTCCATGAAAAACAAAAAACTTTTTTTTCGGTATGAGCGCAGCGGAAGTAAAAAAAGTCCTTTCAGACATTGGAAGCAAAGAGTGAATAAAAAGTTTATTTTTCTTGCCACATCAGCATACATAAACCAGTTCGAAAGCTTGAATTTCACTTGAATGGTTAAGGACTCTTTTATAAATGATGAGTTGACTTTAAGGGATAAAGATGGGTCAGACTAAGATGCGATGAACAATGGGATATCCATGAGTGTGTTTTAGATGTCGATTTTTTCATATTTTAGCCATCAAGAAAAGCCCATGAAACATGAAATCAACTTACAATATTATTTGATAGACGTAACTTCTTAAAAACCCCCATTAGGGTTCTATTATTTTTAATATTCACATGTGTACATTCCATTTATGCATGAAAATGTCTCTATGGTATACAGAGCAACGAGTATATATGGCGTGGAGAAGTGTATACATCAGATAAAAAGGAAAGTTTAAAATGAAAAATGCTGCTTCCTTTGGGCTGTTGTTGTGAAATGTTATCAACTAAAAAAAATTATAACAGAACCAAAATATCCATAAATGTATACATTAAAGTTCATATAAATTTGTTGGAAATGTTTTTGTATAACAAGTAGCAGCGGAAATTCGCCTTGTATGCTTTACTTCTCCCAACCAACTAGATATAAGGAAGAGAAAGGAAAATTTCCGGCATTTAAAGTGCAAAAAGGAATCGAAAAATAATACAAAACTTGAATGGAGCCTTATGAACGTCCCGATAGACATTTTTTTCCGTTTCCTTTTCGCTATTCAACACCATTAAATTATTTCATTCTCCTGCTATATCTTTGACTTTTCATCATATTGTTGATATGGACGGAAGAGTACGAAGAACAATTTCGCATATTTTTTTTTTTGGATTCAGTCAAAGGAGAAACTCATCCAATTTCATTCAACAAACTTTTTTCTCTGAACTCTCTTTATATTTAGCTTTGATGCTTTATTACATTTACTG